TTAGCACCTCTATCATGTTACATATCCTTTCATTTTAGTTATTGGAATAATTAAGTTATAGTCTCTTAGCAAGTTTTATGATTATCAGAGGCTATTTCTAATCCAGTTCATCAGTGAATTGCCTTTGCACACACACACAAGAAGCATAAAATGTTAATAACCACTTAAAATGAGAAAATAAGTTTTAGAGTAAGTGCTGAAAAGTACTCTGCATAGTGTTGACAAGGCATTTATTTCTGCTTTTTTCCTCTCATTCCTCTGACTTCAATTAAAATCAGCTCCTAGATATTGATGCAATGGGTTCTGGCAAATTTGAATTGGGGACTATCTTCGTCACTCAGACTGGAATTGGGATCCTACGAAATTCATCCCTTCTTTGTCTTTATACTTTCTCTTTGCTCACTGGACACAAGTTGACACCTACAGACTTGATTCTTAATCAACTGGTCCTAGCCAACTCCATGGTCCTTTTTTCCAAAGGGATCCCTCAAACAATGGTAGCTTTTGGATCCCGATATTTCTTGAATGATGCTGCCTGTAAACTTATCTTTTATTATTACAGAGTGTGCACTGGGGTTTCCTTCAGCACTCTCTGTCTCCTCAGTGGCTACCAGGTTATTAAACTGAACCCTAGTATTTGCAGGTGGATGGAGCTCAAGATTAGATCCCCAAAGTTCATTGGCTTCTGCTGTTTCCTCTGCTGGATCCTACATCTCTTGATAAATTCATTTATTTCTGTAATAATGAGTGTTCCATCAAATAGCAAAAACCTTAGCGTGGAAAAGTAATGGATACTGTTCCTGGGATGGGGTATTGAGATTTAACATGTTATATACAGCCATACATTTTCCCCTTGACTTTATGAGTTTGGGATTCATGGTCTGGGCTAGTAGCTCCATGATCTTCATCCAGCTCAGGCACAAGCAGCAAGAACAGCACATCCGCAACAACAGCCTTGCCCCCAAAACGTCCCCCGAGGCCAAAGCCACAGGAACCATCTTGGTCCTGGCGAGCTCCTTTGTTACTGTTTATTCGATCTATGCCATTTTGACTTTTGCATGACTGTGGTTGCCAATCCAGTGGAAAGTGAACAGCACTATGCTCCTCTCATCATGTTTCCCAGGCCTCAGCCCTTTTGTGCTCATGGTCAGTGACACTTGAGTCTCTCAGTTCTGCCTTGTCTGTAGGGCAAGGACAGATTGCTTTCCCAATCTGGTTAAAGTGCTATGAGTCTGTTTTAACAGCGTTTAATCATTCATTTAAACATTTGTTAACATTTGATTAACTACTGTGTGATAGGAAGTTATGACATCATGGCAAATAAGGCCAGGAAAAGCCCACTGTCTTATAACAGAGGTAAAAATGAACATCATATATTTAAGTATACAAAGATTACTCACTCTGTGTTAGGATCTTCAAAGGAGAAGTTCAGAGAATTTTGAAATAGTGTAAAAGAGGGGCGCCTGGTTGGTTCAGTTGGCTAAGCATCTGACTTTAGCTCAGGTCATGATATTGGGGTCCTGGGATTGAACCCCACACATGGGGCTCCCTGCTCCGCGGGGAGTCTGCTTCTCCCTCTCCCTCGCTCTCTGCCCCTCCCCCCCACTCATGCCCTCGCTCTCAAATAAATGAATAAAATCGTTTTAGTTTAAAAAGGGGGTGCCTGGGTGGCTCATTCGTTAAGCATCTGCCTTTAGCTCAGGTCATGATCCCAGGTCCTGGGATCGAATCCCGCATCAGGCTCCCTGCTCCACAGGAAGCCTGCTTCTCCCTCTCCCACTCCCTCTGCTTGTGTTCCTGCTCTCGCGCTCTCTCTCTGTGTCAAATAAATAAATAAAATCTTTTTTAAAAAATTTAAAAAATTAAAAGTTTAAAAAGGAAGGAAATTTCTACGTTTAAGGAATTTGGGGGAATCTCTCACCTTGGTCTTACAAAAATACATGCAAGTGTTTTTTAAACATATTTTTGAATCATAATTGAGTTCAGTTCTTTCTGACAGAAAGAAAATCACCTGGAAAGATCCTATGGAGCCTCAAGGGATTGGAAGAAATCCTGTGTGTTTAGATTGTCAAGAGGTGGGGAGAGCAGCAGACTACGAATAAGAAAGGATGGTGATGGAGAGTTCTGAGTGAACACTTAGGACAGGCCAAGAAAGCTGAACATTTGTTTTTGTTTTATTTTTTAAAATAACAGGTCAGTATAGGAGTTCAAACTATGAGTAAAAATGTCAGCTCTCCTTATTTAAAATTATTAATAAGAATTTAAATTTAAATTTACTTGCTTAATTAGTAACTCTTTAAATATTATTACAGTTTAAGTTACATCAAAAAGAATAAAATACCAAGGAATACATTTAACCAAGGAGATGAAAGACCTATACACTGGAAATCTATAAGACAATGATGAGGGCGCCTGGGTGGCTCAGTTGGTTAAGCGACTGCCTTTGGCTCAGGTCATGATCCTGGAGTCCCTGGATCGAGTCCCTGGATCGAGTCCCGCATCGGGCTCCCTGCTCGGCAGGGAGTCTGCTTCTCCCTCAGACCCTCCCCCCTCTCATGTGCTCTCTGACTCATTCTCTCTCTCTCAAAAAAAAAAAGACAATGATGAAAGAAATTGAAGAAATTGATAGAAGAAATTGCCATGTCTATTGATATACCATCTCTTATTTAAAATCATTTTATGGTGTCTATTCCCAGTGATTCTCAGTTCTTCCCTTTTTCCTTTTTCTCTTATTTTTTTGCTTTTTTTGGTTATAGTTCTATCATATATTTTTATTATACTTAGTGATTTCATAAATTTAGTCTTGTTCATATTAATTAATTAATTAAATTAGTGTTAAAATGACTTTTTTTTTTTAAAGATTTTATTTATTTATTTGACAGAGAGAAAGGCAGGGAGAGAGGGAACACAAGCAAGGAGAGCAGCAGAGGGAGAAGCAGGCCTCCCACTGAGCAGGGAGCCCCATGCGGGGCTCGATCCCAGGACCCTGGGATCATGACCTGAGCCGAAGGCAGACGCTTAACGACTGAGCCACCCAGGTGCCACCTAAAATGCCTTTTTTCTATAAATATTTTGAACTGACTCATCTATATATATACAAAGTTAAAGTGAATATTCATAGTGACACACTACCCACTTCTCCCTCCTCATTTCCTCAATCCAAGGAAGGAACGCTGTCTACAACTGATGAAGATTCTTCCAAAAAGATTATAATTTAACTACAAATATTGTGCAAGGTCTCTCTTAACTCCCCTCTGCTTGCCTTCCTGCGGAGCAAATTTTTTCTCTGAATTCCCCTCTCAGAATTTACTAATCAGTGTCCGTGGATCACGTAGGATCTCTGTCGGTGGGGTCAGTGCTTCCACGTCCAACAGCGTCCCCTGAGGAAGTAACAGTGGCCCTGAGTCTTTCTTCTTCTTCCCAGCCCTTGACACAATAACATCCCTTTCCTCACACATCACACCAAAGCTATGATGGTCAGCCAGTGCTCAGCCCACAGGTGAAAGGACAAGGGAAGGATCAGGGAAATTAAGGGGCACATGAAAGAAATGGAGTCAATTGTGGGGATTTAGGGGGTCAGAGGTGGTCATAGAATTAATTGCTGCCATCTCTTTTATCAGTGGCTGTCCTTGGCCCAATATATCACCCTGGGTTTGGGAATTATATTGTGGATTTGGAAATTATTGTGCTGCCTGGACACCATAACTGGGTCTTTGAGAAAAGAAAGGAGCAGATGGAGGACGTGTAAGTGAGGAAGGTGAATATTCAGATATCTGATACTCTCTCTACCAACCTTCAGAAGTCAGTCTCTTATATGGCGACACTTCACAATTGATGACTGTAACTGGGTGTCTACTCAACAGACTATATATCCCTGGCTCAGCTCAATGAAAACCGCTTTGTAGTCCTGGAGGTCCTTTCCAAGCCTGAGAAATTCTGCTCTCTCCCTTTTAGCATATTTCTAATGCTAGGAACTCTAGTACCCAGTGGGAAATGGAATCCACTCTCTGTAATAGAAATTGACCTGATGACACACATTCATTTTTCTTGTGTGTGACTTCACCTTATAAAAGAATCTCCCTGGGGCACCTTGGTGGCTCAGTCGTTAAGCGTCTGCCTTCGGCTCAGGTCATGGTCCCAGGGTCCTGGGATCGAGCCCCGCATCGGGCTCCCTGCTCGGCGGGGAGCCTGCTTCTCCCTCTCCCACTCCCCCTGCTTGTGTTCCCTCTCTCGCTGTGTCTCTCTCTGTGTCAAATAAATAAATAAAATCTAAAAATAAAATTAAAAAATAAATAAATAAAAGAATCCCCTATCTCCAGGAGACCTATCTAGGATGGGATCTCACTGCTTCAAGAAGTAAGATTTTCTTCCTTCCTTCACCTGGGTTAGAGGTTTCATTCTCCACCCTGTGCTTTCTCTTGGACTTGCAACGAGCCTTCCAGGAAACATAGGCTGCAATTAACCATCCACAGAGTGCTTTCCTATTCATAACCACCTTCAGAGTCTTCTTATATTTCTGCACTAATAGCAATGATGATTTTCAGACCCTTCCAGGTATTGTTTTAAAAACTCTATATATTTTCACTCATTTAATCTTCATTCTTACTTTGTAATCCTTGAACAGCCAAGACACTCAAACCATGTCATTTCAAAAGCACTTAGGCAACTTGCTATCAACACAAATGCTTAGGCTCTTTCTTACCTCAATGACCTAGGGGCTTCTGTGTTCTTATTTCTCCAGTGATTCTGATGTACCCATAAGGTTTGAGAACACCTGCACTAGAAGGAAATGCCAAAATTAAAGAACTATCTAGTGTAAGACACAACCATTTGAGATCCGTCTCAGACATAAAGTCACACAGCAGAGAACACCATGTCCCCTGCTCATCAGGTATCGAGGGAAACAGGCACTCCCCCACAAAGAGATTCACCATCACATTCTTTTTTTTTTTTTTTAAAGATTTTATTTATTTATTTGAGAGAGAGAGAATGAGAGAGAACACATGAGAGGGGATAGGGTCAGAGGGCAAAGCAGACTCCCCGCCGAGCAGGGAGCCCGATGCGGGACTCGATCCCGGGACTCCAGGATCATGACCTGAGCCGAAGGCAGTCGCTTAACCAACTGAGCCACCCAGGCGCCCCTCACCATCACATTCTAACTCTCCTCTAAAATTGCAGAGCTTTGTTCATATCAGGACACATTTAAGCAAGTTTTCTTGATCTTCCTTGCTCATCTTATTATGGAAAAGAAACCTTAATATCCTGGATATACTTCACATGATTTATATTTTAGGTTTTCACCAGATGTGTCCTGTCTGAGGTTGGGTTTTGTAGAAGCAGAAGCTGGCACAAGGTTCAACGACATGATTTACTGAGGAGAAATTATCAGGAAAAATTAAAGGTCAAGGAATGAGAATGAGGCAAGGAAAGGAGTCACACAAGGGTGTGGCCTCATCTGGAATCAACACCAGTCTGATCTCACACACAGCTCTAGAGTGTAAATGGTACTACAGGTGGTCCTAGTTTGAGACATAGGAACACTCCTTTTGTTACTCCAGGTCAAGCAGTGTTTAAATACTTCCTAGCTAAACTGCTTCTATATTTACTTTTCTAAAACATTGGACTTGGGGCGCCTGGGTGGCTCAGTCGGTTAACCATCTGCCTTCGGCTCAGGTCATGATCCTGGAGTCCCTGGATCGAGCCCCACATCGGGCTCCCTGCTCAGTGGGGAGCCTGCTTCTCCCTCTCCCACTCCCCCTGCTTGTGTTCCCTCTCTCGCTGTGTCTCTGTCAAATAAATAAATAAAATCTTGGGGCACCTGGGTGGCTCAGTCGGTTAAGCGACTGCCTTCGGCTCAGGTCATGATCCTGGAGTCCCTGGATCGAGTCCCGCATCGGGCTCCCTGCTCGGCGGGAGGCCTGCTTCTCCCTCTCCCACTCCCCCTGCTTGTGTTCCCTCTCTCGCTGTGTCTCTGTCAAATAAATAAATAAAATCTTGGGGCACCTGGGTGGCTCAGTCGGTTAAGCGACTGCCTTCGGCTCAGGTCATGATCCTGGAGTCCCTGGATCGAGCCCCGCATCGGGCTCCCTGCTCAGCGGGAAGCCTGCTTCTCCCTCTCCCACTCCCCCTGCTTGTGTTCCCTCTCTCGCTGTGTCTCTGTCAAATAAATAAATAAAATCTTGGGGCACCTGGGTGGCTCAGTCGGTTAAGCGACTGCCTTCGGCTCAGGTCATGATCCTGGAGTCCCTGGATCGAGTCCCGCATCGGGCTCCCTGCTCGGCGGGAGGCCTGCTTCTCCCTCTCCCACTCCCCCTGCTTGTGTTCCCTCTCTCGCTGTGTCTCTGTCAAATAAATAAATAAAATCTTGGGGCACCTGGGTGGCTCAGTCGGTTAAGCGACTGCCTTCGGCTCAGGTCATGATCCTGGAGTCCCTGGATCGAGCCCCGCATCGGGCTCCCTGCTCAGCGGGAAGCCTGCTTCTCCCTCTCCCACTCCCCCTGCTTGTGTTCCCTCTCTCGCTGTGTCTCTCTTTGTCAAATAAATAAAATATTAAAAAAAAAAAAAAAGAAAACCCATTTATCTCAGAGTTCAGATGGTCAGTCTCTACACATCTCTGACCGTGACCATTACGTCAGCATCCCAACAGAAAATGAAGTTTGACAAACACCTCTCCCTTTCGAGTAGATCTCCGGCTTCACGCTACTGGAAGAAATAGGATATACCTTGGAAGGTGGAGTAAGAAAGACTCCGTTGACGAGACGGAGCTGCTCGCTGGGTTGGACAGGGACACAATCCGTGAGCACACAGGGAAAAACGTGTTTTCCGAGGGAAAAGGAGCCACGTGATTGAGGGCTGTCTGACAGCTCTGCCCCCCCCCTCCACCTGCGCCCCGGACGGAGTTTCTCCGTCATCTCTGACCATTATCGAATTCCACAGAACTGACTCCCAGAACTTCAGTCTCCCTGGAACCGAGGAGTAGCAAAGACAGCGCTTATCAGGTCTAATCTTGGGCGGGCGGACTCTCTGCGTGTCACCGCCGTGTCCCGCGGGGAGCCTAACGTGGGCCACACAGGAAACGACACCCCGAAGCACTTGCAGCCGGAGAAGCCGTGCCCCAGACACGGGGTGGCGCCGGTTAGGAAGGGAAGGGGCCTCGCCCCACCCCCAGGGCGTGATGACGTCACTCCCAGAGGCCCTCAGGCGGCGCCGCTGGTCCTTTGCGGCGGTTTCTGGAAGGACGCTCTTTGCGACTGCGGGCGGAGCGGCAGGAGCCATATTACCCAGCAGGCTCAGCGGCAAGAGGCGGTAGAGCTGGGCCAATCACGGCACGGGGCTGGGATCCCGCGTCCCGCGAGACCTACGGCGCCGTGCTCGTGGGGCTTGTACTGCGTGCTTCCGGGCCTGCTCGCGAGGTCGCGGCTGCGGGAGCCTCGGTGGGCGTGAGGCCGCGGGCCAGGGAGGCTCGAGGAGAGGCGTCGTGTCCGCTCTGCACCGAGGCAGGCTGAGGGTGTGTGGGGCGGGTCAGCAGAGCCCTAGGGACCCTCCCTGCCTCCCACTCTTCGCGGCCCTCGGTCCGCGCGCCGCGTGCCACGGGGGCAGCAGAGGAGCCGATGGACCCGGCACGGGTGAGTGCATGGCCCCTCAGGCCCTGTGGACCCCAACCACGCAGTCCCAGCACCTCCGTATCGAGGGTCTCGTCGCTTCCGCTAACGGTGCCGTGTGTCCGGGGCCCGCCTTGGTACGGGAGGGCCCCCCGCTCTGTCAGCCAGTGAGGCGGAGGGAGTCCCAGGCACATGCGCCGAGAGGTGCAAGCGCCAGGAGGTGAGGCTGAGCCGGACAGACCCGCAGCTCTCCGTTTCGCCTGCTGGGAAGAGTCAGGTCCGGACTGACAGGCTGAGGAACCGGGCCTCTTGGAGTTGGCGGGAGCCATGGAGGATTTGGAGGCGAGGAGGAACGTGATTTGTGTCGAGTTAATAGGCTTCCTCTAGCTGAGGAGTGGAGGGTAGGCGGGGGTAAGAGGAGGCAGGGACAGCGGGGAGGAGGCTCCCTGCAACCCCGCATCGTACCTGGAATTCTCTGCTCCCGTGTCACCCGCAGCCCCCCTCGCAGCCGAGGCCTGTGCCAAAGGTGTGCAGAACGAGTTACAAAGCCTACCGCCTGGGTTCAGCTCCAGGCTCTGCCCCTGCACCGCAGTGGGATAGTCCGCTTCCTTGGCTGGGACATGGGCTCATCGCAGTGTCTTCCCTCTGGGTCCTGGTGGCCCACGTGGGAGGCAGAGTGTGAAAAACAGCACAGCGCATGCAGGGAATGCCCAGTAAATGCTGGTCGTGGCCGCTCATTTCTGTGATCCCCGGGGTCCAAGGTGGCCTTTGCCCTGGTCTTCTCCTTATGGCAGTGTGGGCGACAGAGAAACGGGGTTTCTCGGAATCCTCCCGTCCCTGCACCGTCTGAATGAACTGAGCTTCAGGAAAGCTCATTTAACAATGTAGAGACTTCAGGGGCCATGCTGGCTACGCCCTTCCCAGGGCTGTGACCTTGAGGAAGTCTGATCAGTGCCTTTGTCTTCCATCTCTTGGGTTCCATGGGCATATTGACATCTCCTCCCCTTGGCTCGAGGGGGTCAGAGAAGGCGTGTGTGTGATGTATGTCCTCCAATGTCCAACACCGCCCAGGTAGCATCACTCTGGACACTGTTCTAAGGGAGCAGAGCCCCTTGTCCTGTGACGATCTTAGGGACTTACCCCAGGGGAATCCTGCCCTGGGGTTTCCCCTGTCTCAGGCTTGTATCCAGCCGAGGACTAGGGGAAGAGAGCGCCTAGGGGCAGACTCACAGTGGGAGCAATATTTTTGGAATCACTGCTTCTCTGCTAGGATGAAAAGGGCCCTCGAGGGGCGCCTGGGTGGCTCAGTCGGTTAAGCGTCTGCCTTCGGCTCAGGTCATGATCCCGGGGTCCTGGGATCGAACCCCGTGTCAGGCCCCCTGCTCAGGGGGGAACCTGCTTCTCCCTCTCCCTCTGCCTGCTGCTTCCCGTGCTTGTGCTCTCTCTCTGTGTCATACAAATAAATAAAATCTTTATAAAGAAAGAAAAGGAAAGGGCCCTTGGGCACTGGGAGCCAAGAAGGTTACTGGATTCATCTTTGTATTTGCCATCTGTTTATTGCAAGTAAAGCTGGCTTGCCACTTATAAGACATTTACTTTTATGTGAAAAGTAGATGTATTAAAGATTCAGTGGTGGCAGTGTGCATTTGGATGTAAACACACAACAGACCCCGGGTTTCTCTCCAGTACGTGTCCCCCTCCCTTCATTCCAGCCGTGCCAGTGCCTGTCTTCAGCAAGGTCGTCCCCAGCTTTCCTTCTGAAATGACCCCATCTCTCTAATCTTGTCCCTTTTTTTCTTGGCCTCAGAACTCTTAAGGCCATCTGCATCATCTTGTTCAGTTATTTAGTCCTTGTTGGGGATCTTTCTCCAACGGGGGCTGTGATTCCTCTTTGAAGCTCTGTCGCCAGGCCTATAACAGCACCAGAGCTGTGACAGGACCTCATTAGCTAGTTGGGGAATGAGACTCCCCTCAGTGGGTTCTCATCACACTTAGAATCTACGTTCAAACCCCTCCCCCCATGGCCTGCTGCACCTGTCCCTGCAACTGCTCTGTGTCCACCCACGTGTCTTCCTTTCCTTTCTTCCCCATCTCCCGGCTCTGCAGCTATGCCATCCTCCACTTGCCAAGCTCTTGCTCACTTGCCAGTTCCCTCTGCCCAGGACAGTGTCTCTGGAACTCTGCAGGGCATCCCTGTGCATTCCTCAGGCCTCTGCTCAAATGCCACTTCTTCATCTTTCTAGTTCTAGCTAAAGTACCCCAGTACATGCGTGCTTGGGAGCTAGCATTTTTGTGCAGAGTTGAGTGCCAGGTTGAGATTTTCCAGGGTGCTTGAGGAGCGAGGAGGAAAAATAATCATAACCAAACAATGGTTAATAGCTGGATTTCACTGAGCCCTTGATGTGCTTTGAGGGACAGTTATTATGTTTCATCTCATTCAGTTCCCGTCTCCTCAGAGTTAGGTTCTGTTATCATCCCTGCTTTACAGAAGAGGAACTAGGGGTCAGAGACGTTAAGTTACCTACCCAAAGTCACACAGCTCTTAAGTAGTTGAAACTCACATACTGTCCATTAGCTACCAGAGCCTTTGTTCCCAACCACAGTGGGCTGGGGAGGCCTGAGGATGACACCTATATTAAACTTTGTAAGGTGGGCAGGGCTTTCTCTTGCAGGTGAGCTTGGGAACAGGACGGCAGGAGGAGCCATCCCAGATGGGTGCCCTCGTGGACAGAGGCAGTGAGGGCAGAGTTTAAGGAGGCACGAGAGGACCTTGTGATTGCCATGCCCCCCCCCCCCCCCCCCCGCTGAGATGTGTCTTGGGAAGGGGAGCATGTGTGGTCATTTGCTGGATGTTCACCTCGCCCTCACCCAGGACACACATCACAGCCAGTCGGAGGCTGCCAGTTCTTCTGGCCTCAGTGGCATTGTTCTCACCCACGTGGGTTCCCTGATCCTTATGGTATTCGTGACTCAGGGACACATGCTGTCAGGACTCAGGAAGGGAAAACTGACTGATAGCTCACTGTGGAATCTCCTGGGGAGTCTGAGGAGGCTGGGGGACCCAAGTGGGTGTGGGGAGCTGGCCCAGGCCCTGGCACTCTCAGAATGAGTGGCGCCCCCTTCAGTGCCTCTCCCATGAGGAGGGTGAGGATGGCTCCCATCCTCTGTCCATGTCCATGGAAGTGTGGTCAGGGATCTAAAAGTAGATTAACAGCAACAGTCATTAGAAGTGCTTCACCTGGGGCGCCTGGGTGGCTCAGTCATTAAGCGTCTGCCTTCGGCTCAGGTCATGATCCCAGGGTCCTGGGATCGAGCCCCGCATTGGGCTCCCTGCTTGGTGGGGAGTCTGCTTCTGCTTCTCCCTCTTCCACTCCCTCCACTACCTGCTCATGCTCTCCCACTATCTCTCTTTCTTTCAAATAAGTAATCTTTATTAAAAAAAAAAAAAAGAAGAAGGGCTTCACCTGCAGTAATGGAAGAGTGTGAGGGTTACTACAGACCTGGGCCGGAAGGATGTAGGTTCACATCCTACTTCTGCTGTGTAGGCTGGGAACTCTCAGGTGACTCACTATAGCTCCCTGAGCCTCAACTCAGACGTGATGTGGAGCTGATGATGGCATTTATCTTCATGGTGATGGAAGGATGAATAAATGTACAGAGCACTGTCATGAGCCAGAGACTCTAGTGTTGGCTTTATGAATGTTTTCCCTTGGATTCTCAAATAACCTGATAAAGTGAGAGAATTATTATACTGACAGGGGAGATTGAGGCTCAGAGAAATTAAATGGCTTCCCCAAGGTACACAGCAGGCCAAGTGTTGATTCAAGGGGTTGAATCCAAACTTGGGAGTCTGCTCCAGAGCTGTGGACATTTAATCCCTTTCCCACAGCACGTGAAGCCCACTGTCCAGGGCAGGCACATGGGAAGGACCAGGGAGGCTCAGCTTTGCTGCTGCTGTTCTTATTGTTGGAATTATCATCATGATTATTTCCCTGTTCCTCTTATGTCCCAGATCACTTACCATCTGCTCCCATGTCCGTGTCATTCTCCATTGTTTCCACCAAGGAGGGCATCTCTGTCAGCCATAGCTGCCTCCCCCTTAAGTCCAGCTCAGAGCTTGGCCCTCAAGAAGCCTTAGTGATTCATGGCTGGACCTCTGTGCACCTTCACCAGAGACTAAGTTACAGGCTCTGATCCCACCCAACAGCCGTAGAGCACATAATGCTACTGTGTTTGCCTTTCCAGGCACCGGTGACCTTCAAAGATGTGGTTGTCACCTTCACTCGGGAGGAGTGGGAATTACTGGACCTGCCCCAGAGGACACTGTACTGGAAGGTGATGAGGGAGACCTTCAGGCTTCTGGTCTCACTGGGTAAGTCTTCTCCTCCCCTCCATGCAGGGACATGCAGCCTCCTTCTTGGTTTCTTCCTGTCTTTTGAGGCCTGGCTGGTGGAAAAGGCCTCTGGAGCAGAGTGCCGTCCTCTCCATGGTCCCTGCCATGTTCTGGGCTCACTTCCTCCTGCCTGCTCTCCCTTTGTCTCCATCAGGAGTCACCAAGATGGTTGCTCTTCCCTTTTTGATTTGTCAGATTTTTTTTTGTATATTCCTGATACTAATCTTTTACCCATTATGTGAGCTGCGGTTGTATTCTATTGGAACTTAGCTTTTTAGAAATTTTCTTTAAAGCATCTTTTGATTAAAAGAAATGCATATTTTATTTAGTCAGATCAATTTATCTTTTGTTTTATGACTACTGCTTTTCATGTCTTGCTAGGAAATCTTCCTCACACCAAGGTCAAATTACATTCTTTTTCTGTTGCTTACTAATCTGGAATTAGCTTTGTGTATGACATGCGGTAGAAATGCAAGAACTTTTTCCTGCATGTGGGTTACCAGTTTTTCAGCTCCGTTGGTTATTTAGTCCCTTCTTTTCCCACTGATCTGCTGTGCCACCTCTGCAGTCTGTGAAAGCTGTATGTATTCATGAGTCTGTTTCTGAGCACTGTTGTGTCCTGTTGCCAGTTTTCCTTATGTCTGTGCCAACACCATGCTGTCTTGATGTCTCTACTTTCATCATAACCCTAATACTGGGAGGGCAAGCCCCATCTCTTATTATTCTTTTTTCAGTGATATTCTTAGCCCTTAACTCTTGCATATAAATTCTAGAATCAGCTTGTTGAGTTTCATGGAAAATCATGTTATCTGGACTGGTGATGAACTTACAGATAGATTTGAGGAGAGTTGACAACCTTGTTATTAACTTCTCCATTTGTACAGCTTCTTTTTAATACTTGAAGTAAATAATTCAAATTTCTCTACTAGCTTTTGTCTGTGTTTTAGTCACCTAGCTGTTTCTGACACACAGTAGATTTAATATGTCCCCCTGACAAGTCCTGCTCACCCTCAGCCTTGTAGACACTGTCCTGGGAGTGGCAATGGCTGTGCTTACTCTCACCCTTCCCAACTCTGGAGTCTGCACCCTGTCTGCATCTCCAGCCACATCTCCGCCATCCTCTCATGCTCTGAAGTTCCCTCAGCATCCAAGATTCTCTCTAGACTCTGCACCTTTGTATACTCTGCCTCCTTTGGCTGCAGGACCCTCTCACTTTCTCTGTGTGGTAACTCTTGCTTCGTTAGGACTCCGATCTCAAGACCCCTCCCAGTTGTCTTTCTCTCTCATTGGGGCTGGGTTAGATGCCCCCTTCCCTGTGTTCCCTGTGACGTCCTTTCTTAGAACAAACACAGCACATGGTATCATCATTCCTCTCCCCTCTGGATAGTAAGGAAGGGATTCTTCTCTGGCCCCTACCTGAAATTCTCCCCAAGGTTGTCCCTTTAAAGATGTCAAAAATCCAAGGACCAGCAAAAACAAAAACAAAAACAACCAAACCTGAGTTTTAGAGATGTGAAAATCCAGCAGCTGTCAGTGGCCCTGTTTCCATCTTCCTTTTCCCACTGGCTTGGTGATTTTGTTCCTTCTGTGTTGGCATTGTTAATGGGACTCTTGTGTATTGGATTCCCTTCAGATGACAAGGCAAAAACCAGTACCACAGAGCTTTCTGCTTCTCAGCCAGCCTTGTTTGAGGGATGCTCACCCCACAGGTTACTGACTGAGGACGACTCCAGTGTTTCCACATTGGGAGAAGCCGGGGAACAAGAAAGACCATCAGAAAAACAGGGAGGGCACCTAAGGGCAGGGACAGTCCCCTACAAGGAAACCCTCCCTGGAAAGGTGAACCCTGAATGTGATGATTTGGGAACAGGTAAAAATCTGTGCCCAAAAGATTTACAGGAGCAAGTCTCTCCAGGAGATGCTCTCCTTGAGTGTGAATCACATAGATCAAGGAGAGACCCCTTGATTCATGGAGGGAAGAAATCCTACAAATGCAAGGAATGTGGGAAAGAGTTTATCAAGAATCACTTCCTTCTTCAACATCAGTGGATTCACACTAGAGTAAAATCCTATAAATGCAAAAAGTGTGGGAAGGCCTTTCTCAGGAAGGCAGATCTCACTGGACATTACAGCATTCACATTAAGAAGAAGCTCTATGAGTGCATTGAGTGTGAGAAGGCCTTCAGCCGCAGGTCACACCTCACAGAACACCAGCGGATTCATACTGGGGAGAAGCCCTATGAGTGCATCGAATGCAGGAAGTCCTTCAGCCGCAGGTCACACCTCACGGAGCACCAGCGGATTCACAGTGGAGAGAAGCCTTATGTGTGCAGTGAATGTGGAAAGGCCTTCGCCCGCCACTCTGATTTTATTCGGCATAATAGAACCCACACTGGAGAAAAACCCTTTGAGTGCAAAGAATGTGGGAAAGCCTTTTGTAACAGCTTTTCTGTAACTCGACACATGAGGTGTCATTCTGGGGAGAAGCTCTATGAGTGCAATGAGTGTGGAAAGACCTACAGCTACAGCTCAACCCTCACCACTCATCAGAAGATTCATAGTGGAGTAAAATCCTACAAGTGTAAGAGATGTGGGAAGGTCTTTGACCAGAAGGCAGGCCTCAGTCAGCATCAGAGAACTCATACTGAGCTCTTCTTAAAGAGACCTTCTTAAAGTAACTACAGTGGCAAACTGTTTGACCAGAGGGAAGATGTAACTTGGCATCTGAGAGTTCACATCCAAGGCTCCCCTGCATACCGTGTCCTCCTTCATGTGCACAGTTCTGTGCTATGGCTGTAGCATTACCTTCACCTGCGGCTGAGTGCTGACACCACAGAGACTAGAGGCCACTCTCCCAAAACACAGCATGGTTCTCAGCGGAGGGACCTTCTTTCCATGCCTGAGAGTGCTTTGCTGTCATGTGGCCTGCACAGAGACCTGGGCCTCAGTTTGTCCCAAAGCAGAAGTGATGTGCTTTGCAGTCGTTGAAGGGCCACCTTCCCTCATGGTCCATGTCTCCCCATCCAGCTTTCTGTATTTACAGGGCCCTGCTGTGCTCTTGCTGGTATGATGGGCAGGAGTCACGAGAAACCCATCCTTTGTGCCCATTACCCCGCATGTGCCTCGTGTCATGGAAATACATGGGTGACTGAGACTTGGGCCTTGCTGTCTAGAAGGGAAAAACACATGGTAATACAGACGTGTGGTATAGCAATTCTGCTGCTAGACAATACTGTGCCTATGGTCCCTGTGTGGCCTAATCAGGGTCAAAACTTAGGCATGGAGGACAGATGTCCTTTGGGAAGAGTGGTCCAGTGACTAAAGGCTTGGGCCCTCAGGACAGTTGGAATTCGAGCACTTCCAAGCTGTGCCCATCACCACCTGGGTGACCTCAGTCATGTCACTTCCCCACAGGCCTCTCTTGTAAAAGTGGGAAGATGAACGTTAAACTGTAAAGCATGGGCAGGGGAGCAGACAGTACCAAAGGGTTATATCATGCAGACCCATGAAGGATGGAGGAGCCCCAGCTATGTTCGAAGATGAGAAAGAACATTTTTGGCAAAGGGAACAGCATGTACTAAGACCCTGAGGCATGCAAGAACTGGCCTTATGGAGGAAACAGTGTGTCTGGAGGACATGAGTGGTGAGCAGTGAGATGGGACAGAACAGGGCCAGATGCACAGGGCTTTGTGGGTTTTATTCTGACTGTTCTGGGAGGCTGAGGAAGGGATTCAGCAGGGCAGTGGCATGATCTTGTCTCTAAATCTGCCCTTGACTGCTGTGTGGAATGTGTACTGAAGAGGGAATAATTGATATGGGAGAGAGATGAGGCCACTGGGTGGTCCAGGGGTACATTGTTATTGGACTGGCCCATGATGGTGGCATTGGAGTTGGTTTGGGAGAAGATGACTTGGGACATGTTAGGAGGCAGAGCCAACAGGACATGTGCATAATTAGGATGATGGGTGAGCCCCAGGGAATGACTTTCCCTCCTCAGTCCTCAAGAGAGAGCCCTTTGCATCCATGGGAATGTGACATGGCCTGTCCTTGTGTTCCAGGTTTTCAGTCAGCACCTAGTGTGTTGAGTGAGCAAGTGAAGCTGAAGATTACCTTTCTTGGACAGAAAAAGGCAGAACTCCTTCTCCCCTTGATGGTCACATGGGCAGTGAATTTGCCATGACTTTATTTCTGTGATGCTGAGGGGCCCTGGCCCTGGCCCTGCCCCTGCCCAGATTGGATGAATTTGGGCAGGAAGCCATGCAGGGCTGATGAGCACCCTTCTCAGCTGTGCTTCTTACTAGTGGCCATGACAGCACAACTCAGGGACTTTTTGGGTTCTTGGTTTCTTCCTCTGTAAGCTGGGTGAGTTAATATCCTTTGAGTCTCAGCTTCATTATCTACGAAACAAGACTGTTGACTGATGCACCTCACCAAGTGGTTATGCAGGTTAAAGGATAGTGTTGAAAAGTACCTGGTGTCAGCTTTGTGGATATTCTTAAATGTTAGCTGTTGTTAAAATTATTTTCACTAATGTTACCCCTTCATGCCATCCTATTCCTTTCTCATCAGGAGATGTGCTGATAGGATTTGTTTGTAAAAATATACTGCAGGTCCTGATGACGTCTCAGCTGATTTTAGACCTTAAGATGTTTGATCATAAATTCTGGTGACCCTCAGCGTAAGGTCTTGGTTCCCCAGCAACCAACACCAGAACGTTCTTTGCCCCCTGGTGTCTTTTCCTGGTGGAGATGGGGTGGCTGAGGATGCCAGAGAATGTTAGTTGTTCTTTGAATGGAAATTCAAAACCTGCCCTTGAAATTTATTGATGAAGATTAAGTATCTTGTGAAGGGAGGTTTTAACCATCAAAAAGTACTGACTGTTAATTTATTTCATACTTACCTAATGTAGTATTTTACATATTTGGGTTTAAATACATCCTCTTATTTTGTGGCTTTCTTTACCTCACTTGTTCTTTTTCTGGTCCTTAAAAAAAATAACTGTTACTTACAATCCAGATTTTTAAAAAATTCTAGTTTAAACTTATTCTGTTTGTTATTGTTTAAGCTAAAATTTACAAACACTTACTTAAAAACAGTAGAGCACAGACTTACCAATGCTTTTGTTTCTTCCCAGGCAAAATAACGGACTTAGAAGTTTAACTAGTATCCTCTATCTCAGTATATGCGTTGAGATTATGCATGTTAATTCCATCAATGTGACTGCAAAAGGAAATGTTACTCATGTTTAATGCAAATAATGAGCAGATGTATCAATCCACATATGCATTCCCCTCTTGGGTCCTCATTCCTTCTATCATTGTAAATATTTCATCTGAGATTACTTTCCAAAGTTCTTAAATATAACCTTTAGGATTTCATTTTGTGTGTGTTAATCTTCCATTAAATTCCTCATTTTTGGTTTGAAATAGTCTTATTTTGTACTGTTTCTTGAAAGACAATTTTGATATATATAGAAATCTAGGTTGGCATGGTTTTTTTTCTTCAGCAGATCCTTGAATAGGTCCTTCTACAGTGTCAGAACCATAATTATATACGGAATGAGTGGCAACAAGTAACTCACTTTGTGTATGGTCTTAAGAATAGAAGTATTAGGGGTGTCTGGCTGACTCAGTCAGTAGAACATGAGACTCTCGATCCCAGGGTTCTGAGTTCGGGCCCCAGGTTGGGTGTAGAGATCACTTAAAAATAAAATCTTAAAAAATATATATATATAAATATTAACATTAAGATGGAGGCATGGAGTTTTGGGTTATCACCCAAAGGGCAGTAATGTTGAATACGTAGGAAGAATAATATAATAAAATGGATATCTGATGAATTGTACTAGAAAGTGGGTAGATGCTCTCCAATCCAGTTTTCCCTTTATGGACACACAGCTTCATTTACGTGAGCCATGTAAATGAGTTTGGGGCAATGAAATACAGGCAGAAGTTATTATGAAGCTGTATCTTCATTATGTTTTCTCATTTGTGCTCCTCCACAGGGATATCTTCTCCAGCCTCAGTGATTCCAGTTTGCACACACCTCCCCAGGATTTAGCTGCAGGCTCAGGCATGGACTGGGGCCCTTCTGGATGCATTTTTAACATACTCCCATGTGATGCTAATGCTCCTGATTTGGGAACCACTGGATTAGAGCACTATTTAACGTTAGTACACAATACGCCGCAAGTTATCTCCATATCACCTATTTTTAAGCCTTTTAAATATTATTTCTTTATGGAATGTTGTTAACCATAGTTACCATGCTGCACATTTCATCCCCAGGACTTATTTTATTTTATGGTTTTTAAGCATAGTTTTTCCCTCGGAGGTTGAGGAGCTTGCCTAAGGCCACTGAGGAGAGGTCTCCTATAACAGCTCTCCCAGGATGGGCTTCACCCAAGGTGGCCACAGAAACGTGGGCACGGTCCTTGTATTTGGAGTCCCAGAGCAGTATTTCCCAAGGTGCCTCACGGGGCTGTTGGGCCAAGGTTGCAGAGAATGGGAAAGGCCCATCCTGACCTGTTCACGTGCAAGACAGAAACTGCATTACCCGGCAGGCTGTGCTTCGTGCATGGGCGGCAGTCACTCGTCCAGTGACAACCCGGGAGTGAGGTGTTCCCCTGCAGGAGTGGTGGCGGGACTTATGATGATGTCACAGAGGCTGTGGCGGGTCTGTGCCTGTTGGCAGAACAGGGGGAAGGAAGGACAGTGGGACCCACCTCTGTGCTTTTGTGTGAGCAGCGACCCTACCCTGGCCCCGCACAGTCCTCCGTCCTCGAGTGCCTCTTAGGGGAGAGCCGCTGAGGCTGGGAGTGCGGTCCGCCGTGGTCACGTCCAGCCTGGGGCCTGGCAAGATGGGAGTGGACGAAAGTCGAAGGGCCCAACCGATCCCACCCAGTTCGCGGGGCCGGCGGACGCCAGCTGCTGGGACCCTCGCCCTGCTGGTGTCAGAGCCCTGATACAGAGGATCCTGTGACCTAGAGCTTCTCGCTCTCCCCCCACCCGCCTCTGAGTTCAGGCTCCTGGAGGCGAGTCGCTCTTGGCCCAAGGCCCTTAATTGAGATCAGGAGTTGTATGGAGCACTTCCTGTTTCTGGAACCCGGTAGGATGAAGTAAGGAAGGTTTTCCAGTTGCAAGAAGCAGCATGAAGGATGCTTGGATGTGGTGCTGAACTGGGAATGTTCGCGAACGCAGGTCCACACAGTGTCTTTTACGGTTCCATACAAATTTTAGAACTATTGTTCTAATTCTGTGGAAAATGCCTTTGAAATGTTGATAGGGATTGTGTTGAATCTGTAGATTGTTTTGGGTAATATGGACAGTTTAACAGCATTATTTCTTCCAATCTATTAGCATAGGACATCTTTCCATTTATTTGTGTCTTTTTCAATTTCTTTCATCAAAGTCTTGTATAATATTCAGTATACAGGCCTTTCACCTCCTTGGTTAAGTTTGTTCCTAGGCATTTTATTTTTTATTTTTATTTTTTTTTAAGATTTTATTTATTTATTTGACAGAGAGACACAGCGAGAGAGGGAACACAAGCAAGGGGAGTGGGAGAGGGAGAAGCAGGCTTCCTGCAGAGCAGGGAGCCCGATGCGGGACTCGATCCCAGGACCCTGGGATCATGACCTGAGCCGAAGGCAGTCGCTTAACCGACTGAGCCACCCAGGCGCCCAGCATTTTATTCTTTTTGATGCAGTTGTAAATGGGATTGCTTTCCTTTTTTTTTTTTTTTTTTAAGATTTTATTTATTTATTTATTTATCTGACAGACACACAGCGAGAGAGGGAAAACAAGCAGGGGGAGCGGGAGAGGGAGAAGCAGGCTTCCCGCCAGGGAGCCCGATGTGGGACTCAATCATGACCTGAGCCGAAGGCAGACTTTAATGACTGAGCCACCCAGGCTTTCTTAATTTCTCTTTCTGCTATTTTGTTAGGGTATAAAAACATGACATTTTTGTATATTGATTTTTTACTTTACAGAACTTTAACTGAATTTGTTTATTCTAATAGTTTTTTGGCAGAAACTTAAGGATTTTTTTTATATATATAAAATCATGTTGTCTGCAAATAGTGACAGTTTTATTTCTTCCTTTGCAATTTGGATGCCTTTTACTTCTTTTTCCTGTCTGATTGCTCTGGCTAGGACTTCCAGTGCTATGTTACATAAAAGTGGTGAGAGTGGGCATTCTTTTTCCTGATATTATGGGAAAAGCTTTTGCGGTGCCTGGGTGGCTCAGTTGGTTGAACATGTGACTCTTGATTTTGGCTCAGGTCATGATCTCAGAGTCATGGGATCAAGCCTGGAGTAAGGCTGTGTACTCAACATGGAGTTCGCTTGAGATCCTCTCCCTCTGCCTCTCCCCACCCCACTCGTGTGCTCTCTCTAAAATAAATCTTTTTTTTAAATAAAGATTTTATTTATTTATTTGACACCGAGAGAGACAGTGAAAGAGGGAACACAAGCAGGGTGTAAAATAAATCTTTTTTAAAAAAAGGAAAAGCAGGGCGCCTAGGTGGCTCAGTCGGTTAAGCATCTGCCTTGAGTTCAGGTCATGATCCTGGGGTCCTGGGATTGAGCCACATCTCGGGCTCCTTGCTCAGCAGGGAGCCAGCTTCTCCCTCTCCCTCTGCCTGTCACTCCTCCTGCTTGTGTTCTATCAAATAAATAAATAAAATCTTTAAAAAAAAATTTAAAAAGGAAAAGCTTTTAGCTTTTCAGAGTTGAGTATGATAGCAGTAGGCTTGTCCTATATGGCCTTTATTGAGATATATTCCATCTATACCCAGTTTGTTGAGAGTTTTTATCATAAATAGATGTTGAATTTTGTCAAATGTTTTGTGTCTACTGAGATGACCATAGAATTTTTATCCTTCATTTTGTCAATGTGTATCACTTTGGTTGATTTGCTGATATCCTTACATCCCTGGAATATGTATTGTATTCCCTAGCTCTGTGACTTCTGTTTGGTATTTCCTTATATTTTCTCTCTCTTTGTTAGAGTTCTCAGTGTATTCATTCTTCTCCTGAGTTCAGTAAGCATCTTTATTACCATTACTTTGCACTCCTTATCACATGAATTACTTTTCTCTGTTCCATTAGGTTTTTTTCTGGGGTTTTGTCTTGTTCTTCATTTGGAACATATTCCTCTGTTTTTTCATTTTGCTTGACTTCCTGTATTTGTTTCTTTTTTTTCTTTCTGTTTGTTTCTAAGTATTAGGCAGAGTAGCTCTTTCACCCAGTCTTGAGGGAGAACTTTATCATTTAACATTCTCTTAGCTCTTTTTTTTTGAAGATAATTTTTTTTTAAAGATTTTATTTACTCTAGAGAGAGTGAGAGAGCATGAGCAGGGGCGGACGGGCAGAGGGAGAGGGAGAAGCGGACACCCTGCTGAGCAGGGAGCTCAATGCAAGACTCAATTCCAGGACCCTGGGATCATGACCTGAGTAGAAGGCAGACGCTTAACCAACTGAGCCACCCAGGCTCCCCAAACCTTCCTTTAGCTCTTCATTATCTCTCAGACCTTTGTCATTATCTAAGTAGCCTGATTTATTCTTGGTAAGACTTCGTTTTTGAGGGTGTGCCAAGACGCATAAGTATTCCAGAGGAAGGATAGTCAAATCTAGTTTCAGGCTAATTAGAGGCTAGATCCTAAGGCAGCAGTTTTTAAGGTATGCAAGTACATACAGTCCCACTGGATCATAATCATAAGCCCTACTGGCCTTGAGGTCAGATGATCTACAGGTGTCCCTTTGGTGACAGTTGCAAAAGTTGGGGCTCCAGACAAGTGCATGAGCTCCCTTGTGGGAGGCATTGGCTCACTCTAGCAAGACCAAGGAAGAGCACAAAGATGGTATCCTCTGGCCTGTGTTCCCGAGGAGCATTTCCGTATCCTACAGATGTGTGGTAAACCTGAAGCCTGCTCCTCCAAGATTAGTAAATAGGTCTTCTCCACAGGAAGACAGGGTGTGTTCCAGTCTCCTGTCTGTGCAGTGCCCTGGGGGTGGTAGCCTGCCAAGAACTTTCTCTGATTGTTTCAGGCTTTGTGAGGCCCAGAAATGCTGTTTCCCTGGCTACCAGAGCCAGGTACTAAAGGGGCGTCCCCTCTGTGGGCCGTGCATGTGGTGTCCAGCCACCGTGCTTCGGTGGGGCCACAGGAGTGGGGCAGGGGCAAGGTTCACACACTGGTGCTAGCAGGTTAGAAGAAGAGTATAAAGCTGGTGCCCACCAGTGCTGGCACTAGTAAGGTAGAGGGAGAATGCAAAAATGGTGCCCACCAGTGCCTCCATCCCAGGAGAGAGTTCTAGCATGTTCCTACTCATCGAGCAGATGCTTTAAGATTAACAAATCTTCACATATAGTCTTGGAGCTTTTCCAAAACTGCTGCTTTTGAATTGGATCCTGGGGTGAGTGATTCTGCATGCCAGCCTTTTAAGAGTGGAATCTCCAGGCACCTGGGTGGCTCAGTCGGTTAAGCACCTGCCTTCAGCTCAGGTCATGATCCCAGGGTCCTGGGATCAAGTCCTGCATTGGGCTCCTTGCTCAGCGAGGAGCCTGCTTCTCCCTCTGCCTTTGCCTGCCACTCCCCCTGTTTGTGTTCTCTCTTGCTATCTCTGTGTCAAAAAAAAAAAAAGTGGAATCTCCATTCCCTATAACCCTGTGATTCTCCTGGATATAATGTCTATTCATGTCTTCTGCCCATCTTTTAATTTCATTGTTTTCTGGGTGTTGGATTTTTTAAGTTCTTTATATATATTGGATACTAACCCTTTATTGGATATGGCATTTGCAAATATTTTCTCCCATTTTGTAGATCGCCTTTTAGTTTTGTTGATTGTTTCTTTTGCTCTGCAGCTTTTTATTTTTATGTAGTCCTAATTGTTTTTCTTTTTGTTTTCCTTGCCTCAGGGGACCTATCTAGAAAAAAAGTTGCTTTCTCTTTATTCTTCGCGTATTAGTGGATTTTTCTTAAAAAAAAAAAAAGATTTTATTTTAGAAAGCGCATGAGAGTTGGGGGACAGAGGGAGACAGAGAATCCTCAAGCAGACTTCCCATGGAGCATGGAGCCTGACGTGGGGCTCTATCCCTGGACCCTGAGATCATGACCTGGAGCTGAAATCAAGAGCCGGCTGCCCAACTGACTGAACCACTCAGGTGTTGCTAACAAATTAGCTTTTTTTTTTTTTTTTTAAAGTAGGCTCCACACTCAGCATGGAGCCCAGTGTGGGGCTTGAACTCACAACCCTGAGATCAAGACCTGAACTGAGATAAAGAATTGGACACTCAGGGCTCCTGGGTGGCTCATTCATTAAGCGTCTGCCTTCGGCTTAGGTCATGATCCCAGGGTCCTGGCATCAAGCCCTGCATGGGGCTCCCTACTCAGAGGAAAGCCTGCTTTGCTTCTCCCTCTCCCACTCCCCCTGCTTGTGTTCCCTCTCTCCGTCAGATAAATAAATAAAATCTTAAAAAAAAAAAAAAATTGGACGCTCAACTGACAGAGCCACGCAGGTGCCCCATATTATTAGTGGGTTTTGATTTGTGGTTACCATTAGGATTGTATATAACATCTTCTGCATATAGCAGTCTATATTAAGTTGATGGTCATTTAAGTTTGAACCCATTCTTTACTCCTCTCCCCCAACACACACACATTTTAGGTGTATGTTGTCATATTTACTAGTTTTGTGTTTCCTACCTTCATACTGTCACTTTTGGTCTTTCCTTTCCAGAGTCCCCTTTAATATTTCTTGCAGAACTGGTTTAGTGGTCATGAACTCCTTTAGTTTTGTTTGTCTGGGAAACTCTTTCTCTCTCCTATTCTGAATGATAGTCCTGCTGGATAGAATATTCTTGGCTGCAGATTATTCCCATTCAGCACTTTGAATATATCATGCTACTCCCTTCTGATTTAGAAAGATTCTGCTGAAAAATCCCAATAGCCTTATTGGGTTTCTCTTGAATATAACTGTCTTCTTTTGTCTTGCCACTTTTAAAGTTTTTTTTAATTACTATATTTTGCCATTTTAATTGCAATATGCCTTGGTATGGATCTGCTTTTGTTGATATTGTTAGGGGTTCTGTGTGACTCTTGGATGTGGGTATCTGTTTCCTCAGATTAGGGAATTTTCTTTCTTTTTTAAAAAAGATTTTATTTATTTGAGAGGTAACGACAAGTGGGGAGTTGAGGGAGAAGCAGGCTCCCCACTGAGCAGGGAGCCCGATGCAGGGCTCCATTCCAGGGCCCTGGGGTCATGACCTGAGCCAAAGGCAGACATGTAACTGACTGAGCCACCCAGGTGCCCCAGATTAGGGAACTTCCAGCTATTATCTCTTCAAGTAAGTTTTCTCTCTTCTTATCCTCTTCCTTCTCCTATAATGCGAATGTTAGTACATTTGACGGAGTTACTGAGTTCCCTAAGTCTGTTCTTGTTTTGCATATTTTCTTTTTTGTTCATCTTGATTACTTTCCATTACTCTTCTAGGTCATTAATTCATTCTTTTTCCAGCCAACTGTTCATTGCATCAGGTTTTCTAATCTCGTTTATTGCACTCTTCATCTCTGATTTTTTTATCTCCATGTTAAGGGTCTCGCTGATATTTTCCACTCTTTTTGGCCCCTCATGCTTTCCAAGCTAATTGCCATGGGTATTTGTTTTCCCTGTGCATTCCCCTCTGTGGGAGTGTCTCTTGCTCTTCTCCATCAGCATGGCTCTCTCCCCACCACATGAGCCACAATCCAGTTCTCTCCCAAACCATGTCTCCACACTTCCTACCTTCAATGGGCCGTCTTCTCTATCTTTAGTTGTGGAGTTTGTTCTGCCAGTCTTCAGGTTGATTTCTGTGGTATGTAGGATGATTTGATATTTAGTTGTATTTGTGAGATGAGGTGACCCTACAGTCCTCTTACTCTGCCACCATCATTTCCCCCCCTCCAAAAATTTTTTTGCTAAGGTTTTGCTGTATCTATGTTTATGTGGATACTGCTCTGTAATTTGTTTTAATATCACCCACATTTAGTATCATGTTAGTATTGGGTTCACTTAATTAGTTGGGAAGTGTTTGAACTTTGGTTTTGTATTTTTTTTTTTTAAGATTTTTATTTTATTTATTTGACAGAGAGACAGTGAGAGGGAATACAGGCAGGGGGAGCGGGAGAGGGAGAAGCAAGCTTCCCACTGAGCAGGGAGCCCGATGCGGGACTCGATCCCAGGACCCTGGGATCATGACCTGAGCCGAAGGCAGACACTTAATGACTGAGCCACCCTGGTGCCCCTGTATTTTTTTTTTTTTTAAGATTTTATTTATTTGAGAGAGAGTGAGAGAACAAGCATGAGTAGTGGGGAGGGGCAGAGGGAGAGGAAGAAGCAGTCTCCCCACTGAGCAAGAAGCCTGAGGCAGGGCTTGATCCAGGACCCTGAGATCATGATCTGAGCTGAAGGCAGACACTTAACCGACTGAGCCACCCAGGTGCCCCTGAACTTTGTTTTGTAAGACTTTGTATACAGTTGGTACTCTTTTAGCTTTAAATATGCTGTAAAAGTTCCTATGTGTTCGGGGTCGACCCTAAGCTGACAGCCACAGAGAAAACAGAAACATAAGTCCTCCAACCACAAGGAACTGAAATTGTCCAACAACTCAAATGAGTAGAAAACAGAATTTGTTTTAGAGACTCCAGAAAAGAACACATCCCTGCGAACACCTTGATTTTAACTCATTGAGACCTGTCCTCTGTAGGACTTCTGATCTACAGAACTATAATATAATGTGTTGTTTAAGCCATAGGTTTGTGATAATTTGTTAGGACAGCACTAGAAAGCTAATACATCAACATCATTCTGTGAGCATTTCTTAACTGATCCAAGAATATTTTCTAGGCTCATGTACCTTCCTGCACCAACCTGGAAATAGCCTCTAAGGAGTTCTGGTTCTTTTTACTGAAAAACTGTACCAATAACTGGGCATTAAATATGCTCATGCCTATTGGAATGCCACTGCTGTCTAGGCTCTCTCAGAAGAATTAGGGAATATGTACATAGGTAAATATTTTTACATACATTGAAAATTTTTATGTACATTTAAATCCATAAAGATTTCAGAAGATTGGGTAAGGGCTCATAAGATCATAAGACTCCACCATACTCAGATAAGGCTTTTATTTAAAAGCAAATATATAGTACCATAAGAGAAAAAGAATATAATACCAAACATGCAGTCTCTAAAAATAAATAAATTGAACTTCATGATAATTAATAAATTCTGCCCTAGGAGAGAGACTTAAGAAATGAAAATTAAAAAAAGAAAGAAACAGAAATCAAAAGCATAGACTGTGAGAAAACATTGGTAAAGCATATATCAAATAAGGAACTTCTATGTAGAATATATGAAATCACAAAACAGTAAGAAACCAACCAATTTTTCTAAAAGTAGGCAAAAAACATGAAAAGATAATTCACTAAAGAACATGTATGGGTGGCAGATAAACACAAAGACTAATGCTCAACACTGAGTCATTAGAGAGACAGGATAAAACCGCACACCTACTAGAATGGCTGAAATGAATGGCTCGTGTCTTACATACAAGGATCAGCAATGATGTGAAGAAACTGGAAATCTAATATAGGAGGAAATATGAAATGGCATAACCATCTACAACACAAGTTGGCAAGTTCTTGTGAAGTTAAATATTTAGATCAACTTCCTGCATGACAGTGTGAGCTTTTGCAGGCCTGCTTCCCATTAAAACTGGGGAAAATTATAAAAACACAAGTTAAAAGTCTCTGGAAATGGTCCTACGGTATACAGCAAATGAGGAAACACTTACTCAAGAACGTCTGATACTCCGTAAGAACAGCAAGGTCCAGTCACATCTGAACTAAGACCATTCCCTCTCTCCCCACTCCAATGATAGAGGTGGAATCTCCACTACAGACTAATACATCCAAGAACACAGGACTCCCTCTCCCTGGAGCTCCCAGGCAGAAGCTTATTTTCTCAGGAGGCAGTATGTCAGGACATTTGGATGAATGATGTTCATTTGCTGGCTTCCTCATAAATGCTACTTTCAGAGCTCCTCTCTGTTTTAAGTTAGGTTGACCAGGAAACTGCATGTGTACTGCACTCCTAAGGCCTCTCTCCAGTCTGAACATTCTGGTGCTCAACAAGTTTAAGCCTTTGGCTGAAGCCTTTCTTCACATTTACTGTATTCATTAGGCCTATCAGGATTGTGAAGTTTCTGTTGCTGAATCAGAGCAGATCTCTGGTTAAAGGCTTGTCCACATCAGCTGCATTCAAGACTTTTCTCCACTGTGAACTTTCTGGTGTTGAATGAGGTTGAAACGCTGGCTAAATGATTTCCCACAATTGCTGCACTCATAAGGCATTTCTCCAGTGTGAATCCTCCGATGTTTAACAAGGCTGGAGCTGTGGCGAAAAAATTTCCCACATTCCCTGCACTCATAAGGTCTTGCTCCAGTATGAACCCTCTGATGTTTAACGAGGCTGGAATTCTCGCTAAAGAATCTTCCACAATCATTGCACTTAAAAGGCTTTTCTCCAGTGTGAACTTTCCGATGTTGCATGAGGCTAGAGCTTTGGCTAAAAAATTTCCCACATTCCCTGCACTCATAAGGCCTTTCTCCAGTGTGAACCCTCCAATGATTAATAAGGCTTGACTTGTGGCTATAGAATTTCCCACATTCACTGCACTTATAAGGTCTTTCTCCAGTGTGAACTCTCTGATGTTTCATGAGGCTTGAGTTAAAGCTAAAGAATTTCCCACATTCACTGCACTCATAGGGCCTCACTCCAGTGTGGATCCTATGATGCTGAACAAGTGTGGAATTATGCCTGAAGGCTTTTCCACATTCACTGCATGTAAAAGGCTTTTCTCCAGTGTGAACTCTCTGGTGTTGAATGAGGTCAGCATTGCGACTAAAGGATTTTCCACATTCACTACACCCATAAGGCCTTTCTCCAGTGTGAACTATTTGATGTATAAAAAGGTTTGATTTATGGCTAAATAATTTCCCACATTCGCTGCATTCATAAGGCTTTTCTCCAGTATGTAGTCTCTGGTGCTGTACAAGTAAGTATTTCTGACCAAAGGCTTTCCCACATTCACTGCATTTGTAATGCCTTTTTCCAGGGTGAAACGCCTCCCCACTCTTGGTGTTCCTTTGTGGCTCCCCTCCACCGCAGGTCACCTGATGGTTGAGAAAACCAGAACTAACTGGGAAGTCCTTTCCACCCTCCCCACCCTCTTCTCTTAAAGGTTTCTCTCCACAGTGCAGCTTCTGGTGTTGAACTTTTGCTTTGAGCACTCCTTCTATATAAACACCCTGCTCATGAGGTGCTTCCTCAACCTCTGCTCTATGCCGCCAACCTGAAAGCAAAGAAATGCTGATGAAGTGTATGTGGACTTCAGTGGGAGGACGTAGCATGCTTACAAATGTGTCTCACACACCCAGTAAATAGTCCAAATAGTCCATCGTATTGCTGGCAGAATCAGGCCTGAGGTTCAGAGTGAGGAAGGGCCTGCCGTGCCTGCGTTGGACCTGGCAAGCTTGCAGATTGGTGTGAGGCCTCATGAGCAGCAAGGACACAAAGATGGAGTGCAGCTCAGGGAGGAGAGGCTGGGTCTCCAACACACTCTGCAAATGGCCTTCAGCAAGGCTGCTGATAACCCAGGAACACAGTGCAGAAGGGTGTGGTCAGGCCCAGAAAGCAAATCAGATGCAACCGAATAGCTGGTGTTCAGGGTTAAGGATACATGCACACCTCATGACACATTCTGTGAAAGCCTGTATCATAACCTTGAAAACTTCATATTCTGCTGCCTCAACCTCCCCACTGGCCATGAATTCTGTGACCACATACACTAGTGTGATGCGGGCCCCTGCCACAAGTCCTCCTTCCTACCCTCCCCCTTACTGGGACCTAGCACCATTCAAATGCACCAGTGAAATCCCCTCACTCCTTTTCTTATGCATCCCACCCTGACTCCCGATGAAGCTACTCAACCACAGGTCCTCTCTACTTCTCCCCAGTTGGTTGAGCCCACTCCCTTGGGACTCCCTCCCAGGTGACCCTCTGCCCCATGCAGTGACTGTCTAGGACCTGTGAGTATAATAAATTTTGTTACTCCTGTGCCTCTCCTGTCGTGGCTGCACCTGTTCTCATAAGAGAATACAAAATGGCTGACATCGCAAACAGGATGGTCTGTGATGCCGATCATTCACAGGTGGGGGAAGATTTAGGCAATGCCTCCTAACTGCTTGGCTTACTAACCGGCTCTCAGCCATCTGGGACGGCGGGGTGTCCTACTGGCATTCTGTGTGCTGCCTCCCTCAGGCTCTGCCAAGGCTTCCACCCTAAATTGTGGAGCTCATTCTCCTCAGATACCCTGAGACTTCACTTCTGGCCAGCCCTGACTCAACAGGGAGCTGGTGAGAGGGGGCGTGTTCTCCTAGTGCTCCCTGAATAAGCAACAGGCTGGTAGAATTGGCTAAAAACATTACGAAGTCTCCACTGGGATCGAGGGTGAGAGTGGAAGGGGAACGTCCTTGCAGCCGCCGAAGAAGCACTGCGTATCAGCTGTTGGCTATTAGCTGATTTGTCAACAGAGGAGGGCCGGGGAGCCCTCAGGAGATAACTCCTGTGGACTCACGGCACCAGGACTGGGGGGGGTTCTTGTGTTCCCATTCAAGGCCATGTTGCTCCTCAATCCCAGGCAGGGATGCTGTACCTCCTTCACTGCCTGTGTCGCTGCTGTGGCTCTTTGCCTCCCAAGCCCGTGGGCATCAGTGGGTCCTCCCTGGAGATAAATGACCCAAGTTCTTATGGCCCAGGATCTCGGCAGGAACACTTCATTCTAGCACCTCACAATGACCAGAGGAAGTGAATCAATAATTCAAGAAAGGTAAACACCTTTGAAACCCTTCTGGGTTCTGCTTCGTGCCACTGCCTGTCAATTTGCCAACTCTGCTCCCAAGGTCTGGGACCAATCCCAAAAGGACATCCAGCCACCACAGCTCTCCTCAGCGGATTCCAATCCAGCTGAGGTCACCCTAAGAGATGGGGCCACAGGAAGGAAGCATCTCATGTCTTTCCAGACCCAGCAGGTCAAGAACACAGATCACAAGGAATTAGAAACTAAAACTCACAAAGTCACAAGACTGGAAATCCGAACTATTCTGAAAGATTTCATGCAAAGAGATGGGGGAAAGGAGCTCATTGGTTACCAAGAGCATTTAATACCGGCTTGTAGCACCTGCTCACAGAGCCCCAAAGATGAGGCAGCTGCTGGCATTACTAAAGAGCCTAAGATACGTTAGTTAGTTAAAAGATTTTATTTATTTATTTGACAGAGAGAGAGAGAACACAAGCAGGGGGAGCGGCAGGTAGAGGGCGAAGCAGGCTTCCCGCTGAGCAGGGAGCCCGATGCGGGGCTCGATCCCAGGACCCTAGGATCATGACCTGAGCCGAAGGCAGACGCTTAACGACCCAGCCACCCAGGTGCCCCTAAGATACATAATTTAAAGATCCTCTGGCCCGCCAAGTTCAATTCTCACATAATATTTTGGGCTAAAGGCACCCAGGAGGATGCAGGGCATCCCAAATGCCAGGGCAGGGATGACAGATGCCAAAACTTTTGATGACATTATAAAAGCCTCAGATGAGGAATCTGAAACTTCTACCACCCCTCAGGATTCAGAAGCCCTACCTTTACTGACTTGGATTTTCATGGCCTGGAGATGGGACAACAGAAGCATCAGGAAGCCCTGATGCTCCTCCGCACAAAGTGGAATGGTTCAGCGGATCTTTCAGTACTTTGAACATTCAGACAAGAAAAATCCTGAGTGTGTTTTTAATCCAGAGGAGGCCCCCTTTGTCAGAGTCTAGGAGTTGTTCTTGCAGGTGCCCTTCCCAATATAGGGGGCACTGCTTAATTTTATTGACATGTCCCACACCAAACAGGATGGCACTGATTTCCTGACACGCCATAAGGGCTCCGCCCACCCTGACTGACGAAGTCTGACTTTCCACCCTCTGCCTCCTAGTATGCAGGTACCCCCACCTGTACCATTCAGTCTGTTCCTTTTTTCCCAACTTGCTGACACCCCTGCTGCCTCCAGGTGACTTACAACTAAGAGACCCCACAAACTAACTACTAGGCAAGCCATCCCCAAATTACAACAACTAAACAACAAATTACAACAACTAAAAGAAATACTGGAAGAGCCTCACCCATTATTACCCATAGGTCTGGTGGCTCAGGGAACTACTCCTCTGGAACCACCCGAGGATGCTTCCAGTTCCAAAAATGTCAACTGCCAAGGCCAAGCCAGTGAGGATTCAGCTAGTCCTCAGGCACTGCCATACCACCCAAGGGCAATCACCCACACACAACTCTGGTAATTCACAGGAACTCTTAAACATTTCCTAACTTTATGGACTACAGGAGCCCAAGTCACCATCATTCCAAGCAACCCATTCAGATTTAAAGGGGGTGCCCCTTTTAAACTACAGGGTAATGGCAGTAAAACTATTCATGGCAAAGAAACTGCACTCAATGTCAGTATTCTTATTGCAACGGTTTTTATTAAATGGCTGCCTGTCACAGTGACCCCTACCGCTTTGAGTTTTCCTATTATAGACAGAGATGCCATCGTATGCCACATACAAAGCTGGAATAAGCCATGCTGCCTGGTCTTGCCAGTAAGACACCAAATGAGAACCTGTGGGGCTGCCCCTGCTGGTGAAGGTAGTAAACACACCACAATATCACCTGAAACAAGGTAACTGCTGGCCTTCAGAGTGCTGTTCAAGATCTACTAAATGAAGGGGCAATTATTCTCATAATTTCTCCTTTCAGTAATCCTTCTATTTGGCCAGTCTTCACGGCTTCTACCAACAATGCCACTCAACTACTGCTTATCAAAACCCCAAAGCTTAAGTTCTCCCCATCAAGGCTCTAATACCTAACATAATTGAATTAACTGAAGATATCCAAAGGGTGCCCAGTGACTACTTTGCTGTGGCAGACTGGGGCAGTATATCTTATTCAGTGCCTATCACCAGTCACAGCCCCTGTTCACCTTTACCTTTCAAGGAACCCAGCATACATTTATTGAGTTGTCCATGAGTAATTTAAACAGCCCAGTGACTGCCCACAATCCGTACTGTCAGGACCCAGACAGGGTCCCCTCAAAGCACCTTGTCTGCTTACACCCCCTGCCTTTGTTCCCAACTGCATTCACCCAGGATAGCTGCACCTTATAATCAAGTCACCCCCACAGGCTTACTGCTTGTACCCAGGAGCCAACTGCACTTGACCAGTTCCCCATGTTAGTCTTTTGCCCTCATGCTAACTACCTCACGGGCACATTATGCTTTAAATAACAGCACCTCAGGAGCGCCTGGGCGGCTCAGTCCGTTAAGCATCCAACTCCTGGTTTCGGCTCAGGTCATGATCTCAGTCATGGAATCGAGCCCTGTGTCCGGCTCCATGCTCAGCACAAAGTCTGCTTGAGGTTCTCTCCCTTCCCCTCTGTCCTTCCCCCACTCGCGCACTCTCTCTTTCCCATAAATCAATCAATCAGTAACTAACAGTACCTCTGGATTCTACTGTGGCCTGAACCCACGGGCACAGCACTTTATACACTTTCCCCTACTGACGCCCAATGAGTCTGTACCCCAGTGTGCAGCGGTTACACCGAGGAGCCCCACAGTTCTTTACCCACCAGGTACCTCCCCTTTGCTCTCAAACCCAGGCAAAACAGGCAAGATTTGTTCCCATTTTCATAGGACCCACCAGAGTCACAGGCGACACCAGAGCTGGCCCCAGTAGAGCAGGCTTTGTGTCAAACGAGACTGCACCATGACTGCCAACCAGCACCTCCTGGAGGCCCTCTCAAGGTCACACACAAAGGCTGCACTACACACTGTCCCTTTACGCAACGGGCGCACAAGTCTCTAAGCCCGAATGGTCGTGGATGACAGACTGGCTTAACTGTTTACTAGCCAGGAAAGGAGGTGTGGGTGCCATTCAGGGCACCTCCTGCTGTATGTAACTCAGTAATTCTAGATAGCTACAAGCAAAGCCATGAAGATTAGGCCAAGAGGTGAAAATCTTTCATAACATAACCCAAACCTTCCAGTAGATTCCCTTAAGCCAAGGGGTATATGACCTGTTCTCTTGGCTTTCCCCCCACTAAATGCAGGCCTGCCTATGGCCTGGGTTTCAAACCCTCATCATAGGCCTAGTAGGACTCCTCTCAGTTGTCACCTATGGCAAAGTTTGCCTTTTATGGGTAGACCAAGCTATTCCAGTCACCTTTAACGTCTCCACAACCCAGGTGGCAAGCGGTACCTATCACAGTTGGTCCTGTTGATGTTGAGACATCACAGGGCTCATTGTATTGTCACCTTTTAAATTTCATATTTTCCTGTTGCCTCAACATCCCCACAAACAGGCTGTGAGAACCCACCCAGGTGACCAGCTTAGCCAAGTGATAAGGCTGGTTCCTGTCACAAGTCCCCCTTCTTGCCCTCTCCTGTGACCTAGTGACATTCAGATGTTCCAAATGGAATCCACTCACACCTATTCTTACGCACAGCCCCCTGGCCCCCAGGAAGGGCACTTGCTCATGGGTCCTCACTCACTCTCTGCTTCCCCCTGCTTGGTTGAGCCCTCTCCCTGGGTGCTCCCTCCCCTGTGAACCACCTCCCACACACATCCCCAGTGTGTCATGACTGTCTCTCTAGACCTACTGAGCATAATAAACTTTGTTTTTTCCTGAGCTGCTCCTGTGTCTCCTCTTGTGGTCGTGCCTGACTGACCATCTCACGAAGAACAGAAAGGAAGGCCACTGTCGGGGAGCATTGCAGAGGGAGCAGTAGGAAGGAGAGGTGGGGGAGAGCCCTGGGTCAGAAATCAGAGTAGACATAATAAGTGCACAACTGAGAAAAGATGGACATCAGCCCTGAACCGTGCCTTGGCACCAAATCATCAGGGCTCAGCAGAAGGATTCCTGGTATGACCTGAGCCCATCCCTGAGTTCACACCTGCCCAGCTCCGCCCTCCCAAGTACCTCTTGGCATGGCTGCAGTCATGACTCCACAGGGAGGCAAAAAGGGTTCTCTCCACCACTCCAGCTGGGTGATTTCGTGAGTCCTGGAAGATGCAAGTCCTAAGAGAGAGATGACACAGGTGGGTCAAAGTGACCCACCCCATGACAGACCATAGGAAAGAAAACTAAGTATTACAGAAGAATCTTGGAGGAGACTCTTGTGAGAACAACCCAGTGAAGCCGTTGGCCATGTCGGTGCCTCAATTGCTAGGACGGGCACATCCCATATGTCAGCCAGAGGAAGAGAGCAGAACCTGGGGCACAAAGCTGCCAGGGATCTTTATGGCATCCCCAAGCCACAGAGAGGCCAACAGGGTGTGATCCATTAGGCTGACAGCAAGACTCCTAATCCCACAGCTTCTCCTGCACGGCTTTGGGGCAGCAAGTATTGAGGCAGCTCAAGAAGGGAAGGGGTGGTACACACAGCCCAGGCTATTACAACACCTACTTACGCGCACAGGGAAGGAAGAAATGCCCATGGTCCAGCTCTGGGAAGGCGAGACCTGTCCCTGAGGTAAAGGGGAAGAGCAGAGCCCAGCCCAGGACACTGGAATGGGTTGTGAGGACCTTACCCAGAGAGGCCATCAGTGAAAAGTTCTCCAGCATCACATCACGGTACAGGAGTCTCTGGGCTTCATCAAGGAGCCCCCACTCCTCCCAAGAGAAGTAGACAGCCACGTCCTCAAAGGTCACATGGCCCTGTCAAGATGGGACAGCTGAGTTGATGTGTAGCTTCCTTTCCCAGGACTCTAGGCATCCTCATAAATGTCCACCCTCCTCCAGGGGTCCCCCACCTCAGAGGAGATACCAAGCCCTGATGCCACTGATGCCTGCTTGCTCCTCACTGTCCCAATAGGCACTGTGTTCAGTCCTCAGCAACAACAGGTGGGCAGGTAAATGCCATCTGAGCTCTGGGCCTGCCAGACAATTGACCTGGGGTTTCCCAGATTGTGCTTCCCAAACACAACTAACTTTGGGCCATTGTTCTCCCTTCAGCCCCCAGTACAAGAGCCTGGAGCCATCAGTTTACACTCCCACCCAACATGCACATCGTTGTACCATACCTCCCTTCACTGCCACCAGCACCGCCTATGCCACATCATCCATCTCCCTGGCCTCACCACATGCTGGTGTGGTACATGCCATCCAGAGGGTGCTTGGCAGATGTAATCAGAATTCCATTCTGTCCTAGAATTCCAATGACCCTGACTGCCAGAGGCAACCCCAAGCCTACTTTCAGGGCCTTCCTGCCTGGCCCATATCCTTGCTTCATCCTCAGCCACCAGGAACCACACACAGATTTCAGACACCCTCAGCTCTCTTCCACCTCTGTGTTGCAAAGGTGTCCCCTCACCTGTCTCAGTTTCCTCTGACGCTTATTGGAAGCCCAAGCCCAAGTCCACTTGTCTCTCACACTAGGTCTGCAATTGTCCCAGAGGATCCCATTTTATCTTGAGCTAATCCCCTGGTGCCAGCAAGGGTCAGAACAAGAGCCTGGGGATCCCAGAGCTAAATGAATTAGCAGTGGCACGAGCTTCACTGTCACCTCACTGCCTTGTCTCCACATCTATCTCATGTTCACTGGCCACCGGCCAGACCCTCTTCATGCCTACACCCTGACCGCAAGGACACCATTCTCCCTCATGTGTCTTTGTGAAGCCCACTACCCCATCCAGGTGTCCAGCAAGAGACTCGGTCCTTGGCCCCACACTCTCCTCGTTACCTGAAGATGCTCCTGCCAAATCTGATCCACAGCTCTGTCCTGGTCCATACACCATCCGTACTGTGGGTGTCTCCAATCTGACCACTTTGCCTCAACCCCACACTTGTGTGTCCAGATGCCCACTCAACACACCCACCTGGGGTTCTCGGAAGCATCACAGTTCAAACACAGCCCAAACCTGACTCCTAATATTCCGCATGAAAATGACTCTTACCACCAACTCTGACATGGTAGTACTTGCCAGCTTCTAGCTACTACAGCCAAACATCTGAGTCACTGCCGACCCTTCCACGTCTTTCTCCCACCCTCCACAGGTCAGAAAGTCTGCTTGGACCTACTGAAAAAACAGATGCAGGTTCCAACCCATGTCCCACCTCCACAGCCACCACTAACACTCACTTGGACTACTGCAGCCGCCTCTTCCCCATAGTTTGCTCTCTGCTCTGCAGCAGAAGCAGCTCATTAGGTCTGGTCCTATCACTTCCCTCTTCTGCTCCAAACCTTCCCTGGCTCCTGCCACTCCAGAATAGAGGCCCAGCTCCTGGCTTCCATCAGGTCTAATTTCTGTTTCCTACTGTTTCCACCAGACATAATAGAAACCTAAGGTTGCATGAGTATTCCCGGCCCAGCCTCACCTCTAGCATTTTCTAATGTTTATCACCATGAATATAATGTCTTATAAATGTCATGCCACTGGTTGCCAGGAATGGGAACCAATCCATGTAATTCCTGGTCTGGACTCAGGCCCCTGACCTTAGGTGATCATCTTCCAGGGATCTAGGATGGAAGAGTAGGGAGAATAGCAGGCAGTCATAGAATCCTGCAGCCCACGCAGGTGGGAACTGAATAGGATGAGGATTTGGGATACCCCCCACTTACCTCTGCATGGTCTGGAAGCAAATCTGCAGCAATAGGAACCTACAGAAAAGCAAAGCCATGAGAAGCAGGCAACAGTGTTGGGCCACAAAGGCCCACCCAAGTCCCTCATATCATCTGGGCCTCAGTCCTCAGGGATGCCTCTTACCAGCTGTGTGACTTCGGATAAATACACAACCCCCATGTGCCTCAGTGTTGTCATCTGTAAAATGGGGATAATAGTGGTGCCCACCCCGTGGGGCTATTATCTGTACTGAATTCCTTCCTATGTGTCAAGTACTAAGTAGTGACTCTTATTGTCCTCATAATTAACACCTTTGTCAACATTTTCAGTGCAAATAAACTGATAGGTACTGAAAATGTGTTTTGTATGTGCCTTTTAACTAAAAGCATGTGATATTTAAGACATTTAATTTTAGGGACGCCTCCATGGCTCAGTCAGTTAAGCGTCTGCTTTCAGCTCAGGTCATGATCCCAGGGTCCTGGGATCGAGTCCTGCATTGGGCTCCTTGTTTGGCAGGGAGCCTGCTTCTGCCTCTGCCTGCCGCTCCCCCTGCTTGTGCTCATTCTCTCTGACAAATAAATAAATCTCAAGGGGCGCCTGGGTGGCTCAGTCGGTTAGGCGTCTGCCTTCGGCTCAGGTCAGGATCCCAGGGTCCTGGGATCGAGTCCCGCATCAGGCTCCCTGCTCGGCGGGAAGCCTGCTTCTCCCTCTCCCACTCCCCCTGCTTGTGTTCCCTCTCTCGTTGTGTCTCTCTCTGTCAAATAAATAAAATCTTTAAAATAAATAAATAAATAAATCTTTAAAAAAAGACATTTAATTTTAATCAGATGCTTAGAAGTATATTAAAACTTCAATTATTAAGCACTTACATCAATTTAACTTGTTAAACCCATGTTATTTTAATGCCTACGTATGTATATACACACGTGTATATATACACACGTGCAAATGTATGTATACAAACATACTTATTTTTACCAGTTAATGTTTAAATAAACACTTCATGTAAACTCACACATTAATAAGCAGGGGATTGGGCCTGAGGAAACAGAGACTAGTCCTGGTGGCAACCTGGCTGCTTGCTACACACTCTCCTATAGGCAGTCCTGCTGGGAGCCTTTCCAGCTACTCATCCTTCCTGCCCTGAAGGCTGGGGAACTTAAGCACCAAAAGGGGCTGCTCCACTCACCTGACTGACCTTTCCTTTTCTCCACAAAAACTGGACTTGAGGGCTTGCTGAGCCCAGAATGGCAAGCCTACACCACTGAACATCTCAGTCTCCATTCCGGTCCCAGTCCTTAGACCCTATAACCTGCCACTCTTGCATACGCCAACCAGAACCACTTGGGATTACAGGGATCACCCTTCTGAAAGCAGCCCCACCCTTAAGATTCTCCCTCCCAAGTAGGAGTCCCAGGCCTTGCCCTGGTCCAGGACAATATCCACCACCTCTTGGCTATCTTCAGCCCAGATCCCTCCCAGGACTTCAGATGTGAGTGAGTAAGCTACCCATATGACACCTGCACTCGACATTACCCTGTCCCAAATCCAACTCCCACTCTTTTCCCTGACACCTGTTCCCTGCACCGACCTCTCCATCTCCATCCTTCCGGATATTTTCAGAAAACACTTAAAAAAAAAAAAAAAAGGCAAACAGAAACACAGACGGCCCTTCATTCCCTTCTTTCTCTCACAGCCACTTCTGATGCATCAGGTAATCCTGTCGTTTTTAAAATCCCCCCGAGATCTATCAGTCCGCCCCCTCTACCCATCAGTATGGTCCCGGCCCGGTCACAACTCTCCAGTAGTCTATTGTATGGACTTCGTCCACCCTCCTTACCCGATCCCTTTGTTCCCTAAAAAGCCTTTGAAAACTTTGAGCAACAGACGCGAGTCCCTCCTCTGTTCACAACCCTCCGTGGCCATCAGCGCCCTCGGAACGAAGGCCCAGCCGCTCCGGCGGCCCTTCGGCTGTGACCTGTCCCCTCTCAAGCTGTTCCCTGCGGACACGAGACAGCCCAGGTTAGGACTCCAGCTCAGGCCCTGTCCCTGTAACCCTCCCACGCCCCATCACACTGGCTGACAGGAGCGGGGATGCGGACACGAGCGCCCCACTGTCCCGGACCCAGGGGGACCGCTCCTTCGGGGCTCGGCTTGAGCGGGGAGGGCCCGGGTATCAGCGCCTACCTGAGCCAGGTCCCTCCGCGCGGCCGCCGCCATCGGACTCCGGGGGCGGAGCGGCGCCCGGGGAGGGGAACCAGCCCGCGCACCCCCGACCCCGATCCCTCGCCGCTGCCGAACCTCAGACGCCCTTCCTCTCCCGGCTTCCTGCTCTCGTCACCCCGGCCCCACAGGAGCCTTCCCAAACCTCCGATCACACAGAGCGGCGCCAGAGCCCCCAAAACGCCCGCCCCTGGGGCCGCGCCAGAAGTCCCGCCCAGCGCGTTCCGCACGCGGAGGAAAGTCCACTTTCATTGGCCGGGCGCGGGCGGCGCGGGGCGCAGCGCCTGCCGGGTAATGTAGTTCCCACCGAGCCCAAGGTGGAAGAAGTGGGCGGACTGGCTGAGAGGGCGGGCTGGAGAAATCCGGCCAGAGACTATCCTAAATGTAGACGTCCCTGTATTTCAGTTTCCCTGCGCAGCTAGTGCTACTACAGTCTTTCCTTCTTCTTCTTCTTTTTTTTTTTTTAGATTTTATTTATTTATTTGAGAGAGAGAGAGAATGAGAGACAGAGAGCATGAGAGAGGGGAGGGTCAGAGGGAGAAGCAGACTCCCCGCCGAGCAGGGAGCCCGATGTGGGACTCGGTCCCGGGACTCTGGGATCATGACCTGAGCCGAAGGCAGTGGCTTAACCAACTGAGCCACCCAGGCGCCCCTAGTCTTTCCTTCTCTTGAATGACTTCGAGAGAGTCGTGAGAGCCACAATAAAGTGGTTTCCTTGTACTGAACCAGTTGTACGTTACCAAATTACCCTTGCTGAGGCGATGCCCAATATCAAGGACATCGGTGGTGCAGCAATGCCTGATGAGTGAGGAAAAAATGACACAGTTCTGAACGTAGGTGGGGAGATAGTCGGGCATCCCAAGTGCTTACCTTCCTCCCTCACCCCACACATCTGTGCCCTTTCCCTTTTTAAGGGCCCAACGTTGGTGTTCAAGTAGGACAATGGGCCTCAAAACCATAGGCCAACACATTCTCACTTCCAGATTTCTCCCCTTCATCCCTTTCTACTCCGTGTTCCCGCTGCCCTTTCATCTCCAGATACAAAGCAAACTCCCTGCAGGTGGGAAGGATGCTGGACTATCGTTGACATCAGGAAGCATTGGTAAAAGAAATGCCACCACTTTAGTATGTGTTCTCCCAGCACCTCCCTTACCACTGGCTCCATTTCTTTCCTATCAGTCTTCATTTCCCCAATTCTTCTGTCCCTTTTATCTGTGGGCTGAGCAGTGACTAAATCCGTCACTGCCTTGGAATGACTCATGAGAACAAAAGATGATGAAGCATTCACACCTTCCCAGGATTTTCTGGAAGTAGGTGTTAAGTACTAGGGAAAAATACTCTGGGAAGGAAGTGAGGAGTCAATATCGGAGTTGAGAACATGAAATGATAGAGACCCAAGTGGCATTAGTTATTTAGTTCAGGCCTAAATGTGGCATGTGACTATAGACTATCATTTAGGGAAATAAACATAGGTAGTAAAACTATAAGGACATCAAGAGCATGATTATCGAAATGTCGGGTGAACTCTAGGGGGCCAGAGGGTCATATAAGGGGAGCAAGTGACAAGGAATGCCTAAGAAATATTATATATTCTGTTTTACACCAGGTGATAGTTTTATAGGTGTGGTCTTTGACGTGGGAAAGACATTAGGGCTTGAAGTCGATGGCCAAAAAAGAATTCTTGAGACGTCTTTGGTGCAAAAAGGTGGTTTTATTAGAGCATGGGGACAGGACCCATGAGCAGAAAGAGCTGCTGCACTGCATTGACATAAATTGAGGAAGACTCATGTCTTGCTGGACTGTGATCCCTATTACTTAACCATTTGTTTTTCCTTCCCTTAGCTTTAGGGCAGCCAGGAGTGCCTGAGGAATGTCACACATATTCCACCTGGGAGGGGGAGAATTGAGGGGTATCAGCTTGTGCTTTGCCCTCAGCTTGCCTTCTGCTCCCTCCTGAGTCTTTATAAAAGAAAAAAACCATGATTTGTACATCTCTTATTAACACTCAACTGAATGTATGACAGTTTTTAAAATAAAGAAAGAGAAAAAGCTATGCAGATAGTTTAATTTTGTCACAAGAATAAACAAATGGATGATCTTAACAGGCTGAAACAACCTCACAAGGGTATGGAATTTGAAATAACTTGATCAGTGAAGGGGCGCCTGGGTGGCTGAGTCGGTTAAGCGACTGCCTTCGGCTCAGGTCATGATCTCAGGGTCCTGAGATCGAGCCCCACATCGGGGTCCCTGCTCGGCGGGAAGCCTGCTTCTCCCTCTCCCACTCCCCCTGTTTGTGTTCCCTCTCTTGCTGTGTCTCTCTCTGTCAAATAAATAAATAACATCTTTTCTTAAAAAAGATTTTTACTGTGTATAGAAATTTAATTCGTGGCTATTTCTTCTGCATAGAGACTGTTCTTATTGCCCTTCTGACTCCCAAATGACATTTGGTAAATCCCCTTTCTCTCAGACATTTGTAACATACCTATAAGGAATTTACTACATCTCTGTATACAGAGTAAGAAATATTATCTTGTAAAAAAGTGTTACACGTGTTCTACACAATCACTGATTATAAAGGCAGAAGGAATGATTTCTGAGGTAACCAGAGACACAAACATCTTCCACCTGCTTTAGCGGTGCTTAACATCCCTCTCCATGTTCCACATCATCGGGTGTCTGGAGTGTTTTCTCTCTTGTTCCTGATCCTCAATGCTGAGGCTCACAAAACTAACTCTAGAGCTGCAGGCTACAAGAGTTTATTTGAGGGACGCCTGGGTGGCTCAGTCAGTTAAGCGTCTGCCTTCAGCTCAGGTCATGATCCCAGAGTCCTGGGACCGACGAGTCCCTCATCCGGCTCCTTGCTCAGTGGGGAGCCTGCTTCTCCCTCTGCCTGCTGCTTCCCCTGCTGTGCTTTCTCTCTCTCTCTGACAAATAAATAAATTTTTTTAAAAAAAGAGTTTATTTGATAACAATATTTATTAGCTTCCAGCTATAAAAATCTGAGTGAAATTAGCATATGGTGTGTTCATTGAATTTTTTGGTGAGCATTCTCTGCCTAAAGAGTCCTGAAATAATATCTCTAAACATTTCTGTAATGTGTTACACATTATTATTATTTTTTAAAGATTTTATTTATTTATTTGAGAGAGAGAATGAGATAGAGAGAGCATGAGAGGGGGAGGGTCAGAGGGAGAAGCAGACTCCCTGCCGAGCAGGGAGCCCGATGTGGGACTCGATCCCGGGACTCCAGGATCATGACCTGAGCCGAAGGCAGTCGCTTAACCAACTGAGCCACCCAGGCGCCCCACACATTATTATTTTTTTTAATTTGGGTTCTTGGGGAAACACTTTTTCTTTTCTTTTTTTTAGGGATTTTATTTATTTATTTGTCAGAGAGAGAGAGAGCATGAGCACAAGCAAGGAAGAAGCAGGATCCCCATTGAGCAAAGAGCCCGATGCGGGACTCGATTCCAGGACTCTGGGATCATGACCCCCAGCGGAAGACAGGCGCTTAACCGACTGAGCCACCCAGGCGTCCCACGTGTTACACATTATAGTCACCGGAAATATGGGACCGGCTCCTTTAAGGGAAAGCGAAGCTCCGCCTAGTACTCAAGGACACGCAATTTCCAGGCGCCGCCAGCCTACGTGGTTGGCCTCAGTTCCGGAGGCGGCGCAGACGCCCCTCTCCAGTGTGGTTGCTCAGGAAACTACACTACCCAGGATTCTCGGCGGTACTGGGCCAATGCAGGCCCGAGAGAGAGGCGTTTTCGTTGGTGCCCGAGACCTCAGGGTGGGACTTCCGTTCCCTGCTTGAGCGGACATTTTGTTTGTTTTTGGATTAAGCCACCAGGTCTGTTTCCAGATCGCAGCGTCAGGCGTGAGTGACACGAGAGAGCGGACGCGAGAGGAGGCGTTGTCTCCTCTGAGCAGAGGCGGGCCTGAGGATCGGGTCCTCGCGCCCGTCGACTCTTAATGACCCCCTCGCCTCCGCGCGCCTTCCCCGGCCCACAGGTTCCGGTGGCGGCGGCCGCACCGACGGACCCGGCGCAGGTGGGTGCTGCGCCCTCGGGTCCTCCCGCGACCTCCGTTTCTGAACCCAGAGCCTCGAAGGAGAACAGCCTCGGGTCCCTGCAGCTCAGGGCCCTGTGTCCAGACGGCAGGGGCGCCCCGGTTGGGCCGCACTTCTGATCGCCGGCGCGGCGGGGCGTGGAAGGCCGTCGCGGACAGAGGGGCCAGCATGGGCAGAGGCCTGGGAGGCGACACAGACGGAGTGTTCGGGACGCCTGGGGCCGCTGGCGTGTGACAGGATGAGAGTGTGAGGGGGAGTTGCACCTGCAGCGTCCGCCTGAGCAGTTCTTCGTCACTGTGAGCGTGCGGGGAGCTGTGGAAGGTTCTGAACAGGGGAAGGACGCGATCCGAAGGCTTGGAGGCATTTCTTAGACTGCTTGCGGGACAAACAGACGAGGTTCGGAGGTTAGGAGATGATGAGGCCTAGTCCGAGGTAACACAGCTGTGAGTGGCCTAGAGACTAGGCCCGGAGGGTAGGGCTAGCGGTTAATCAGCCCTGGGTCTTCGTGGCAGGGTAGGAGTAGGGGATAGGCCTGAGCTCCTTCGTGGTCGCTTGTCTCACAGTCCCCCTCTCCCCACAGGTTCCGGTGAACTCAGAAGTAACCATGGACCCTACACAGGTGAGGGAAGGGGGTCTGTGCTCGCATCCATCCCCCCCCCCCCCCCCCCCCCCCCCCGCCCATGGTCTCCAGGATTGTGCTATCGTACAACACTCTTCTTACACTCGCCCAGCTCTTGAGTCTGAGGACCCTGGAGAAAACCTCAGCCCAGGATTCTGAGTCCAGGCCAGGGGTTATATAGAAGGGTTCCCCTTTGCGGGTAACTGTTGGAATAAGATGTGGGTAGCGGTTCCAGGTACAGGAACTAACACCTGCGTATACTTGGAGGAGAGACTGAGATGGAAGTTTTCGAGAAACGACAGGCCTTCCGCATGTGTGGTAGGAATCAGGGGCAGGTGGCAGGCGTCAGGTCTGGAATGGCCAGCTGACAAGCTAGGCCTCTGTTTTGAGGGTTGTGTAGCCATGGGCGTATGGAGCCGAGGAGGGAGGAGGTGATCTAATCCAGGTTTTAACAGCCCCCTCTGGATGCCAAGTGGGGAACAGACTGTGTGTGGTGAGGGTAAAGGGAGCTATGGTATACATAAGGAGACGAGGGAGGAGGCCGCTTCAGCATTCCAGGTGAGTGGTGAGGGATGGGCCAGAGGGGAGCTTGTCGGTGGGGGAAGTGTTGGACCAGATTTTCTTTTTGATGTGAGAAAGAGAGAACCCCAAGGTTTTAGCCCTTATCAGCCGGAAGGGTAGAAGCTCCATCAGCTGAGATGGGCGAGTCAGTGGTGGACATAACTCAGATTGGGTATTAGGATTTTAAATTTGTTGCCCATGTGAAGAGTTTTAAGATGGTCCAGAGAACACTGAGTGGAGGTGTCAAGTGAGCTGATGGACACAGGACTGGACTTCTGTGGAAGGGTTCATGATGGAGACATCCAAAAAGTAGAAGATGGCGTGTAGGCAGGTTTAGGAGGGAGAATGTACAGCGCAGTGCAGTTAGTGAGGCAGGGAGGTGATGGTGGAGGCTAGTGACTGGGTGAGGGGCCAGAGTTGTGAGACGGAGTATGATCCAAAAGAATAATGTGCACATGCAAAGTAGTGTGAACTGATGGCTCATGGGTCCTGGTATTGGGGGCTTAAAGAAGAAAGGTGAGCCCAACTTTGGTTGTCTGGTAGCATGATCTTAGCAACCCCAGGAGAACTGGCTGTCAGGAGGTGGGGGGGGCAGTGCATCCCTGCAGGCCAGGCCCAGAGGTTAGATGGTGCCTCTCTGACCACCTGCCTATTGTTGCTGTGGGTGGACACAGTAATCAAAGGGAGATTAGGAGAGTGCAGACACCATTGGTACCCAGTCCCTGTATTTCCTCTGAGTTGAGGAATTAGGTAGGAAGAAATGCAGGAGGGAGACTGTGGGGGCCTGGATGGGTGTCCTTGGGAGAGAGGCTGCTCACGGACTCGGCTCTCCCCATTGTGGCAGGGACAAGTGAACTTTGAGGATGTGGCCGTGTACTTCTCCCAGGAGGAGTGGGGGCTCCTTGATGAGGCTCAGAGGCTCCTGTACCGCGATGTGATGCTGGAGAACTTGGCACTTATGGCCTCGCTGGGTAAGATCATCATACACACCCCAGTGCCCTGTGCTGGTCTCTGTTTCTCCCCTACTTCCCAAGGGCAGTCCAGTCCTTCCTATATCAGAGCTTCTCTTCTCCCTGACTGGGTGCCTCTGTCCAGATCCGTGCACCCCTGTGCCCCAGTTTCTGACCCCTTCCTCTAGCTGATGTTTCCGGTGGCCTGCCTGGGTCAGGAATTTCAGGGACCAGAGTGGTCACCACTTGCTGAGGTCACTGAGCTATTCATGCAAGACTCTACTTTGAGGTTATTTTTATAATACTTAGTTTTCTTCTCTGAGTGGTGGGTTACCCAGACCAGTGCTGGCCATTTACCTGTCTTGTCTTCTTCTTAGGATATGAATCTTCCATGTCCCATGGGGTTGCCTCACTGGAGCTGGGCAGCAAGCCCTGGGGATCTGACTGGACAGATGTTACTCCAGGCGGGACCAGAGAGGCTCAGGGTGGGTGTGGCCCTGGGGAATGGGAGTGGGGAAAGATGTGATGTCAGGGCTGGGTTCCGGTCATTCCCTAACCTCTCTCCCCACACTTTACTTCCCCATGTACACACTTGTCTTATGCTCTGACCTTTGGCCTCTGGCTGTTCCCCGCCTCTGCTTCCATGTCTCACCTGTTCCTCTCCACTGCTCCCTCTGCAGTGCTTCCCAACATTGGCCTATACTTAGTGTGTTATGAACGTGCACATACCCCAAGAAGTCCTTAAATACAAGCAGTTCAGTGGTAGCTATTCAGTAGACACAGCTGCACAGCTCTCACCTGTACCCAGGTGAAATGCTCTTCCTGGGCTGTACCCCACATTTGTGTCCTTTCCTAATCAAATCCTCTTCCATTCCTTTTTTTTTTTTTGATTCTTCCATTCTGTGATCTTTAGATGCCAACTACTGCATAGCAGCCCTTTACTCACTTGAGCTTGGACCTCTTGTTCTGACCTTGATCTTACTTCTATTAGACACATTTATAATGAGGCTACCCCTTCCATCAGTGTGAATTTGCACTTGTCCTCTGCATTTGTCTGCTTTCAGGTCGTTGGCATGGAATGGAGGATGAGGAGATAGCTTTTGAGCAGAACATTTCTGTGGGAGTGTCACAGGTCAGGACTCCCAAGGCAGGTCCTTCTACCCAGAAGGCCCACCCCTGTGAGACTTGTGGCCTGGTCTTGAAAGACATTTTGCACATGGCTGAGCACCAGGGAACACACCCTGGGCAGAAATCATACATGCGTGGGGCATGTGGGAAACAATTCCGCTTCAGAGCAAACCTTTACCACCAGAAGCAGCACAGTGGAGAGGAACCCTTCAGAGGGGACAAGAGCAGCACCTTGCTTGTGAACAGCTGCCCTGTGGAACCACTGGAGATGCCTTTTACGACAGGGAAGGGTTATAAGGACTTGCCAGCTAGCTCAAGCATTTTCCAGCACCATGCCCCTCAGAGTAAGTGGAAGCCTAACAGAAACACCAAATGTGTGGATGCTTTTCACAGCGGACAAAGGCATTACGAGTGCAGTGAATGTGGGAAAGCCTTCAGCCGGAAAGACTCACTTGTCCAGCACCAGAGAGTCCACACTGGAGAAAGGCCTTATGAGTGCAGCGAGTGTGGGAAAACCTTCAGCCGCAAACCCATACTTGCTCAGCACCAGAGAATCCACACTGGAGAAATGCCATACGAGTGTGGCATATGTGGGAAAGTTTTCAATCATAGCTCCAACCTTATCGTACACCAGAGAGTCCACACGGGAGCAAGGCCTTACAAGTGCAGTGAATGTGGGAAAGCCTACAGCCACAAATCCACACTTGTTCAGCATGAGAGTATCCACACTGGAGAAAGGCCTTATGAGTGCAGTGAGTGTGGGAAATACTTTGGTCACAAATACAGACTCATTAAACACTGGAGTGTTCATACCGGAGCAAGGCCCTACGAGTGCATTGCATGTGGGAAGTTCTTTAGCCAGAGCTCTGACCTTATTGCACACCAGAGAGTTCACAATGGTGAAAAGCCCTATGTGTGCAGTGACTGTGGAAAAGCCTTTAGCCACAAACATGTACTTGTTCAGCACCATAGAATTCACACTGGAGAAAGGCCATATAAGTGCAGTGAGTGTGGGAAAGCCTTCAGGCAAAGAGCTTCCCTCATCCGACATTGGAAAGTTCACACTGGAGAAAGGCCTTAGGATGGCAGGGAATACACTATTTCCTTGTTCAACATAGTGACTGACAGCAGAGGGAAGCTCAGATTAGCCTTCGTGAGTAGCCATCAGCTGGAAGTTGAACCTCATACATTTCAGCATCCACCCCCGGGAGATTATTCTGAGTGTCACCTATGTGGGAAGCTTTCTGGTGCTGTGTTGCACTTTGTAACCTGTCCTGGAGCCTTGCCAGAATTCTGTCACTGCCCATGTCTCTAAAAAAACGAACAAAATCCAGCCATGTATGGAATGGCACCTTGTGCATAAGTCATCCCAACATGTTCTAATAGGCAGGCCTCTGCTCCCTTCCCTAGAGGGATCATCAGTACCTGGAGCCCATTAAAAAAACCTCACTCCTTCATGCTTTCTCCTCCACCAGCTGGTATAAGCATGGACATGACCTAGTTTTGGTCAGAAGGTTGGAAGCTTTGTTCTGCTGGCTGCTTGCAGAGGTTTCCATTTTTCATGAACTTTGTTGGTCTTATTTTGCACTCATGATGGATTTGTCCAGCCTCCAAGTCACCTACCTTAGGAATTGCCCATTTCATAGTGTTTGTTTTGGCAACAAATGCCTGAGTTTTTATAAACTATAATTTTGGGGATCCTGTTCACTCTGTGGGTTGTATTGAGAACAGAATTGGGTTCTGCCAGCGTGAGGGGAGGAACAGCTTTTGTGAGAGCTCCAAATGTTATGTCCCAGTGGTGTTAGCAGAATGGCAAGCAAAGAACAGCTCTCATTTTAGCCTAACTTGCATTCCTGCTCAAGACCTCCTATGAAAGAATACTGATCTTGGTGGGCCTAATCTTTTGGCCTGTATGCCAAGATTATTTGTGTGATCAAGGTCACCCTGAGCAGTGGGCAGTTGTGACAGCCTCTAGTGTATCTAGGAGCAGTATGAATTGGTTCCCTTGTTCCAGAGGGATGTTTCATAGTCCCGTAGTCTCTCTCTCTTTTTTTTTTTTTTTAAAGATTTATTTATTTGACAGAGACACAGCAAGAGAGGGAACACAAGCAGGGGGAGTGGGAGAGAGAAGCAGGCTTCCCGTGAAGCAGGGAGCCCGCGTCCCATAGTCTCTTGATGAGAACTTGACCCCTGGGACCTGCCAATGCCCCTGAAATCTATTATTTAGTAGGCGGATGTCACTGTCCCCTAAAAAGACTAGGTAGGAATCGTAATTGGCACAGAGATACTGATTAATTGGGAGTTGGGAGCAAACTATAGGGAATGTGACTCTTATAAAGGTATATCCACGTTTCCATCACTGTGGCTTTGATATAGGGTTTATAGAAATTCTCAGGATTCCCATATTTATGTCTTTCTCATGGCTACGGTCACTGTCAGAGCAATCAATCGAAGCCTTTTCTGCAATAAACATATTTATAGTATACAGTTTGATAAGTTTTGGTACATGTTTGCACCTGTGAAGCCAAGTTTCCTGATTTGCCCTACAATCCCTCTGCCCCTTACCCATTCCCAGGCAACCATTCATCTTGCTTTCTGTCTTTATAGATTTCTTTGCATTTCCCAAAATTTTATATCTATGGAAAAACTTACGTACACAGATAACACTTTAATATGTACTCTTATGTATCTGGCTTTAACTCTGCATAATTACCTTGTGATTCGTCAGTGTTATGTGCATCAGTAGCTCATTCCTTTGCATTCATACTTTTGCTGAAAATATTCCATTTTAGAGAAAGAATTCCAAATCAAGTGATCCAGTAGAGAGTTCACACAAAAACGAAGCCACAGTATCTGTTAAAACCTTTTCCCGGAAATGATGTGTTAACATTCCTGACTTTTTCTGTGGGTAACACAGACTAATCCTGGTATAAAGTGGAAGGGGGCTCCACAACAGGGACAATACAAGAAGGTAGAGATTGCCAAGAGAATCTCTTGGATAGTGGTTACCACAATCATAGGGGTTTTTTTTTCCTTTACATTTTTAGCTTTTTAATGATGAATTACATTGACTAATTTTAAAAACTTAAACCAACGTTACATTTCTAAGGTGAGCCCCATTTAGTCATGATGTATTCTTTTTATGTATTGTATTTATCCACCCCCCCCTTTTTTTTTTAAGATTTTTGCATCTGTGCTCGTGAGGGATGTTAGTCTCTAATTTTCTTTAATGCCTGGGTTTAGTTGGTATCACCATAATGCTGGCTTTACACATTATGTTAAGTATTCCCTGATTTTTAATTTTGTTGAACAGTTTGTGAAGAATTGATATTTCTTCCTTGTTTTGTAGAATTCACCAGTGAAGAAGTAATTGGGCCTGGAGTTTATTTTATGGGAAGATTTGTAATTGCAAATTTAATTTTCAGAGTGGATATAGACCTATAGAGGTTATCTTTTTTCCCCTAGAGTGAGCATTGGTGGCTTGTGTCATTCAAGGAGTTCATTTTATTTAAGTAGTCAAACTTTTCAAACTATTCTCTTATTATTTTAGTACCTGCAGAGTCTTTATTGATGCCACTTCTCTTATTCCCGTGTTAACCTTAAAAATAAAACTGCTAGTTATTTTACCAACAAAACAAAACAAAAAAAGGGTTTATTCAGGAATAGCTGAGATTACAATCCAGGACAAGTGAGTTTTAGCAAAGCCATAGGCGGGTCCAGAGAACAAAGGTGAAGAATGCTTTTTTATAGAGGAAAGGGGAAGTTGGGAAGGACTGTTAAAAACTAAAAATTCCACTGGAGTAAACGGGGGGTTGTAACTACATAGGTTTCTGATTGGCTGAGCTGTCACTGTCTCTGATTGGCCGGGTTGTTGACAGGGCAGGAAGAAATCTTCCTTCCTCCCGTGAGGATAATAAAGTAGTATTGGCTTGCAAGGTCCATCTCTTCCTGTTGGGTCTGCAGTTGACAACTAGTGCCAAACTAGAGCACCCCCTGCCGGCCTCCTGACTTCATTCTAAATGAGGTTTCCTTTTATTAATTTCCACATTCCCCTCTTTTGATTAAGATCTTTCTTTGAAGGCATTGCCAATCAATAGTCAGGTTCTTTATATTTACTGGTTTTGTTCCTCAGTACTAGGAAGGTTGTCATGTCCTATGTTGGAAGGAAAGTGTGTTGCAAGGGGAAACCTCTTAAGGTCACATTTGAGGAATAAGGAAGGTTAGGAGGAAGAAACTCAGATTCTTGAAGCATCAAGCCAGCATCACCTAATTGGGTGATCATTTAAAAAAAATTAAAAAGCTTAACAGTCAACAAAATACAAAACAATTATATACGAGTCAGAAGTAACATAATTCCAAATTGTATGATGGTTCTAAACAAGGACCCTAGGTCTGAAAGTCAAACAGAACATTTATTGGTACTTATTCCAACTTAGGGGAGAAAGGTACCCAGAGTGATGTATTCCTCTTGGAAATGTTTGTTTAAAGTGACCCTGAAAAACAGACTAGCGAATACTGCAAGAGCACACTGAAAGAGTGAACCGAGTGCATTTGGGAAGATAGTGCAGGTATGAACATGATGCAACAGCTGATGAACTTTTTGCAAAACAACAGAACTTCAAAGAGGTTTTAAAACAGCACTCAAAAAATGAAGCAAATATGTTACTGCTAGTACAACCTGTAGGGTTGCAAATTCAGAGACCATGAATTTGGAGATGAATCCAGAGTTAGTTAATAGTTCAGATGAAAGAGACTTCTGAATTCTGAAACCTTCTAACCCATAAGAAAGATCAAGTGAAAATTAACTTGTCTCAGGATCATGAGGCTGTTTCTGAAAGGCCACAATCAAAAGATGTCCACTTTTTGCCACGGCTTGGAAAATGCAGATGGGCACTGTCTTCCCATGAAAGAAGCTACAGTGAAAAAGATATACAGGCTTATTTTGCACATCTTGGGAAAGCTGTTGTCAGATGTCTTCTTCAGTTCCAAGAAATCTTTACTTTCAAGTCACCAGATGATGTGCAGATCCAATCAAGGTTTGGTGCTTTCTTTAGAGGTGTTACAGAAACCCAAGAGTCTATTCCCTGGAGTTCGGTGGCACAGGGTTGGTTAGTAGTTCCTGACAAGGGCCTTTCCAGTGGGGCTGAAGAGTCTGGAGGTGTCTTTTCCAACAGCCCGAATCTGCAGGTTGCAAAGTGTGATGCTTAAGGTCACTGGGGAGTGCTCTGTGAGAAGATGGCTCTACCAAACCATGGTTGTCTTTAACAGAAGTAATTGGGCCTTTACACAACTTTATCAACGAAGGCAGGGGCCAAGTGCTTTGGACGTCCTGTGACTGCCTCAAAGGGTGAATAAGTTCCCAACGGGGTGGATCTGAGAGAAGAATTAACGGCCATGGCCAAGGTATTGGAGAGTCTCTAGAAGTTTTGCCAATTGAGTCTTAATAGTGCCATTGGTGCATTTTTGCTAACTGAAGTTTGCGGATGATGTGCACAATGAAAGTGTTGTAAAACTGGCCAGACAGCACAGAAATGTCAAAATGCCTGACCAGTAAAATGGGTTCCCTGATTACTATGAAGTTTGAGAGGTTTCCCATATAGGGATAATCTTTTCTCTTTTTAAGAAAGATTTATTTTAGAGAGAGAGTTGGGGGAGGGACAGAGGGAGAGCATCTTCAAGCAGACTCCCCACTGGGTGTGGAGCCTGACATGGGGCTCAATCCCACAACGCATGAGATCATGACCTGAATCAAGACCAAGAGTTGAACACTCGACCGACTGAGCCACCCAGGCACCCCTATGTATAATCTTTTCCAAGAGCCACAGAAGAGGCACTGGCCTGTTTTCAAGGGAAAGTTTGATCCATGAGAAAACCTACAGACCACAACTAAAACATATCCATGAGATGGGGTGAGTTGTATGAAATCCATTTGCCAAACTTGAAATTGTCCATTGTGTAATTTGAAATGCCCAGGGTCAGTATGGACAGGTACCTGAGATTGTATTTTGGACAGGTGGGACAAATGAGGTTGATACTTTTGTGGACTTACTAAACTTTTCTCAGCAACATTGGTTTATGGATGCTATCATTTTGTCAGTAGACCAGTGGTTTAATGAGTATTCACTTTTTAAAAAATATTTATTTAGAGAGCCTGCGAGTGGGGGAAGGAGTAGAGGGAGAGGGAGAGAGAATCCTCAGGCAGACTCCCTGCTGAATGTGGAGCCAGACACAGGACTCAGTCCCAGGACCCCAAGATCATGACCTGAGCCAACATCAAGAGTTGGCCAATTAACCTACCGAGCCACCCAGGTGCCTGTAATGTGTATGCATTTGTAAGTAGTGGAAATTTCAGAACTTCTGATATGGCTGAATTGTTATTTGGCCCAAACCAGAGTTAATCTCTTTTTATTAAGGCAACAATTAGGGTGCCTGGGTGGCTCAGTCGGTTAAGCGACTGCCTTCGGCTCAGGTCATGATCCTGGAGTCCCGGGATCGAGTCCCGCATCGGGCTCCCTGCTCGGCGGGGAGTCTGCTTCTCCCTCTCCCGCTCCCCCCTCTTGTGCTCTCTCTCTCTCTCAAATAAATAAATAAAATCTCAGGGGAAAAAAAAAGGTAACAATTATATTTCCAGTATTGTTTTTCCCTCTTTGTTGCCAGTTGCTGGGTATCTCCTGTTGATTTTTCCAAAATTTATCATTTTGGAGAACATCCCTTTGGACCACGACAAAGGTTCGGTTACTGGTTTCCTTGAGAGCAGCACCTGTGGCACAGATACCAGTGAGGTAGGTTACTGTGGCCCCCATGGAGTTGAGTCTGGAGTGTCCAGGAACTTTGATAATACCCACAGCAGCTAGCAGAAGTGTGGCATCTAATAAATTTTGGACATAGGAGCCATTTTTAACATTATTCCCGTTGGAGGTAAGGATACATTGTTGTTTCCATAATATTCCAAAGTTGAGCGACCCCAAAGGCATAGTGGCTATTGATATAAATGTTTGCAGTTCTACCCTTGGCTAAGGCGCAAGCTCGAGTAAAGGCACAGGACTCGGCTTTTGGGGTGAAGTAGCCAAAGGTAAAGGTTCTGCCTCAGTGAATCCAAAGGAGTTGCAGTAGCATACCCAGCATGATATTTGCCATTTTCATTCTTTAAGAACCATCAGTAAACCATGAAAAATCTGCATTGGTTAGAGGAGTTTCCTTAAGGTCTCATGAGGATTCAAAAGGTAACCTGTCAACATTAAGCACTTGTGAGGAGTTTCATCTGGATCCAGATATAGTCCTTGTTTCAACATCAGGCTCCCGAAGTATCTAACTTGAGACTTGGGTAAATTGCAGTTTTTCTTTGGAGACTTTATGTCCCTTTAAGGCCAAAAGTTTGAACAGGTGGATGTGGTCTTCCTGTGAAGAGGCCTGAGAAGGGGAACCTTCTACATACTGCAAATCATCTACATACTGCAACAAAGTAGAGCCTGCAGAGAAATTTCTATCATCCAAACCAAGTTGTAAGGTAAGATTGGTGAAAAGTAAGAAGGACTCTGTGATACTTGGGGCGTGACTGTTCAGGTGTATTTCTGTTCTTTCCAAGTGAAAACAACGATATTGGCTATCCTTATCAACTGGAATGCTAAAAATGTGCTGCATAATCAGTCACAGGGAAAAATGTGCTTACTTCGGGAATAGATGTTAGTAGCAGATGGGGGTTAGGAACAACAGGGTGCTGAGGAGTAACAGTGGTTATTTGGTATTTATTGTTCAGAGGTCCTGGACAAACCCCCATCCTTGGCCTTTGGGTTTTCTCACTGTTAAAACAGGAGTGTTATGGAAAATAAGGCAGGGGATAATGAGACCTTGTAATCTATTATGGGCTTGATACCCTGAAGGGCTTCTTTCTTTATAGGGCATTGATTATGGGAAGAGGTTTTGAATCTTGATGGGAGGTACACTGTGGATTTTGCCAATGTCTGTTGAGAGAGGATGGTAGCTGACACAATAGGAACAAATGGTCAGTATCTCCAGAGTCGGCTATCGTGCTGTCAGAGACAGAATAAAAGACTAAAAGGTGTCAAATGGTCATTTAATTCTCCTGACTGGCTGTTTTGATCACCACTGTAAAATTCTAGAGTTATTCCCCCTTTGGGGAAGAAAGTCTGGCATGATACTTTTCTAAGAAATCCTGGCCCAATAAGTGAGTAGGGGCAGAGTACGGAGAAGATGGGTGAGTAGCTCTCACAGGGCCTAGACAGAAGGGCACAGGCACCTGCTGAAGTTTGTTAGAGACCCGCTATCTGAACTGCTCTGGGGCCGGGGCAGCTTTGTAGCAGTGGGTTCAACACTGAGAGTGTAGCTCTGGTGTCAGTGACAGAGGTTCACTCCCAAACCGGAAAAGAGTCTCTCCAAGCTGGGTAAGGGGGGGTTGGGGAGAGCTCCGGTAGTTTCTCAGATCCCCATCACTGGGAATTAGGAAGACATTAGCAAGGCTAAGGGCGGAAGGCGCCTGGAGCACTCAGATTTGTAACCATCCTTTTTTCCCCAATACCCTGGTTTTTTGCAAAAATAGCAACTAGAGGGCTTTTGTTTTGTTCAGAGACTTTCATTTGCCAGGGTCAAAAATTGAGAATTTGGGGACGCCTGGGTGGCTCAGTCGGTTAAACATCTGCCTTTGGCTCAGGTCATGATCCCGGGGTCCTGAGATCGAGTCCTGCGTTGGGCTCTCTGCTCAGCAGCGAGTCTGCTTCTCCCTCTCCCACTGTGATCTCTCTCATTCTCTCTCTCAAATGAATTAGTAAAATCTTAAAAAAAAAAATTGAGAATTTTAGTGGTCTTTCTTTTAGATGACTCATCTGGGATGTGAGTGAGCTGGTTTGCCATATTAACTAAATTGAGTGGGCGGTTTCCCATTCCATCCGAGTACTTTTAACTAAAAGAAAGATCCTGGTTCAGTCCATTAATAAACATAGTGGATTCAACATCTAAAGGTAGACCAGAATATTCTTAAAAGACAATTTTGTGTTGATTATAATAGTCATGAGCAGGTTCATCAGGTTTCTGTGTGCAAGCCTGAATTTTGTTGCCACACGTCTACAGATAAAGAAGATGAGACATGGGGCGCCTGGATGGCTCAGTTGGTTAAACAACTGCCTTCCGCTCAGGTCATGATCCTGGAGTCCCGGGATTGAGTCCCACGTCAGGGCTCCCTGCCCAGCAGGGAGTCTGTTTCTCCCTCTGACCCTCCCCCCTCTAGTGTGCTCTCTCTCTCTCTCTCTCATTCTCTCTCAAATAAATAAGATCTTAAAAAAAAAAAAAAAAAGATGAGACAGAAGTGAAAAAGAGGCCTCAGGCCATTTTGACTTATTTTAATTGTTTGCTTCAGTTAATTTATAATTTTATCTTTTTTTTTTTTTAAAGATTTTATTTTATTTATTCATGAGAGACACAGAGAGAGAAGCAGAGGGAGAAGCAGGCTCCCAAGCAGCAGGGAGCCCAATATGGGGCTTGATCCCAGGACCGAGATCATGACCTGAGCTGAAGGCAGACGCTTAACCTACTGAGCCACCCAAGCACCCCAGAGATTTTTTTTTTTTTTTAAAGACAAGGCCTTAAAACAGATCCTGAATAAGGGCTGGAGGGCTCAAACACAAAGCATGGAGCTTGAAATCCAGAAGAAAATTTACTGTCAAACCCCAGGTTTGGTGAGAAAGCAATGAGAACAGTCAGCTTTGTGGATACCAGCACCTGTTTGTTTACAAGCCTCAGAGTTGTTGGGTATCTTCTCTGGATCCCTATTTGGTCCAACGACTAACTTTAACTTAAAAAATAAAATTGCCACTTATTATACCAGCAAAAAAAAGGGGGGGTGGTTATTTGGGAATAGTTGAGAATTGCAATCCAGGACAAGCAAGCTTCAGCAAAACCATAGGCAAGTCCAGAGAACAAAGGTGAGGAATGCTCTTTTATAGAGGAAAAGGGAAGTTGGGAAGGCTGTTAACCAAACGTCCATTGGAGTAAACTGAGAGTTATAAGTACAGTGGCTTCTCATTAACTGAGCTGTCATTGTCATTGGCTGGGCTGTTGCCAGGAGAGGAAGATAGTAAAGTAGTATTGGCTTGCGAGGTCCCTCTCTTCCTGTTGGGTCTGCAACGGACAACTGGTTGCCAAGGGTAAGAGCTCCCCCTGCTGTCCTCCCGACTCCATCCTAAATGAGGTTTCCTTTCTGTGAATTTTCACGCCTTATATGGTAATGTCTATACCTCTCTTTTTCTTGATCAAAAGCTTATCACTTTTATTATTTTCCTAAAGCACTTGGTTGCACTGATTTTTCTGTTTCATTTTTTTCTCATTTGCTTTTTTTTTTTTTTTTACCATTGCCTTTTGCTTTTGTTTTTTTGTAATCTCTACACCCAACATGGTGCTGGAACTCATGAGCTGGAGATCAAGAGTCTCATGCTCTTCTGACTGAGCCATCCAAGCACCCTGCCTTTTGCTTTTACTGGATTTCATTTCCTTCGCTACTTTTTAACATGGAAGCTGAGATCCTTATTGGAAACCCTTTTTTCCTAATATAGATGCTTAATACCAAAAGTGGTCTTGTAAGAAGTGCTTTAATTGTCTCCCATAGAACTTAGTATGTTATGTTTTCATTTTAATTTAAAATCTCTCTCACTTTCCTTTCAAATTCCTTCTTTTACACTTGGCTCATTTTAGAACTGTTATATCAAATATTTGAAATTTTCCTTATCTTTCTTGTAATTTACTTTCTTAAAATAAAATATTTTTAAAGATTTTATTTATTTGAGAGAGAGAACGAGCAGTGGGGAGGGGCAGAGGGAGAAAGAGAAAGAAGCAGACTCCCTACTGAGCGGGAAGCCTGATATGGGGCTTGATCCTAGGACCCAGAGATCATGGCCTGAGCTAAAGGCAGGCGCTTAACTGACTCAGCCACCCAGGCGCCCCTCTTGTAATTTATTTCTAATTTAATTAAGTATGCACTCAGAGTACATACTTTACGACTTGAATTATTTACGTTTGGGACATCTGGGTGGCTCAGTCGGTTAACTGTCTGCCTTCGGCTCGGGTCTTGATCCTGGGGTCCTGGAATCGAGTCCCACACCAGGTTCCTTGTTCAGCGGGGAGCCTGCTTCTCCCTCTGCCTATTGCTCCCCCTGCTTATGCTCTCTGACAAATAAATAAAATTTTTAAAAAGAAGAATTATTTACGTTTATTGAGACTTGCTTTATGGCTCAGAATATGGGCTATCTTTGGTTTCATGTTAACTTGAAATTAATGTATATTGTACTGTTTGATGGAGGGCTTCACAAATGTCAACTAGATTAATATGGTTGATAATGTCTAAGTTTTCTGTGTCCTTACTGATTTTTGGTGGGAGGGGGTTCTGTCAAGCTTTATTTGAATATTATTGACATCCCTCAATATAAAAGTGGATTTGTTGGGTGCCTGGGTGGCTCAGTCAGTTGAGCATCTCTTTATTTCGGCTCTAGTCATGATCTTGGAGTTGTGGGATGGAGCCCCACATTGGGCTTCCTGCTGGGTGCAGAGTGTGCTTGAAATTCTCTCCCTCTCCCCCCCCACATAAATAAATCTTTAAGAAAGTAAAAAAATAAAAGTGGATTTGCCGATGTCTCTGTGTAGTTATATTAGTTTTTGATTTGTGTATTTTGAAGTCTTTTTATTTTTTTTATTTTTTAAAGATTTTGTTTATTTATTTGACAGAGACACAGCGAGAGAGGGAACACAAGCGGGGGAGTGGGAGACGGAGAAGCAGGCTTCCTGCTGAGCAGGGAGCCCGATGTGGGGCTCGATCCCAGGACGCTGGGATCATGACCTGAGAGCCAAAGGCAGACGCTTAACGACTGAGCCACCCAGGCGCCACCTTGATGTCTTTTTATTAGGTGAGTAACAATTTCTTACTGTTATGTACAGTTCATAAGCAGACCCTCTTTTTCTATAGTCATATTCTTTGCTCTAAAATCTACTTTGATATTGTTAATATGGCATAATTTTGGGTGAGCACTCGCTTTTGCCTTTTGGGGGTACTGAAAATATATTTCTATAGATAGTCTTGATTGTTTTTTCTGTTGCATGGTTAATGTCTTTGGAAATGGTATGATCTTTCTGGGTCTTGATTCTAAACATTTTTAGATAGAATTATTGCAGCATTCATTTTAAGGCTAATTTCTCTCCTACCACTGAGACATAATCATTCTATATTCCTTACATGATGCTTCATGAGCTTCCCCGCTTAAACTGGTTGGAACAGCCACTATTCCATTCTCTATATTAGTCTTCGAATTGTTTCCTCTTAACCTTTTGAGTGTTTTTCCCCCCCAGCCTCTGGTGGTTTCCTACATACATATACAGATTAGTACTCAGCCAAATACTTGAGGATGACCCTGTGTATGTCTCTGAAGTTTTCTCTCTCCTGCACTGTGCTCTGTGGATTCCAGACACCTTGGCAGACCCAGACTCCAAACTCTGTCCTTAACTCAGGGTGACTTTTGGGGTCTGCCTGAACTCACCATCTTGCATTAAGTTGTTTGCCTAATGTCCTGTCTAATGAGAATCAGTTTCATATACTTCGTTAAATTTTAAAAAGATTTTCAAGAAAACTTTTGAACCTCTCCAGAGCAGATAGCTTGAATAAATAAGTAAAATTGAAACACCTCCAGACACAACAGGAAAAAAGAGAAACCACATATTACAAATATGAGCAAGGAGGGGTGCCTGGGTGGCTCAGTTGGTTAAGTGTCTGCCTTTGGCTGAGGTTCATGGTACCAGGGTCCTGGGATCAAGCCCTGCATCGGGCTTCCTGCTCAGCGGGGAGTCTGCTGCTCCCTCTGACCCTCCCGCCTCCCATGCTTTCTCTCAAATAAATAAATAAAAATCTTTAAATAAAAAAACAAATATGAGGAAGGAAAGGAGGTAGAACCCTAGATACCTTTGAAACATATAATGGATACTGTGTGATTATTTTAAACAATTCTTTCTCGATAAATAGAAATTTGGAGGACAGAAGTTCTTTGAAAGATACCAACTTACTGGACCCACTCAAGAAGAAATAGATAATCTGAAAAATACTTTGTCCATTAAAAATATTTAATTAGGGACGCCTGGGTGGCTCAGTCAGTTAAACGTCTGCCCTCGGCTCATCTCAGCAGGGAGCCTGCTTGTGCTCTCTCTCTCTCTGACAATAAATAAATAAAATATTTTAAAAATAAAATAAAAATATTTAATTAGTATCCAGGTTTCTAATAGTGCTAATCTGTGTATAAACGTAAGAAACCTTCTCACTAAAAACTTCAGGCCAAGATGGTTTTGCCAATGAATTATACCAAATATTTAATGAAGAAATAACTAAATTCAATCAAATTCTATCAAATTTTCTTCAAAAAAAAAAAAGTAATAACATGTGGAACACTTCCCAACTAATTCTTTTTTTTTTTTTTTTAAGATTTTATTTATTTATTTGACAGAGAAAGACACAGCGAGAGAGGGAACACAAACGGGGAGTTGGGAGAGGGAAAAGCAGGCTCCTCGCTGAGCAGGGAGCCCGATGCGGGACTTGATCCCGGGACCCCAGGATCATGACCTGAGCCGAAGGCAGTCGCTTAACCAACTGAGCCACCCAGGCACCCTAGGCTGTGTTCTTAAATGAGCTTGCTTTTCTGCCATGATGATCTCTAGTGTATATTGTGCTGTAGTGCTGTATTTGTAATAAAGTGGTTTTCTGTTTTGAGTTTCTGATGGTGTGCAGGACACTGCCCCCCACAATGATCCTAGCACTCTACACCACTTATCCAACGGAGTTAACTGCAAGAAGCAAAATTTAGAATGTGGAAATTCTTAAGAGGTTTGATGACCCTAGTTAACTTCAAAGTAGAAGACTAGCAGAGCCCTTTGTGATAGCTAATGTGGAACTTCTTTTCTGCATCCTGATTTTTTTGGAATGAGTAAGTTTTTAAAAGCTTTTGTGTTCCCTGACCACCTTATGTATTGGTTTAACCTTATTAAGGAGCAAGCCTTTGCAAAGGTGGCTCTTGGCCTTTAGTGTGCCATCTTCTTGGAAACCACCTCTGTCCTATTTGAGAGCCAAGCAGAGGAAGAAATGTTGCAGGATTTTTTAGCCATAAAAGAAAGAGGAGGCAGAGCCAAGGTGTAAACTACTGGCTGGTGCCGCCCATAGAGCCCGAGGACCATGATACAAGGAAAGCCAGAAGGCAGGGATGCTGATACCAAGTGTGCTGGACTGCAGGCCTACTTTTTAGAGCGTGGATATTCAATGGAATCTACAACATTCCATGGGCATTGGGTTGCAATGAGAGACCTCTGTCTTCTTGCTCTGGATGCCAAGACCTTTTGGTCTGTTGCCCTGGACCTCTCAGACTTTTGGGACTAATCATGTTTTCATTTGTGGCTGAATTGGTGATACATGTACAATAATAAAATCCTCTCCTGTCCTTTGGTGGAGGAAAAAAGACAAAGGCTCAGCAAATGTTGAGTTTGAGGAGACTAACCTTGATTTTCAGCTGTTGGCCCCAGGTGATGTAGTCACAGGAAGAGAGAGACTGCTACTCTACAAAGTTTAAATTGGTGACTGGAAACTTTAAGGTGCTCAACTTTGATGAACATGAGGGGAAAGTGATCTTGAGCCATATCAGTTATATTATTTGAATAAGGACAATTTAGCACAGGGAAAGAAGGGTGCAGAGGCCGGTCATTAGGGAACTGTGTCTAGAATACCTGTCAAGTTTGGCTTGCATGTAACTCTGGGGCCTTTTTGTGTGAACTCTGTCTTGTGGACAAGGGGAGCCCTTTGGGCCTGGCCTTAGTCTCTCCCTAGTCTCTCCCAGAGCTCCAGAGGTCAAGTTGACAGGCCTAAGCTCTACACCACCCATAAATCACAGGATGAGCACACACTATTGGATATGGATGACCCAAGGCCGCACGTAGTGTTAAACAAAGGGTATTTGTTTATCATGGCAGAAGTGCCCAAGGGCTCAGAGGTTAGGTCCCAGGATTTAAGGGCAAGTGGTAAATGTTTAGACCTTTCTTTGGAATGTGGAGAGAGATCAAGAGAACTTTTAACTGATTTGTTACATTTAAATTGATTTAATCCTTTATTTGCATAATAATATTCTTAAAACTTTTGTCCCTTTCATCTATCTCACTGCATTTTACTATTTGCTATGTTTGTGTAGCAGTAGTTGCTGAAAACAGACCATTTACTGACCGTTTCTTCTAAAGGCACATTTTGGTGGACAATTTTCATGCTCACAGCTGGAACTGGGGAAGATTTAAAAACATTTTTACACTTTTACATGCAGAACTATTACATGCAGAACTAACCTTAAAGTGTATGTGGCCATCAGACTGTGAACAGCACAAACAACTGTGAAAGTTATTGGTTTCCTTTTTAATTTTTATTGCACTAGCAAACTTTTCCAACACTTTTTGTCTTCATCAGCACTCAGAGCAACTGGAATTAGCAAATATTTATGCAAGGGCACAGGTGGCAAACTGAATTTGTTAGGGGAAATGCGTTAATTCAACCATGGTGACATACCATTACACACCTTTTTTTTTTTTTTAAGATTTTATTTATTTATTTGACAGACACAGCAAGAGAGGGAACACAAGCAGGGGGAGTGGGAGAGGGAGAAGCAGGCTTCCTGCAGAGTGGAGAACCCGACATGGGGCTCGATCCCAGGACCCTGGGATCATGACCTGAGCCGAAGGCAGACGCTTAACGACTAAGCCACCCAGGCGCCCCACCACTACACACCTTTTAAAGCCACTAATGACAAAGACTGGAACAAAGGTGACCATGTTTCAAGTGGCGAGGATGACAGAAGAACCAGAGTAACCACCAGCCCTTTAGAGACTCAGGCATTGCACGGCTAGCTGTATCAAAACCCATTTTGAGAGGATTTGTATGTTCACAGTAAGCTGCAGAAAACCCATTTGTTAGGTGAATGGATGAACAAATAAGTGTATCATATTGGCAATTAAAAAAAATCGCACTACTCAATGCTGTCAGAGTATTAATTATGCACTTACATACCCTTAAGCCAACTTTTTAAGAGTAGTACCCACTTTAAGATTCCAATGATGTAAAATTTTAGAGAACACAAAATAGTATTTGCCTGGGTGGCCAGAGTTAAAAGATGAAAATAATTATGGTTAAAATTTATTAGTGTACCAGCTGCTGCATTTTTGTTTTGTGCACACCCATTCTGAAGTGTGACCTTACAAAGTACATTTTAAGTATATTGCATGCCAAGCAGAAATGGTTTCACATAAAGATCTGCACCTCTCTTTGGAAAAAGTAGGAATTTGGCGACCCTAGGTTTCATAGTGGGAGCTCTGCTGTGTGTACTAGCTGGCAAGCAATTCCACTGGAACTCACCTGCATAGGTTCAAGGAAATGGGGAAGCCAAGTCTCCGTTGGTCATAAAAACCACATACCTACTACTGCCTTCGGAGGTCTGGACTTCTTAGTTCTGTTTTCAACTCTCCCTTCGCCCACCTTTCTTTAACTGGAGGGCAAGAGGAGCAGTTAAGCTCTAAAGGGCCTCAGAATTTCTGCAAGAACCTTTACTGTAAGCCACAGTCCCTCCAGTTTGCCGGTTTTTTTCGTCACTGCCTACTGCCCCCAGTGTTTTTGTACTGAATGTGGTTCCTACCGGACGCCTGGAGTCAGGGAGACCAGCCTTCCAAACCTCTCTCTTGGGACCTGGGGACCTTATGTGAACCTCCAAGGTGAAAAAGAGAAGCTGAATCAAAAAACACAGGATTCTTACAGCTGTCCTCTCAGGGAGACCTCTAGACCCACAGAAAACCCCAACATCTGGATTATAAGATTAGTCACATAAAAAGCACTGCCCTGTAGTCTATCCTATGAGGCTTTGGGGCTGCAATGTAAATTAGGCCAAAACCAGAGTGACCGCTAGCCTGTGCCATGATACGATCTATCCCCACTGACGCATACAAAGTTGGGACACCGAGAAACTTGCAGTGACAAATGTGGCAAGGGCCCTGGACAGGTTAGAAAGAACATCGCTCCCTACAACCTGCGTATTCAGACATGTGGGGGTGTTAGGCTTCTGTGGTATGTTCCTGTGTTCAACACCTGGCTCATTCCCTGCTATCTCCACCTCCACTGTAAGGCCTTTCTCCGGTGTGCACTTTCTGGTGTCGAATGAGGTTAGACCTGCGGCTGAAGGCTTTCCCACATTCAGTGCACTTGTAAGGTCTAGCTGGGCTGTGAAGTTTCTGGTGGTCAATCAGAGCAGACCTTTGGCTGAAGACTTTGTCGCAGTTGCTGCACTCATGAGGGCTTTCTGTGGTGTGAACTTTTCGGTGCTGAGTAAGTTGTGTGCTCTGGCTAAAGAATTCTCCACATTCACTGCACTCATAGGGTTTTTCTCCAGTATGAACTCTCTGGTGTTGAGTGAGGCCAAAGCTTTGGCTAAAAAGTTTCCCACATTCATTGCACTTATAAGGCCTTACTCCAGTGTGAACTCTCTGGTGCTTGATGAGGGTGGAGCTTTGGCTAAAGAGTTTCCCACATTCACTGCATTCATAAGGCTTTTCACCAGTGTGAATTCTCTGGTGTTTAATGAGGCTGGGGCTTTGGTTAAAGAATTTCCCACATTCACTGCATTCATAAGGCCTTGTTCCTGTGTGCACTCTCCGGTGTTTAATTAGGTTGGAGTTGGAGGTGAAGAATTTTCCACACTCACTACATTTATAAGGCCGTGCCCCAGTGTGAATTCTCTGATGTTCACTAAGGCTGGAGCTTTGGCTAAAGAATTTCCCACAGTGGCTGCACTCATAAGGCCTTTCTCCAGTGTGAATTCGCTGGTGCCGAACAAGCGTGGGTTTGTTACTGAAGGCTTTTCTGCACTCGCTGCATTCATAAGGCCTCTCTCCGGTATGGACTCTCCGGTGCTGAACAAGTATGTGTTTGTAGCTGAAGGTTTTCCCACACTCATTGCACTCATAAGGCCTTTCTCCAGTGTGGACTCTCTGATGCTGAGCAAGTCTGTATTTGCGACAGAAGGCTTTCCCGCATTCGCTGCACTTATAGTGCTTTTGTCCATTGCGAAAAGGCTCTGCACAGCTGGTGTCCTTAGGTGGTGGCCCCTGGCTGTGAATGAGCTGGTGCTGGAGAAGACCTGAGCTCTCAGGGAAGGGCTTCCTTGATGTGTGTGTTACACAGCTCTTTGCGTTCCTTCTGAGGGGTTTGTCTCCACTGTGCTCCTTCTGATGCTGGTGAACGTTCCCCTGTGTCCCACACAGTTTCTGGCCAGGGTTTGTTCCCAGGCACTCAGAAGGTGAATGCAAATCACCTTCTGAGTCCAGGCCACGTTCCTGGGTGTAGGCCTTCTTGGTAGAATTTATCTGTGACCGTCCTACAGAAACGTTCTGCTCAGAAGGTGCTGCCTCATCCTCTGTTCCACGCCCACAACCTGAAAGCAGAGAACAGTGACAAGCTTGGGTAGGAGGCCGCCTACCCTCCCCTGCCTTGACACCAGGGGATCAAGACAAAAGGAGCTGGGGTGGGGTAGTTTGAAGGCAAGGGCTGCATCACAGGACTCACCATGCAGAAGAAACATGGATGGGGTGTACCACAGGGAGGAGGGGCTGGGTCCACAACTCATATCTTCGGAAATGTGTTCTTGCCAGTGCCTTGGTTATACCAGTGTTCAAGTATTATTTTAAGGGTATGGGTACATACAGACTGTACAACACAGTAAGTGTAGGCCAATGTTGGAGAGCACAGCAGAAGGAGCAATGGTCAGTGGCGACCCCAATGAAGGGTAGAAGACAGGGGAGGGATATACTCCTAGGTCTCTTTTGAGAGGAAAAATGACAAGTGGGCAAAATGTCAAAAAAGGGGAGAAGCCTCTGACCTTGGCACCAAACAGTGTTTGAGCCCAGGACACGACATGTTCCTGATAGGATTCCCAGCTCTGTATCACATCCTCCCCCAGTTGGAGTCATGCCCACTTTGTCATGTGGTGTTCTCCCAGTTCCAGTTGGACAACATGGGATCTAGAAGATGCAAGCCTTTAAGGGAAAGACAGGACAGGTAAGTGGGCAGCACTGGTCCAGGGCAGCCAATCCCAAAACCACCTCAGGAAACAAAAATATCCTGGAAATTGTTACTGAAAGAGCTTCAGAACTGGGGGTTGGTTGGTGAGCTCTTTGTGAAAGCAGGTGTCGTATATATGCCCCAGCGTCAGCAGCCAGAAAGAAGAGGAAAGACAGATTAGCCCAGGACACTGGGGTTGGTGTGAGGGGGCCTTACCCAGCGACGCAACAAGTGCAAAGACCTCCAGCATCACATCACGGTACAGTTGTCTCTGAGCCTCGTTAAGAAGCCTCCATTCCTCCTGGGAGAAGTACACAGCCACTTCCTCAAAGGTCACAGAACCCTGGGATGAGGGGGACAGTTATGTCCATAAGCAGCCTCTCTCTGCAGGACCCCAAAACTACCCCGAACCCCAGCCCACATTCACTCCCTTCCCTGCTCCTTATCTGCCCTAGCTCTCCAGCTTAAGCAGTGGCACCCAGTTTCAACAAAGAGGCAGGTGGTCAGAGTGATGCCTTCTGATCTCTGGGCCTCAGATGCAGGACCCCCATCCTTTTCCTGTAAGACATATGTGAGTCCCCCAGGATCATGCCTCCCAGACATAACCATGTTGGGCCTAGCATTCTCTCAAACTCCTACTAATTGGACCATACCTCCATCATACATCTGATCCCCACCACCAGTTAGCCCATAAAACTGACTTCTGTCTGTGTGTGGCATCTAGGAAGTGCATGCCAAGTGCAGTAATAAATCCCAACCTCCAATGGCCTCCAGCCCTGCAAAGAAGGGGCTTCTGCACCTGACCTTGTTCCTGGCTTAGACCACATGCAGATCTAAATACCCTTGGTCACATTCTGCCTCTACATTGCACATTTTGTGTGTCTTGCCACTTCACCAGGTATAATCCAGGTCCCAGTAACACACTTTTTATGTAAGCTATCTTATGACTTCCTGACAGAACCACCACAAAAGCCTGGTTGGGTGAGTGCCTAGAAGGGTGATTAAGTACCAGTCTGACCATTATTGCTCTGGTCTCATGTTCACTCCTCTGAAAATCTGGCTACCTGTTGGACTTTCCCCTCCCCATACCTCCCTCTGCATTTCCGATTACTACTATTCTGTCTTGTCCATCTTCGTTGGAGAGCACAGCAGAAGGAGCAATGATCAGTGGCGACCCCTTGTCCCCCAATGGCAACGCCACTGTAACCTGAACATGCCTCCTCCTATATGAGATCCAGAGTTCTAGATCTCTATCTTGGGACACACAACAGATGCCACAGTGTGGACATCTTGAGAAATGCAGGACCAGCTGTCCATCTGTCACCTGTACTTGGGAATCTCTGAAACATTTGAGACTCAACATGGCCAAATCCTAATACCTTGATATTCTCACCAAAAACCATGGAGCCATCTGTGACCTGGTCAGCCCTACTTTAAAAACAAATTCAGGGGCACCTGGGTGAACTCAGCAGGTTAGGCATCTGCCTTGAGCTCAGGTCATGATCCAAGAATGCTGGCATCAGGCTCCCTGCTCACTGGGGAGTCTGCTTCTCCCTTTGACACTCCCCGCTCTTGTGCTCTCTCTTGCAAATAAATCTTTAAACAAATCCAGGGCACCTGGGTGGCTTAGTTGCTTAAGTGTCAGCCTTCAGCTTGGGTCATGATCTCAGGGTCCTGGCATCGGGCTCCCTGCTCAGCAGGGGAGTCTGCTTCTCCCCCTCCCTCTGCTTGTGTGTTCTCTTGCTCACTCTCTCTCAAATAAAGAAATCTTAAAAACCCAAAAGACAAATCCAGAAGCCAAACAGTCTTCTACCTCCACATCTACCACTTTAGCCCAGCTACCAATCCTGATCTAGCCTCGTTTAATGATCTCCTTGTCTCCCTCTTCCCCAGTCTGTAGTGTACTCTATCACCAAGGGCAGCTTCTCAAGACCCGAGCCAGATTCAGTTTTCCCCTCTTCTCCAGAACTGTTTGACTGCTACCATCACTCTCAGAACAGAACCCTGACTTGGCTCCCGGCCCTCTGTTCTCAACAGACATATGAGACCTAGAACACTCCCATCTCAGTCTCACCTCCAAGCCCAAGGCTTTGTACATACTGATACCTAAGACACCTTTCACACCTCACCCCGTTGCTTGCCAAAAGTGGGCACCTCTCTCCATACAACGTCTGACCCGGGCTTAGGGGCTTATCTAGAGTGTTGAGACACCAAGGGCAGGAAGAGTGGCAGCAAAAGAGTTCCAGGACACCTGACACTCACCGGTGCAGGGTCCATAAGTGCTTCTGCTGAAAGCAGAACCTGCAGGAAGAGCAGGGCCATGTTAGTTTAATTCCCATGAGGGATACAGACAAAGTGAAACACGTAATGTTATTTCACGTAAAGATGAAAGCTGAAGGGGATAAAGAAAGCATTTATACAAGGAAGTAGAAAGTGTGGAGTTATGCCAAAAGCATGTGTACATCCTCAGAAATGTCTGTCAGGGTTGTGTTGTGTTTGAGGAATATCCCTTAGGCGAATGAACAACAAGAATAAGAGATAAATTATGTTCAGGTTTATGTGTGGGTGTGCTTCTGAACCTTCCACTTTATTCCTTATTTTATTCTGATTCTTCCTGTGCCAAAAATACATTCTTCTCTTCCTATACCTTGTAGTTGGCCCTAATAGCTGGTTAGGTATATGACTCCTTATACTTTTTTTTCAAGTTTGTCAATAAATGTTCAGAAAGATATTGCAAATATATTTTCTCCCATGGTAGAGAAGTAAACCAAACCCCTAGTCACTTGATTACACCTTCGAAATAAATCTCTGCTAAAGAGGTTGTCGCTGGGGCTCCAGTAAAGGTGCTTAGGGCAACTGCATTTCTGACTGTTTCAAGGAAAGGAAACAAGCTAGGACCTAACCTTTCTTCCATCCTCATTATATAAAATTCTTTCCTTTGAAGCATTACTTTCTATCCTTACAATGATTAAATTTCTGCCTATCTTAGCAAAATACCTTAACTGAGATATCCCATCATCATGTTCTCTTGGAGTAATACCAAAGACAGATGATAGAAGAGTATAACCACTTAAAAAACAAAAATCTTGTGGGTGTGAGTATAAAAGTTTATGGTAATGTTAAGTGTGTGTTTAAAAAGATAAAAGACTGATCAGAAAGTGAAAATGTTAGTTTAAGCACAATAATTTTAATAAATTTAAATCACAATTTAGGAAAACTGCATTAGACAAAAAGAATCTCAAAAACAACAAACAACAACAAACAACAACAACAAAAACCCAGCCAAAGAATATATCCATAAAGGGGGCGCCTGGGTGGCTCAGATGGTTAAGCGTCTGCCTTCGGCTCAGATCATGATTCCAGGGTCCTGGGATCAAGCCCCAAGTCGGGCTCCTGGCTTAGCGGGGAGCCTGCTTCTCCCTCTCCCTCTGCCTCCCCCGCTGCTCATGCTCACTCTCTCTCTGTATCTCTGTGTCTCAAATGAATAAATAAAATCTTTCAAAAAAAAAAAAAAGAATATATCCATAAAGGGTAAGATCAATGAGAAAGGAAGAACAAATCTTGACAATATTCATAAGAGTACCCAAAACAATGCGGAGAAAAGTACACACACCTCACACCTAGATTTCATAACAAACTGGAGCCACAAAACCCAAACCCAACACTACTAAAAGATTCAAAGCAACCAAAGCCAAAACCTTTACGTTATATGTGTTATTAAAGGATGCCAAGGGGCACCTGGGTGGCTCAGGTCATGATCTCAGGGTTGTGAGAACAAGCCCCACGTGAGGCTGCTTGGGATTCTTCCTCTCCTTCCTCCCCTTCCCCTGCTTCATGCTCTCTTACTAAAATAAATCATCTTTTAAAAAAAAGGATGCCAGGATTGGAGGAAATATTCAAATAGGAAAAGCCATTAAGGTCCTGGAAAGTAAGAGGGAACAAAGCAGAAACAATGTGTGTTTCACCATAAAAATAAATGCATGCTTGGTGTGACTGCAAAAGAGGTGATATAACATTATAAAGCTGTTCCGGTAAGAAAAGTATTGTCACAGAAATTAGGTTGAAAAAACTAGATCTCATAAAGTGGGGCACCCATGGGTCTTGATGCTTCAGTGGTGGTATGGAGCATTAAAAGAGCTTATAAATTACCCTGTGTGGCAAAACAAATTTAGACCTCCACTTGTGTGATGCACACACAAAAAAGTAATTTCAGCTGGAGAGGCTTAGATGGGAAGACAAAAATTACATCTCTTATGAGTTAATAAATGAACAGATTTCTCAAACCAAAGCATCGTAGTAAAGAACCCCACTACATTATAATAAAAGGGCTCCTGATGGGCACCTGGGTGGCTCAGTCGTTAAGCATCTGTCTGCTGTCGGCTCAGGTCATGATCCCAGGGTCTTGGGATCGAGCCCCGCATCGGGCTCCTTGCTCTGCGGGAAGCCTGCTTCTCCCTCTCCCACTCCCCCTGCTTGTGTTCCCTCTCTCGCTGTGTCTCTGTCAAATAAATAAATAAAATCTTAAAAAAAAAGGGCTCCTGTTGTCATAAAAACTGAAATGACAAGCCACACAGGTGAGCAAAAATTACACAAATTCTTGAACCCCCCATTATTGTTTAAAAAAAAAATCTAAGATTTGAATATCTAATAAATTGAAATCTTGGGTATGTAAACAAGAATTCCAGCAAGCACTTTTTACAAATGTAATGGTAATCATTAAAGCAAAACTCAGTAAGGCTGACCTCGCAAACCTGACACTGGCCCAGTGCTAGTAACACTATAGAAATTAGTAAATACTGGGGGCGCCTGGGTGGCTCAGTCGTTGAGCGTCTGCCTTCGGCTCAGGTCATGATCCCAGGGTCCTGGGATCGAGCCCCGCATCGGACTCCCTGCCCCGCGGGAAGCCTCCCTCTCCCTCTGCCTGCTGCTCCCCCTGCTTGTGTTCCCTCTCTCGCTGTGTCTCTCTCTGTCAAAATAAATAAATAAAATCTTTAAAAAAGAAATTAGTAAATACTGTAAGCTGCTGTGGGTATATAGATTTGGTAACATTCTGAAAACCAGTCTGGCATTATAAAGTAAATTTAAACCTTTCACTACTTGTAGAAATCTATCCTTAATACATCATATATGCTAGACAACTGTGTGCTTTATCCCAGAACATGTGGCTGTAGTAGCAATGTATAAATGCGGAAAACGATGGGCAACACCTAAAAAGACATTTTATTCATATATTCATACCACAGAATACTGCACAGAAAACGGACAGATGTAAAAAGTTAGAGTCACAACATACTATTGTGATGTCAGTCCTTTCAAAGAGTGTTTCAAAACACATGGAAACCAATAAACATCAAGACAACAAAAGATGCTTACTTGAAACATCGGACAACAGCTTAACTCTGGAGACTGGGATAACTGTTGTGGAAAGACTTGCACAGCTGGCTCCTGGGGTCCAATTTATAGCCCATTCCTTCACTTGGCCAGTGCGAACATTAATTAGAAAGCAGCGATCAGGCCGGCAGGGGGAGCTCTCAACCCTACCACGCGCTTCCCTTGCAAACTCCACAGAACACAGGTGGAATCTACTAAGAGCGACTACTCCACGAGCCTACAACAGCCCAGCCAACGAGAAGCCACCACACTTACAACGCCCACTCTGCCCCAACGGGCAACACTCCGCTCTTCCCGAATTAAATCGAATTAAATCCAAACAAACCGGGCGCCTGGGTGGCTCAGTCGGTTGAGCGACTGCCCTCGGCTCAGGTCATGATCCTGGAGTCCCGGGATCGAGTCCCGCGTCGGGCTCCCCGCTCGGCGGGGGGTCTGCTTCTCCCTCTGACCCTCCCGACCCTCCCCCCTCTCATGTGCTCTCTCTCTCTCAAATAAAATCTTTAAAAAAAGAGAAAAAAATCCGAACAAACCCATTTGTGGTGGCAAAATAGCCGTTTTACTTTTTAAGGTTAACAGTAACAAGTACAAGTACTGGTTACTTAACTGCACACGTACGTTCTGTGCAAGTCTCTTCAGACAGGTCTTACTTCAAAAGTTGGAACACCGTCCCAAGAACAAAAATACGACATTTTAAAGCAGAATTGGGTGAGGGCCCAGATGCAGAGAAACGCAGCACGTACCTGAACTGGTATCACCACGGCAGCTGCGGGGACGAGCGCGGCACCGCAGTCTTCAGCCCCGGCGGCAGCGATGTCGAATCTCGGAGCAGCCGGCGCAGCGGGTCTCTCCTCCCGCTACCTCAGGCAGGCCCAGCAAGCCAAAGCTTCCGACCGCGGGAGGGAACCAACTTCACAAGATGTCGCTGGAGGCCAACGCCGGAAGGCCCGCCCAGATGCCGTCCTTGGGACGGAAGTGCCTCTCCTGAGCCCTCATTCGCCCAGTACAGCGGACGCGCGGCGCACTGCCTTCCGGGTAATGTAGTTCTGAGGGAGCCAGAGGGTCCACGACGGTCTCCATTCCTGACCTCAGGAACTGCCCAGCCACACCAAGAAAGGCGCTGGGCGGGGATGGCTGCAGGCTTTGAGGAAGGGGCGGGGCTCCAGCTTCTGGGGTCACACCCAGATTTCCATGGAACGTAGTCTGTGCTGATCACAGAAATGTACTGAGACCTACGTATGATTTCTGATGTTCCCCCAAACTACAAATGGTTACTCAGACACAAAGTGCATCCACGCACAGCTGGGACCTAAAATACTGTCTTACTGCTTTTCAGGTACATGTTAGACTGAAACTTCAGAATCAACTGGAGTTTTTCTATTAGAAACAAGGTAGAGGGGCTCAGTCCGTTAAGCATCTGACTCTGGCTCAGGTCATGACCTCAGGGTCCTGGGGTCAGCTTGCCTCCAGCTAGCTCACAGGGGAGTCTGCTTGACCCTCTCCCCCTCCTCCCACTTGTGCTCACTCTCAAATAAATCTTAAAAAACAAAACAAAAAGCTGATAATTATATCCAGCCCTTACTCCACGTATTACATTCTTTCTTAGATCCTAAGACCGATCTTAAAAGAGTGAGTGACTTAACCACATGGGGAAAGGGGGCTTATGAACACTGAGACGAAAAGGATGAGGAGAAACTGGACACCTCACACACAGCAGTAATGTAAAATGGTGCCAGCATTATGGAAAACAGTTCCTCAAAAAAAAAATGACCATATTACCATATGATCCAGCAGTTCTACTTTTGGGGGATATATGCAAAAATAATTGGAAAGCAAGGTGAAGAAATCTTTGAAAGTAAGGTGTTAAAGAAATATCTGTACAAGCGTGCCCATAGTAGCATTATTCATAATACCCAAAAGAGGTAGAAGCAACTCCTGGTCCATGGACAGATGAATGGATAGAGAGAATTAATGGGTAAAGAAAATGTGCCATATACATACAATGAGATACTATTCAACCTTAAAGAGAAGGAAATTCAAACAGATTAACACACAAGATACAGCATGGATGAACCCTGACGAGGATACTATGCTATATGAAACAGAACAGTGGGTTTCAAGGGATTGAGGGAAGGGGAAAATGGCGAGTTGGGTAATGGATTTAAGTTTAACAAGATGAGGGCGCCTGGGTGGCTCAGTTGGTTAAGCGACTGCCTTCGGCTCAGGTCACGATCCTGGAGTCCCTGGATCGAGTCCCGCATCGGGCTCTCTGCTCGGCAGGGAGCCTGCTTCTCCCTCTGACCCTCCCCCATCTCATGTGCTCTCTCTCTCATTCTCTCTGTCTCAAATTAAAAAAAAAAAAAAAAAAAAAGTTTAACAAGATGAGTTATAGATATCCACTGCAGGTGAATGTACTTAACATTCCTGAACCGTACCCTTAAAAACAAGATGGCAAATTTCATGTGATGTGTATTTTACCACAACTTTTAAAACAAAACTATGTAAAACAAAACCATGTACGAGTTTTTTTTCCAATGCTAATTTAGAACACACTTTTGGCTGACGTCTTTCCCCATCTGCTCTACTCACGAGTTCAAGTTCTTTCCCAGATGCTGAATGAGTTGGGAGTCTTGGCTAAAAGAATTTCCCACATTCCCTGCACGCTCGCCTTGCTTAATGAGATTGGTTTGTACCTAAATACTTCCCCACTTTAGCTGCACTTGTAAAGTTTCCTCCAGCGTGCATTTTCTGGTGACCGACGAAGCAAGACTTTCTAACAAAGGCCTTGCTATATGCTGAACTCATAAAACCTCGGCCTGGTGTATTCTTTGGTGTTAAGTCAAGATTTTTGTGTAATTCCCCGCATTTTCTGATGCTGAAGGAGGTGGGACTTTCTGATGAAGGCCTTCCCGCATTCACGGCACAAACAAGGCCCTTCTCCAATGTGACTGCTCTGCTGTTTAAGGAGACTGGAGTTTTGTGTGAAAGACTTCCTGCATTCACTACACTCTTTCTACGCTATGAACTTCCTGGTGGCTAGTAAGTGTGGAGTTGTACCTAAAGATTTTCCCACATTGGCTGCATTTAAAAACCCTTTCTTGGGGCGCCTGGATGGCTCAGTCGTTAAGCGTCTGCCTTCGGCTCAGGTCATGATCCCAGGGTCCTGGGATCGAGCCCCGCATCGGGCTCCCTGCTCAGCGGGAGGCCTGCTTCTCCCTCTCCCACTCCCCCTGCTTGTGTTCCCTCTCTCGCTCTGTCTCTCTCTGTCAAATAAATAAATAAAATCTTTAAAACAAACAAACAAAAAAACCCTTTCTTTACTGTGATTCCTGAAATGTTTACTGAGGTCAGAGTTGTACCTAAAAAATGTCCCACTTTCGCTACACTCTAAGGCCCTTCCGCAGCGTGGACTTTCTGGGACTCTACAAGCATGTCCTGTGGCGGAAGGCTTTCCCATACCCGCTGCACTTACAACCGTTTGGTCCACTTTCAAAAGCTTCTCCACTCGGTGTCCCTGTGTGGCTTCAACCCACGGAAAGTGGCTGGGCGGGGTGGGAGGGTGGGGGATGGGGAGAAAGACTGTGAAGTCCTCTCCACCCTCCCTCCACACCAAGGTCTTCTCTGCCATATAAACAGTGGTCCAAATGAAGGCCTCCCCTCATCACTTCTGAAAAGTTTCTCTCTAATTTGATGCTTTTGGTGCTGGAAATGCTTTCCCCCACAAGTGTGCAAGCCTCGCTCAGGGTGTGTTCCATCATGCTCAGCCAAGTGCAAAAGGTCTTTCAAGAGCAAGCTACACGTCTCACAGGGCTGGGACTTCTGGATGGATGCGCCTGGCTTTGGGGTCCTGACCTGTGACCCTCCTACAGAAACATCTTGCTCTGAAGGGGCCTCCTCATCCTGGGCTCCATGCAACCTGTAAGCAGAGAAATGCTGGTGAAGTGCCTGCTGACTTCGTTGGGAGGAGGCGGCCCCATCGGGAATGTGTGCCAGACACACCCACGGACGAGGCCACATGACTGCTGACGGGCGAGGGGGACTCGAGACAGTGAGAGGAAGGCCTGTTGTGCAGGGCTCAGCCTGGCATGCTCCCGTGATGGGAGAGCCCTGACTCTGGGGAAGGACACGAGGAAGGGGGAAGTGCAGGGAGGAGAGGCGGGCTCCCCAACTCCCTCCTCTGCAAATGACTTTCAACAAGGCCAGAGCTGCTGGTGACCAGTGAGCACTGATGCAAGACTGGGTCCAAACGCAGAAATGTGTGATTGCAACACAGCAGCTGGTGTTCAGAGACTATTTAAAGATATGTGCAGCCCTCCAAGGAAGCAGTGGAAGGCAAAAGATGAGAGCCCAACGTCAGAGTGGAAATATTAGTGGGAAAGAAAAGGTAAAAATGAGGTGTGGCCACTGTCCTAGGCATCACACGACGGTGGGCACGGGACAGATGCTCCATGTGAGGGCCACATTCCTTTGAGCCTCTCTTGACGTTGCAGAAGTAATGTCCAACCCGTCAGCTACACAGGGCCCTCCTACTGCTCAAAGTGAGCAACCACCTGGGCCTGAAGAGGCCAGTCCTTGGGGAAAGACAGGGAAAGCGAGTGGCCAAGACCCACCCAGAGTGACCTACCTCACATCGACATCCCACATTCTAAATTTACAGTGCCTTCAGAGGAAGGTCTTTAAAAAAAACAACCCAAACAGTCCCTACAAGTGGTGACCAGATCAGTGCCTGAAGTTACTGGGACAGGCAGTCCTGAAAGTGTATTAGCAAGAGGGATGGGAAGGCCTGGGGCACAGAGGTTCCAAGCATGCAGAGAGAGGCACCCGACCACAGACAGGCAAGGCAACGGCACCAAAACCCCCAGACCCACACAGGAGGCATTTCTTTGGCCTTCTCACGTGCCAGTCTGCACAGAGCCCAGGGGGTACGCTGCAAATGCAACCAGCATCCTCATCTGCCCCAGTCCTGCATCAGAACACCAAAGTCCCCTGGCAGGAGAGAACAGCTCTCATTTTCAGGTATCCGCCCCCAACTCTGTTTCTTGCTTTAGCTCAGCCGCAGAGACCTGTGTGAGGATCTAGCTCATAAGCAAGCTTGACATTCTCTCACCACCTGACCCTTGTTCAAAGCCCTAGACTAGCAATGCTTCTGGCTGATCCCATTTCCCTCAACTACTCTACCAGCCTGAATGAAACAATCCCAGCAAGAGTCACCAGGACCCTGCTGCATCCTGAGGGGTGAAAGGCCCCGTCCTGCCCCGGTATCTGGCCTTCATTGGAGAGGCACTTCAGCATCCATCTTATGTCCACTCAGAAGGCTTTACGACCTCCACCCTTCACCTCACATGCACACCCCCCCCAACACGACTGTCCAGGTGCCCACCTGAGACACAGACTTAGCCCCCTCCTTCCCTTGCCTTGTCCCTAGTGGTGCTACCACCATAATATAAAGATGGCTCCTATGAAATCAGACCCACAGCTTTACTGGGGTCCACATGCCAAGTACTATACTGTGGTTGGCTCCAATCTGAAGGCCTCTACTGAACTCCAGATCTGTGGGTCCAACAGCCAACTGGACACATCCAAAAGTCTCTGGAACATTTCTGATGTAGCCAAGAACGGATTATTCACATTTCCTCTGAAAATCCCTTCTACCACTGACTTCCCACATCCTAATTGATGGAATATCCACTCTTCCAAATAAGGCCCCAAACACCAGGCCTGTTCCTCGCTCCCCGTTTCCATGTCATCTCCCAGCTCCCTCTCTCTCCACATCAGAAAATGTTCTGCACTCTGTGCAGAACGCATCCAGAAGGCAACTCCCTCCTGTCTGGCCACTACCAGCAGTCACTCGCTGCAGTGTCTATCTGCAGACCCCCAGTCTGTCCACCACTCTGTAGCAACGGGAATCCGTTAAAATCTGGATCAGATCACCTCTCCCCTCAGCTCCGAACCTTCCCTAGGTCCCACTCTCCTCAGATTTGAGGCCCAGAACCTAAGGCTGTCATTCTAGGCCTGATTTCTGTGTGCCCTGACCTCTCACCCCACCACCTCACCACCACACTCCCTAGCCCATCAGGTATAATAGGAATGGGAAGCTTCCTAAACAACCCCAGCTAAGTTGCACCTGCAGGCATTTGAACACCCTGGATCTGTGCCCAGGATGCATGTTACATCCTACCCAGTCGGTTGTCAGCAATGCAGCTGACCCACAGAACCCAGACTGAGTTCAGGACCCTGGGCTTTGTAGAACCACAGGATTGTCCTGAAAGAGAGAGAAGAACAGATGAAGATTCTCAGAACATCACCATTCCCTATATTGGGTCGCCTTAACCACAGGGGTGAAAGTTAGGGTGGGTGAGAGCCTGGGACACCCTCTATTCATTGTTGCAGGGTCCAGAAGCATTTCTGCCACCACCATGGGACCCTGTGGAAGGAGGGAAGCCATGAGAAATGGGACCCATGGTAGGATCCTATAAGGTGAGCTGAACCACGGTCCAAACTGAGCTCCTCAGGCCTCACTGCTGCCTCTTACTAGCTGTGTGACTCTGGAAAGACTGAACCTTCCTGAGCACCAGTGCCCTTATTCCATAAAATGGGAAGACGGTTTTCCACCTCAGAGGGCTGATACTGATACCACACCTACGAAGTACACACTATGTATCAGCTATCACTGTCCACATCATCAATGGTTTTGTCTATGTTTTCAGGGCAAGTGAAGTGGTAGGGCTTTAAAAATTTGATTGTGGGGTGTTCTACGCAAACAATGAATCATGGAACACTCCATCAAAAACTAATGATGTAATGTATGGTGATTAACATAACAGTAAAAAATTAAAAAGAAATTTGATTGTGTATTCCTCCCACTTTTCAAAGGTTTAAGAGGATGTGATACACAAAACTTCTATCATAACTCAATACTTAAAGGTAAGTTAACATTTAAACCATTAAGTATTTGGATAAATTTAAGTAATTCAGTGCATTCATTTCTAATTGCCTGCCTATGTGTACGTATTTGGAGGGTGGTTGCTTCATTAGTGTTCAAAGGGAGGCACTGAGCCCTACTAGTCTTGTACTATAATCCTCTGAAGATAGCATGCAGGGAGCCCTTGACTGGACAGTGGATGGGAGGTGAGGCGGCGGTACCCTGGTCAGGGACCCAGCTACTCCACTAACCCAGCTGACCTCTGCCTTGTTCCATAGGGAGTGGTCTTGAAAGTCTGCTTAGCCTACAAGGCGGAGAAGCTACACCAACTCACACCTCAGTCTCCATGCCAGGCCAGCGCCTTACCTTACCTGGACCTCCCTTTCTACATACACACGCCAGAATTCATCCTACACCAGGACTGCTCCTTTCTGAAAGAGCATCAGGGATACATGCCCACCTGTGCCCTGCCCTCTGGTCTCAGCGCCGCCAAACCTCACTGCAGAGCCCATCTGAAAGAACAACCTTAAGAGTCTCCTTCTTTAGGGGCATCTGAGTGGCTCAGTCAGTTAAGTGTCCAACTCTTGTTTTTGGCTTAGGTCATGATTTCAGCGTCCTGGGATTAAGCCCCACGTCAGGCTCCATGATGGGCAGGAAGCCTGCTTAAGATTCTCTCTCCCTCTGCCCCTCCCCCCTCTAAAAAACAACAACAACGAACTTGAGATGGTCTTTCACCTCCCTCCTTTTGCTCACAGACATATTGGATGCAGCAGGAAATCGTCGACTCTATCTTTACGATCTATCCAAACTCATCACAGCTTTGCTCTAGTGCTGCTCTGGTCCAGCCCTACCATAAATTCTCCTGGATCTATTGCAGCGTCCTCCTCATGGGTCTCCCTGCTTCCATTTCCTATCCATTATTCAACAACTTTAAACTTCAAATCTGGAGACGCCTGGACAGCTCAATCGGTTGAGTGTCTGCCTCAGCTCGGGTCATGATCCCAGAGTCCTGGGATCAAGTCCCACATCAAGCTTGCTGCTCAACAGGCAACCTGCTTCTCCCCTGCCTGCTGCTCCCCCTGCTTGTGCTTACTCTCTCTCTCTCTGGCAAATAAATAATATCTTAAAAACAAAAACAAAAAAAACCCTTCAAATCTGGATATGCCCCTAAATTAGGTCCCTGGAACCAATTCCAAGAAGTGTGTGTGTGTGTGTGTGTGTGTAGACAGAGGGAGACAGAGTCGTAAACAGACTCTGTGCTGAGCTCATAGCCTGAGGTGGGACTCAATCTCATGACCCTCAGATCACAACCTGAGCCGAAACCAAGAGTCGGATGCTTAACCGACTGTGCCACCCGGGTGCCCCAACACAAGGCAATTCTTAAAAGCCAGCAAGATGTCCAAGCATTCAATTCTGACACTCTCAGGAAGTAGCATTAGATTCACAGGTTAACGTCAGTCCTAAAAGAGTGCACTCCCACCTTCAACACCCTGCCATTCCAGATGCCATTTGCAAGCCAGGCTGTTACTTGTGCTTCTCAAGACCCTCTCCTCAGGTTTAAGTGATCTGCTGGAATGGCTCACAAAACTCAGAAAAACATTTTTCTTTTTTTTTTTTTTAAAGATTTTATTTATTTATTGAATGAGAGAGAGAAAGCACATGAGAGGGGGGAGGGTCAGAGGGAGAAGCAGACTCCCCGCCGAGCAGGGAGCCCGATGCGGGACTCGATCCCGGGACTCCAGGATCATGACCTGAGCCGAAGGCAGTGGCTTAACCAACTGAGCCACCCAGGCGCCTCCAGAAAAACATTTTTCTTGCTAGATTACCAGTTCATTATAAAAGGATGTAACTTGGGAATAGCCAGACGGAAGAGATGCATATGGCCAGGCAGGTATGAAGACAGGGCGCAGTGTCCAAGCTCTCTCCAGATGCACCACTCTCTTCAATCTCCGTGTTCACCAACCTGGAAGCTCTCTGAACCCTGTCCTTTAGGGTGTTTACGGAGACTGCATTATTACAGAGCATGGGAGACTAAATCACTGGCTGTTGGCTATTGGTTCAACCTCCAGCCCCTCTCCCTTCCCCCAACGTGGGCGAAAATGGGAAATGGGAGGAACGAAAATTTCCAACTGTCTAATCACATGGTTGGTCCCCTCCCCCATCCAACCACCGCCCGCAACCAGCTTAGGTGCTTCCAGTCTTCTCGTTCGTACAGCAAAAGACAACTTTATCACTTCCAACACTTAGGAAATTCCTAAGTTTTTGGAAGCTGTGAGTCAAGAACTACGGACTAAGACCAGACATACACGAGAAATGGATTTTGGTCATCTGAATGGACCAATACGTGTTTTTCATAGGTCCCCATCGCAGCCCTCCCATTCCGGCCCCCTCCGACCTTCCGCGGAGCCGGGGGCCCACGCCGCCACTGCAGACAACGCTCCACCGCGCCCTCTGTTCCCCGCACACACAAGGGGCCGCGACTCGGGAGCACATGCCGGGATTCCCCCCACCGCACGGGCCGAGCCGGGACCCCACGCCGGGGCGCCCTCTGCTCCCGCCCCGCGGGCCTGGCTGTGGGGAGCTGGGCGGGCGCGCCTCCGTCCGGAAGCAGCGCTCGGGGCGAGGGGCGGGCGGCTGAGGGCCCGGGGGTCGCGGCACCCACCTCAGCCGGCTTCACCGGCGCGGCCTCCGCCTCCGACCGGTGGGAAGAGCGGGGCAGGGAGCGGCGGGCGCCCGGGCGGGGACGACGCCTCTTCTGAAACTTCCCATCCGCGTCCAACCAACCCGGACATCCCCAGACCCTACGCCAGCCAAACTGGCCGAGAACGCCAAGACGCCCAACACCTCGAGGACGCCGCCGGAAGTCCCGCCTCACATGCGCAGCCGTAGGAAAAGGGCTCCAGGTCGCGCTTTCATTGGCTCAGCTCCCCATCACGGCTTGCCGCAGAGCCTTCTGGGTATGTGTATTTCCCGGGCGGCTACTCCCCGCCCCTCCCCTCCATCTGGGCGCCGGTCCTTCCTGACTTAGGCGACGGAGGCCAGGGGACAACATGCGGGTGCACCGGGAAATGGAGTTCCTGGGCTGCTATGAGGTCGCGTGGGGTCGCTGGCAATTAAAGCGGCCTCTGAGGGCAGTCTTGGTCAAGTGCCAGAAACAGAGATCTGTTATTACAGACTCTAAGAAGCACAGGAAATTCCCAAAGGCCGCACAACCAAAGGGACATACCATAGTATTTGTTAAAAAATAAAATTCAGCCAAGGAGTTTTGAAGATCTAATTGGCTTTATTAAACATCTTATCAGCCAGGGAAAGCATGCAGATGCATTTTCCTTTGGAGGATGGAGAAGGCCCGTGTGGCAGATTCCTTCATGGGTGCTGATCAGGAAATTCCTGACTGGTTAAGACTACACTTCTGGGGGAAGTGGAAATTGCGATTAGATTAGGTATTAAGTAAGCCCCAGTTTGGGGACTTAGCCTGAATGACAATATTTAGGGCCTGTGGTTTTCTTTTTTTTTTTTTCTAAGATTTTATTTATTTGCTAGAGAGAGCGAGCGTGGGCGAGAGAGAGTGAGTGAGTGAGAGTACAAGAAGGGGGAGCTGCAGCCAGAGGGAGAAGAAGCAGGCTCCCTGCTGAGCAGGGAGCCCCGATGCAGGACTCGATCCCAGGGCCCTGGGATCATGACCTGAGCCGAAGGCAGCCGCTTAACCGACTGAGCCACCCAGGCGTCCCCCTCTGGTTTTCTAAACTCCATAATAACACTCAGCATCCACTCATAGCTCTCCACTTACCTTGTTGCTTGCCAAATACATGTTGACTGAAGTTTTGGAGGCTGTTTTATGACCTTCAATATGCTAGGTCAGGGACAAGAAAGAAAAGACCCTAGGGTGCCTGGGTGGCTCAGTTGGTTAAGCAACTGCCTTCGGCTCGGGTCATGATCCTGGAGTCCCTGGATCGAGCCCCGCATCGGGCTCCCTGCTCAGCGAGGAGCCTGCTTCTCCCTCTGACTCTGCGGGGAGCCTGCCTCCCCCTGCTTGTGTTCCCTCTCTCGCTGTGTCTCTCTCTGTCAAATAAATAAATAAAATCTTTAAATAAATAAAATAAAAATAAAACTGCCGGTTATCTTGTGAGCAAAAGATGGGTTTATTCGAGAACAGCTCAGAATTGTAACCTGATACAAGCAATCTTTGGCAAAGTCATAGGCAAGTCTGAAGAACAAAGATGAGTATCTGTCTTTTATAGAGGAAGGGATTTGGGTGGGCTGTTATAAACTAAAGGTCCATTGGACTAAACTGGGAGTTGTAAGTTTAGTGGATTCTCATTGGCTGGGCTGTTGCAGGTGGGGGTGGAGGAAGAAATGTTTCTTCCTCCTGATGGGATAGTAAAGTAGAATGGACTTCCCTTGTCCACCTTTACTCTTCCTCTTGGGTCTGCAATTGCTAACTAGTGCTGGGAGGCCCCTGCTGGCCTCCTGAATCCATTCTAAATGAGATTTTCCTTTATTAATTTTCACGCATTTAAGAATCTGAAACCTATCTGAAAATGAGAGCAGCTTATCGCATGGGATTTTCCTGCCAAGGTAGTGTGTGCCCTTCAATCATAGAAGCCTGCCCTGTCTAAAGGTAATATAGATACTCCTGCTTCTTTTGGTGTTTACATGGTATATTTTTCTCCATCCATTTACTTTTTTTTTTTTTAAGATTTTTTAAAATTTATTTATCTGAGAGAGAATGGGAGACAGAGAGCACGAGAGGGGGAGGATCAGAGGGAGAAGCAGACTCCCCGCTGAGCAGGGAGCCCGATGCGGGACTCGATCCTGGGACTCCAGGATCATGACCGGAGCCGAAGGCAGTCGCTCAACCAACTGAGCCACCCAGGCGCCCCCCATCCATTTACTTGTAATCTATCTAGATATGTCTTTATATTTAAAGTGGGTTTCGGGACGCCTGGGTGGCTCAGATGGTTAAGCGTCTGCCTTCGGCTCAGGTCATGATCCCAGGGTCCTGGGATCGAGCCCGGCATCGGGCTCCCTGCTCGGCGGGGAGCCTGCTTCTCCCTCTCCCTCTACTGTTCTCCCTGCTTGTGCTCTCTCGCTCTCTCTGTCAAATAAATAAATAAAATCTTTAAAAAAATAAATAAATAAAATAAAGTGGGTTTCTTGTAGATGACATGTAATTGGGTCTTGTGTTTTGATCCACTCTAACAGCCTTCCTTTAGATTGCATTTATTTATTTTTTATTTTTTTTAAAGAGTTTATTTATTTGACAGAGAGAGAGACACAGCGAGAGAGGGAACACAAGCAGGGGGAGTGGGAGAGGGAGAAGCAGGCCTCCCGCCGAGCAGGGAGCCCGATGCGGGACTCGATCCCAGGACCCTGGGACCATGACCTGAGCCGAAGGCAGTCGCTTAACCAACTGAGCCACGCCAGGCGCCCCTAGATTGCATTTAGACATTCAAAGTAATTAATGATATAGTTGGATTACTAATCTACCACATTGGTTATTGTTTTCTATTTATTGCCCTTGTAATTTGTTCCTGTTTTTGTCCTCCACCCTTTTCCTCCCTTTTGTAGTTTTAACTGAGCATTTTACAGATTCCATTTTCTCTCCTTTTTACCATTACAGTTATACTTCCTTTTTTTTTTAAATTTTGTTTAGGTGGTTGCTGCTTACAGGCACAGTATATATCTACAGCTAATCCAAATCCACTTTCAAGTAACGCTACCATTTCACAGGTAGTGTGTGTACCTTAATATAACAAAATAATACTACTTCCTCTGTCTCATTCCTTGTATCGTTGCTGTTATTCATTTCACATATATATATTTGCACACATACATACTCAAGTACAGTGTTGCTATTATTTTTTGACAAACTAATGTGTTAGATCAGTTAAGAATAAGACAAATAAGTTCTTATTTTACCTTCACTTATTCCTTTTTTGATGCTTTTTCTTTCTCTGTAGATCTGAGCTTCTGAGCTATGTCATTTTCCTTTTCTCTAAAGAACTTTTTTTTTACATTTCTTGCAAGGCAGGTCTACTAGCAACAAATTCTCTCCATTTTTGTTTTCCTGAGAAATTATTTCTCCTTCACTTTTGAAAGGATAATTTCACAGAGTATAGGCTTCTAGGTTGGCGGAGTTTTTCTGTCAACATTTGAAATATTTCCCTTCACTCTTCTTGTTTGGATGGTTTCTGAAAAATTGGATGTCATTATCTTTGCTCTTCCAGAGGTGAAGTGTTTCCTTCCTCTGACTTCTTTCAGGGTTTTTGTTTTTGTTTTTTTCATCTCTGATTATCTGTAGTTTGAAAATGATATGCCTAGGTGTAGTTTTTTCTTTTAGCGTCTTTTCTGCTTGGTGTTCTCTGAGCTTCCTGGATTGGTACCTGAATGTTTAAATTTGGGTAAATTGGGGGAAAAATCTCAGTCACTATTGTTTCAAACCTTTCTTCTGTTCCTTTCTCTCTTTCATTTTCTTCTGGTATTGCCATTATTCATGTTACACTTTTCCAGTTGTTCCATAGTCCTTAGATATTCTATTTTTTTTTTTTAGTATATTTTCTGTATGTTTGCTTTTCAGTTTTGACCATTTCTATTGAAATACCCTCAAGCTCAAGATTCTTTTCTCAGCAATGTCTAGTCTACCAATAAGCCCATCAAAGGCATTTTTCATTTTTATTAGTGTTTTTGATCTGTTACTTTTTTTTCCCCTCAGAATTTCAATCTCTTTGCTTACATTACCGATCTGTTCTTGCATGCTGTATGCTTTATCCATCAGAGCCCTTATCATCTTAATGACAGTTTTTTAAATTCCTGGTCTGATACTTCCAACATCCCTGCCTTGTGTGAGTCTGATTCTGATGCTTGCTCTGTTTCTTCAAATTTTGTTTTTAGCCTTTTAGTATGTGTTGTAATTTTTTCTTAATACTTGGACATGAGGCACTGGTAAAATAAACTGCTATAAATAGACTTTTCACAACGTGGTAGTAACTGGTGGTAAGTTATGAGAGGAAGCATACTATAGGACTACAATTAGGACTTTCAGTAAACCTTTGCTTCTGGGCTATGAATTTCATACATTTTTCCCAGTTCCAGCACCCCCACGTAAGTGGGACAAGATGGCTAGAGTGGCCTGCATTGGGGTATTTCCCAGGCTCTGAAAAGTCCCCAGCTGATTCTTCTGAGAGCAGTCCTTGTTAAGAACAGAATGTTCTGATGTATTTCAAATTCCCAAAAGTATGATGATTTATGTTCTCCTACCATAGCACTGGGGTTTGTGGAGGAGCGTCAGCTCCTGGGTTTCCTTCATTCTCTGTTCCTCTGTTGGACTAATTTGGGGAACAGCAGTTTGTCCTGCCACCTCACTTGTCTTACAGACCTAAGAAGAGTTGTTGATTTTCCATTATTTTCAGCTTACTTGTCAGGATGGAATGGCAACTTCCAGCTTCTTACATGCTGGGACAGAAAACAAAAGTCCCTGTCTTCTCATATTTTGTTCTAGTCTTTGTTTCTTACTAGGAATTTAGAATGTGCATGTCTATAATTACCTAAAACTAGGCTTATTTAGATATTTTAAGTATCTTCTCAATCACTCAAATCTTAAAAATTTGATGAAACAAAGTTTTTTTTAAAATTTCAATTTAAATTCTAGTTAGTAACATATATGGTAAAATTGTTTTCAGGTGTAGAATTTAGTGATTCATGAAAGTGTTAAATGTAAATATAAATTTAGATAATTTTTTCATTAAATATTTTGTTCATGTTGAGATTTGAAAAATGCAATCAGAGTGGAAATGGGAATTGTTTCCCATGTCTCACTCTCAAACTGTTTTCTTTCCCTTTCCTATTCTATAATGCTTGTTGCTTTCCTTTCTAAATTTCAAATTTCTCAATAAGGCACCTGGTTTGAAGATTACATGATGAAAAGATGACCTCAAGCAGGAAGAAATCGTACCAGCAGACTGCCTTTGGGCCTGAACTACAACACTTCCTTGATCCCCAGCCTGTTGGCCTACTCTGCAGATTTTCAACTTGCCAAGCAATCACAAATTTAGCTAATTCTTTAAAACACATCTCCCCTCCCCACCACACACACACCCTGATGGTTGTTTCTCTGGAGAACCTAATATACCACAGAACTGAACACTTAAAAATAACAAGATAGTACACTTTGTGTATTTTACGCAGTAACAAATATTTTTTTTAAATGCCCTAAGAATTTTTATGACACAAAGACATAGCTTAAAAACACTACTAGAAAAAAAGAAGTCAAACAAGAATTTTCTAGAAAGGTGGTTCAAATGGTTCAAAAACTTTTACTGATAACGAATTCATATGAAACTGAACTTAAATTTACTTTATTTAAACTTCACTTTCCCATTCTAAACAACTCTTTCGCTCCGTGATTAGCACCTTTGTTGTTTATAGACAATGCAGCTCTAACACGTAACACAGAGCCTTGTTATTTGATGCCATGCTTCTGCACACACATGGATAATACTAAAAATACATATATGCACTCGGTGTAAACAGCTATACAACAGTAACTGTAGGATTCCCTTTATATGAAATTCTAGAAAATGCAAACTAGAGTGTCCACCTGGGGATGGCAAGTTGGGTAGGGCTGGGAGAGAGAGAATATGAAAAGGTGCTAATGGAAACTACAGGGCCTATGGATTACTCATTATCAAGACTCTGGTGATGCTCCCATTGTGCACACATATATGAAAATATATTTTACACTTTTAATAAATGCAGTTTATGTCAATACCTCAATAAAGCTGTTAAGAAATAAAGACTCCATATAAAATCTGGATCTCCTCTTCCTCTAGAAATAATATAACACCTGGCAAATCTGTATTGACTCCATCAACACCCTTCCCTCTATCTTAGGTATGTCAACTCTGATTCCTTCTCAAAACAGAAGGAAATGCTCAGAGAAGAAAATGCTGACAAATGGAGAAATCATGCTAAGCAAAACAAGCCCGTCACAAAAAGACAAATACTGTATGATTCCACTCACGTATAGTACCCAGAGTAGCCGAATTCATAGAGGTGGGGTATAAAACCACAGTAGCCAGGTGTGGCAGGGAGCGGGTAGGAGGAGCTGTTCCATGGGTACAGTTTCAGTTTTGCCAGATGAAAGGAATTCTGGAAATTAGTTTCATAAATATGTGAATTTTTTAAACTACTAAACTGTACAATTCAAAGACAGGGTACTTTGCCACAACATAACTGTAAAATATATATTACAGTAGTTCCCAGCAACAAGTAAGAGCAGATATTTGGCTGAAGTCTTTCCCCCTCTACAATACTCTCTGGCGTGGTGTGAACTTTTTGGTACTGAACAAGGTTAGAGTTTTAGATGAACAAATGCCCGTATTTGTTGCACAAGTAAGGTCTTTTTCCATCGTGAATTCTCTGATGTGTAATGGGGCTGGAGTTGCACCTAACACCTCACATTGACTGCACTCAGAAGGCCTTCCTCTGGTGACCTCTTGATGTCTAATGAATGGCGAGCTGTCCCAAAACAATTTTGCACATTCCCTTCTCATAAGGTGCTTCTCCAGTGTAATGAGCTTAGAGTGGTACCTAAAGGCTTCACCATATTCTCTGCACTCTTAAGTTTCTTTGCCAGTGTAATTCTCTGGTCAATGGCTTGGAGTTGTATCTCAAGATTTCCCCACATTTATGGTGCTCATAGACCTGTTTTCATTGTGGATTTTCTGGTGATGAACGAGGTGGGACTTTCTAATGAAGGCCTTCTGACATTTGCTGCACTCATAGGGCCTTTCTCCAGTGTGGATTTTCTGATGCTCAACAAGTATATGTTTGTGGCTAAAGGCTTTCCCACATTCGCTGCACTCATAAGGCCTCTCTCCAGTGTGATTTCTCCAATGTTTAATAAGGTTGGAGTTATACCGAAAGAATTTCCCACAGACACTGCACTCATAAGGCCTTTCTCCAGTGTGAACTCTCTTATGTCTAATGAGTCTACAGTGGTACCTAAAGGATTTCCCACATTCGCTGCACTCATAAGGCCTCTCTCCAGTGTGATTCTGCCAATGTTTAATGAGCTTCGACTTGTACCTAAAGAATTCCCCACATAAGCTGCACTCATAAGGTCTTTCTCCAGTGTGAACTCTTTGATGTCTAATAAGTGTAGAGGTGTACCTAAAGAATTTCCCACATTCACTGCACTCATAAGGCCTTTCTCCAGTGTGAACTCTCTGATGTTTAATGAGTGTGGAATTGTACCTAAAGAATTTTCCACATTCATTGCACTCATAAGGCTTCTCTGCAGTGTGAACTCTCTGATGTCTAATGAATGTGGAGCTGTACCTGAAAAATTTCCCACATTCGCTGCATTCATAAGGCCTCTCCCCAGTATGAACTCTCTCGTGTCGTATCAGGCGATAGTTGTACCTAAAGAATTTTCCACATTCTCTGCATTCATAAGGCCTTTCCCCATTGTGGATTCTCTGATGTTTCATGAAGTTGGCATTGTACTTAAAGAACTCCCCACATTTGCTACACTCATAAAGGCTTAATCCAGTGTGAACCCTCTGGTGACTAGTGAGTGTGGAGTTGTACCTAAAGAATTTCCCACATTCATTGCACTTAAAAGGCCTTTCTCCAGTGTGAATTTTCTGGTGCTGGACAAGGTGAAACTTCTTAATGAAGGCCATCCTACATTTGCTGCATTCGTAGGGTCTTACTCCAGTGTGAATTTTCTGGTGCTCCACAAGTACCTGGTTCTGGCTGAAGGCTTTCCCACACTGAGTGCACCTGTAAGCCTTCTGTCCAGCCTCACAGGCCCCCCCCCGCCCAGTGTCCCTGTGTGGCTTCAAAGCACCGTGAGGGGCCGGGTGCCGCAGAAAGCCGGCACTGGCTGGGAAGTCCCTCCCACCTCTGCTGCATGTGAAGCTACTCTCCGCCATGTGAACACTGTCGCTCACAGCAAAGGAAGGACTCCCCTCATCCCTTCTGGAAAAGCGGTCTCCAATCTGATCCTCTTGGTGCTGGTGCAGGTTTGCCCCACAAATGGACAGCTCTTGATCAGGGTGCGTTCCATCATGCTCAGCCGAGCGCAAAATGTCTTTCCAGACTGGGCCGCACGTCTCCCAGGGCTGGGACTTCTGGATGGACGGGCCAGGCTTCGGAGTCCTGACCTGTGACCCTCCTACAGAAACATCTTGCTCTGAAGGGGCCTCCTCATCCTGGGCTCCATGCCAGCAACCTGTAAGCAGAGAAATGCTGGTGAAGTGCCTGCTGACTTCGTTGGGAGGAGGCGGCCCCATCGGGAATGTGTGCCAGACACACCCACGGACGAGGCCACTGGACCGCTGACGGGTGAGGGGGACTCAAGACAGTGAGAAGAAGGCCCGCTGTGCAGAGCTCAGCCTGGCAAGCTCCTGTGATGGGAGAGCCCTGACTCTGGGGAAGAACATAAGGGAGGGGTCCTGTCTTAGTCCATCTGGGTTGCCACAACAAAATACCACAGACTGGGTGGCTTATAAATGACAGAAATTTATTTCTCGCAGTCGTGGAGGCTGGAATTCTGAGAGCAGGGTGCCAGCATGGTCGGGTGAGGGCCCCCTCCCGGGCTGCCAACTTCTCACTGTGTCCTCACACAGTGGAAGAGGCTGGGGGCTCTGTGGGCTCTCCTTTACAACAGCACTAATCCCATTCATGGGAGCTCTGCCTTCATGACCTAAGCACCCCGCAAAGGCACCAATTTCTAATACCACCACACTGGGCATGAAGTTTGCAACAAAGAATTGGTGGTGGGGTGGTGGGGCACAAACACTTAAAACAAAGCAGGTGCTATGCAGGGAGAAGAGGCAGGGTTTTCAAGTCACTCCTGTGCAAACGGCTATGGCTGCTGGTGACCGGTGAGCACGGTGCAGAAAACCGTAAACAGACCTAGAAATGCCTAACCACACGGAGATACTGCAACTCAAGAACTACTTAGGGATACGTGCAGGCCTCACAATATCCTAACTATAGCTCAAATGTTGGCGAGCCCTGCAAAGGGAGCAATGAAACAGAATCCGGGTGAAGGCCAACAGGCGTTGGAATGTGGCGGAAAGGGGATTCAAATTCAGCGTAGACATGAAAATGGAGAAGAAAAGGTAGAAATGAGGTGTGGCCCTTGGCCCTGGCATCACACAATGGTGGACAGAGGACAGGTTCCCAGCTCTGACACACACCCTTCCCCTGCTCCTTCCCACCAGGGCTGTGTACTTTTGAGTGTCTCTTGCCACTGACACAGTAATGTCCACCTATTAGGTACCTGGGGTCCTCCCCACTGCTCGAGGTGAGCACTGATGTGGCACCTGAGACAGGCCAGTCCTAGACGAAAGAAAGGAAAAGGCATGGCCAGTGTGCGCCCAGAGTAACCCAACACAGGATATCCAACATCTTAAAATTACAAGAACTTCACAGGAGAGACTGTAGAAACAACCCAGTGTTCCCCAAAATTAGTAATTAGGTTGGTGCCTGAAATTCCTAGCACAGGCAGGACCCAAGAAATGTCAGCAAGAGGAACGGGGGAAAGCCTGGGGTACCATGGTTCCACGCATCTAGACTAAATGACCCAACCAGGGACAAGACAGGTCTGAGGGATCTCTCAGACAAACTTCAACATCTCTGACCTCTGAGCCTGATCTTGCAAGTGCTCAGAGCAGCAGGGATGGGACCGCGTGGGGAGAGTGGGTGCAGTGCGCACAGCCCAGTCCTGGCACCAGTAATCAGTAACTGGAAAGGAAGTAGTACCCACGGTCTTGCTGTGGAAAGGACAGAGCTGCCCCTGGACCAAAGAGGAAGAACAGAGCCCAGCCCAGGACATGGGGCGGGGGCGTACGGGCCTTACCCAGGGAGGACAGAAGCGCAAAGTTCTCCAACATCACAGCATGGTACAGAAATCGCTGAGCTTCATCGAGGAGGCCCCACTCTTCCTGGGAGAAATATATGGCCACATCCTCAAAGACCACATGGCTCTGCCAAAGTTGGAACATTTGGTTCATGAGTAGCTTCTTGTGTTAACTGTGTCTCGTGGATTCTCTAATTATCTATTTGCCATCCGTTAATTACAGGGCTAAACGAACAGCCAAATGTATCTCTATATCTCCCTCGCAATCCGAGGCCCACACTGAACCACCTCCTTCACTAACTCACACACCAAGTCAACACTTCCCCTGTCCTAGATCAACGAGGGCCAGGTACCAGACAACCAGGGACACCCCTTCTACCCTGAAAATTATAGAAAAGGTACACGAAATTTATAGAAAATAGCCATCAGTAAGCTTGTCACCGTACCCTTCCGGCATTTCTCCCAGAAAGTTCCAAAAAGCCTCTGACCTAAGGAGTCCCTCTGCTGGCGTTTATGTCTCCTAACCCAAACTGGTGCTTCCTGTCACACGGTGTGCTCCCACCCGTCGAGAAACAGAATAAAAACCTTCTTTTAGTGTTGTTGGTCTCTCCATGTCATCACTCACCCATCTCCATAAATTAAAATCCTGTGGGTGCAAGTATCTGATACACTTCTCTCACCAGGCCCTTCGGTCCTTCCTGCACACATCCATCCCTGCTCGTCCTCCTCCCTGACTTCCCAATGTGGAAGAGTCACCAGTGGCTGGTGGCACTGTGGCCTGCTCTCGCCTCATTCCCATCGGTCACTGTGTCCAGAACACAGCATAAGACATGAGTAGTGAAGGAGCAGAAGAACATCATCTAGGTTGTGGGCCTGGCAATGCAGGGCTCTCCCTCCCTCCAGCCAGCCAGTTCCCCAGGTCTTGTCTGAGAGGTAAGACTCAGACCCTCAAGTCAAACTCAGACTTGTCTCTCTCCCTTAAGCACCCAGAGCCAACCACTCACACTCCAGCTCACCTGCATATTGGTCGTCGGACTCACGCCCCTCACAACTCTGACTCCTCCACAAACACCCCCAGCCCACACCACTGGCATTTCCTTCACGTCCTAACAGGCAAATACATCGAGGATCCAATTCAGCCCTGGCCCTGCCCCTGAACACCACAAGTCCAAAGGCCCCTAGCGCCAGGTCCAGCCCCAAGCCCTGCTTTGAAGGCCCGGCTTCTTTTTTTTATTTGAGAGAGCACAAGAGCGGGGAGCGGGAGAGGGAGAAGCAGACCCCCCGCTGAGCAGGGAGCCCGATGCAGGACTCGATCCTGGGACTCCAGGATCATGACCCGAGCCAAAGGCAGTCGCTTAACCAACTGAGCCACCCAGGCGCCCTGAAGGCCCAGCTTCTTGCTTCATCCTCAGCCACCTGCCTACGTGAGGACGTCACACACTCGGCCCTTTCTCCCTCCCGTATCGCACCAACTGTCCCATAAGCAGTCAGAACCTTCCTTTCTCCTCATTTGAAGCCCAGGAACACTGAGCTCTCCACCCATATGCCCACTCCACCTGAGGTCTAGCAATGCTTCAGGCTGACCAGTTTCCCCCTCAACATCTATCTCATGTGCACTCCAGTCTCAGAAGACTTTCTCACTCCTAAACCCCCCGTCTCTCTTTCTCTCTCCCCATGTTTCTCTCTCTCGCACACACACACAAACACAAACACTCGGCTTCCTCACCTTTGTGATGCCCCCCACCACCACCCAGGTGCCCGATGAAGAAACCCAGTACTCAGGGGCGCCTGGGTGGCTCAGTTGGTTAAGCAGCTGCCTTCGGCTCAGGTCATGATCCTGGAGTCCTGGGATCGAGTCCCGCATCGGGCTCCCTGCTTGGCAGGGAGTCTGCTTCTCCCTCTGACCCTCCTCCCTCTCATGCTCTCTGTCTCTCATTCTCTTTCTCTCAAATAAATAAATAAAATCTGTAAAAGAAAAAAAAAAAAGAAAAGAAACCCAGTACTCAGGGAGCCTGGGTGGCTTCAGTCAGTTAAGCATCTGACTCTGGGTTTCACCTCAGGTCACGATCTCATGGGTCATGGGATCGATCTCCACGTTGGGCTCTGCACTCAGTGGGGAGTCTGTTTGGGATTCTCTCTCTCCCTCTGCCCTTCCCACCACTCACGTGCTCTCTCTCTCTAAAATAAATCAATCTTTTAAAAACAAACAAACAAACCCAATACTCAGGCCCTTCATTCCCATTCCTGCTCCTCTAATGGCATCGCCACCATAACCTCGAAATGCTGCCTCCTAAATCTGATCCCTAGCTTCATCCTAGCCCACACCCCAGCCAGCACGCTGTGGCTGTCTCCAACTTCAACCTATCCCCGAACTCCAGGACTCTGTGTTCAAGTGCCTACTTGAGGGGCGCCCGGGTGACTCAGTCGGTTAAGCGTCTGCCTTCAGCTCAGGTTATGATCCCAGGGTCCCAGGATGGAGCCCCACGTTGGGCTCCCTGCTCAGTGGGGAGTCTGCTTCTCCCTCTCCCTCTGCGCCCCCCCACTCCCAGCTCGTACTCGCTCTCTCTCAAATAAATAAATAAATAAAATCTTTAAAAAAAAAAAAAGTGCCTACTTGACACTTTTCCTGGGAATCTCTGGGGCATTTATGACATAGACAAAAACTGACTCTTCATATTCCACCTGCAAATTCCTCATACCACTGACTTCCTCCGTTTTAGTTCAAGCATCCATCCTTCCTAACAAGGCCAAAAACCTGGGGGCATCCCCAACTTTTCCCTCTATCCCACCTCCTCATCTCCCTGAGCCTCCACATCCTGAAATATGAGCAGCTCTAGCTGAAAACACATCCGGAAACCAGTGCCTCCTCTGCTTCCACAACCACCGCTCCTGTGTAGCCACCGCGACAACACTCCCCTGGACTGTGGCAAGCATTTCACTTACACCGCCGTCTGTCTCCCACTCCGTAGCCAAAGGGAACCTGTTAAAATCTCAGTCATAGCACCTTCCCCTTGTTTCAAACCTTCCCTACCTCCCACCGACCTCAGATTAGAGGTCCAGAGCCCCAGGCTGTCACTCAAGGTCTGATACCTGTGCACCCCTACCCAACCCCAAGCTGGCTCCCCATTCTCACCAGCTATAAAAGAGACATGCAGGGCGCCTGGGTGGCTCAGTTGGTTAAGCGACTGCCTTCGGCTCAGGTCATGATCCTGGAGTCCCGGGGTCGAGTCCCACATCGGGCTCCCTGCTCGGCAGGGAGTCTGCTTCTCTCTCTGACCCTCCCCCCTCTCATGCTCTCTCTCTATCTCGTTCTCTCTCTCAAATAAATAAATAAATAAAAATCTTAAAAAAAAAAAAAAAAGAGACGTGCAGTTTCCTGAACATCCCAGCTAAGTCTCAACTCCAAGCATGTGAACATCCTGAATCCTGTGGCCAGGATTCCCTGCCACTCTTGCATCAGTAGTTAGAAATGGGAACTGCTCTACATATAATCTAAATATAGGATCCTGGGCCTGGGGAAAGCCCATGGTCTTCAGACTTAAGAGAGTGAGAAGGATAAGAGAAGTTTCAGGACACTACCACTCCCTGAGGGTATATATATACTGGGGTGCCAAAAAACACCTGGGTGACAACCGGGATGGTTGAAAAGTGGGACATCCTCCACTCACCTGCACCGGGTCCATAAGCATTTCTGCCACCTCTGTGGGACCCTATGGTAAGAAGGAGACCATGAGAAATGGGTACCATGGAAGGATCTTATGAACTTAGCTGGACCACCACCCCTGCCCTATCCTGGAGCAAAGTGATCTCAGCCTGGTGGTGTAAGTTCAGCTCCTCCAGAAAACAGTGCTGCCGGGGCGCCTGGGTGGCTCAGTTGGTTAAGTGACTGCCTTCGGCTTAGGTCATGATCCTGGAGTCCCGGGATCGAGTCCCGCATCGGGCTCCCTGCTCCGCAGGGAGTCTGCTCCTCCCTCTGACCCTCCCCCCTCTCATGTGCTCTCTCTCTGATTCTCTCTCAAATAAATAAATAAAATCTTAAAAAAAAAAAAAAAAAGAAAACAGTGCTGCCTCTTATCAACTGGGTGACAACTGTTACTGTCCATAGGATCAACAGTTTTGTATATATTTTCAGTGCAAATGTAGTAGGGTTTTGAAATTTGAGGTCTTTATTTTTACCGCTTTCTAAGATTTCATAAGATACTATACATAAAACTTCACACTGTAAACAAACAGGCAAATTAATGTCAGATCAATCATGAAGTGTTTGCAAAAATTTAACTTGCTGAATAGGTTCATTTCTAATTGTCTACCTCGGTGTACATATTTAAAAGGATATTGATTGAGTACTTAAGTCAATAACTTTTTTATACATTCTTAAGGAGTTGTAGGAAAAGGCTGAGCAGGCAGACAAGCTCCTAGTCCATACAGCAACAAGACCTGCCTGTTACATAACCCCCAAAAGAGAGCTTGTTGGAGGCCCTCAGCTGGACAGCAGCTCGCCCTCTCGCCCTGAGGGGTGGGGGTGAGGAAGCAGTCCCCTGTCTGGGACCCTGAGGCTGCATCAGCCTGGCTGACCTTTCCCTTGCCCCACTGGGCGTGGCCCTGAGCTGAGCGGCAAGTGGAGAGTCAACACCAGCACATGACACCGGCTGCACGAAGGGAAACTCCTCACCCCACCACCATCTCCCTTCCCAAAGACACAGGCGAAAGATCTCTCCTACAGCAAACCTCTTTTGAAGGAAGCATCAGGGATGCCGACACCTGCTTCCCATACCCTGCCCACCAGTAACTCTTCAGCCCTTGCCTCCCTCACCATCTAAAATCATCTGAAGACTCCCTCCTCGATCTGGCCCTCAGGCCACGCCCTCCTCGCCTCTGACAGCCCAGCCCCCTCCCCCGTCCTCCACACGCTCCCGTCACGTCTCCCCGCTGAGACACCTCAGCATCAGCGCGTCCAGAATCAAACGCACGGTCTCCCCGATGCCCGCTCCCCGGGCTCGCCTACCCCACCCCCACCCTTCCCGATGTTCAGGCCAAGAAGCCTCAACAGGGCCCTTCACTCCCCGCGTCTGCTCACACGCGTATGCGACGCGGCTCTGCCGTGGGACGCCTCGCACCCCCTCTGCCGCCGCCGCCCTGCTCCAGCCTCCCAGAACTCCCCCGGGGGGCCCCGTCCTGCTCCCCCTTACCTTAAACTCCCGACTCTGCGCGTGCCCCTCCCCCCCGCCCGCTCGCGACCTTCCGCGGACGCCGGCGTGGCCACTGCAGGCGACACCCCACCGCGCCCTCCGTTCCCCGCACACACAAGGGTCCCGGTCCCCCCGCCCCCGCCACGCCCCACCGCACGGACGGAGCCGGGACCGCACGCCGGGGCGCCCTCTGCTCCCGCCCCGCGGGCGCCCCTCCGTCCGGAAGCAGCGCTCGGGGCGAGGGGCGGGCGGCTGAGGGCCCGGGGGTCGCGGCACCCACCGCAGCCGGCTTCATCGGCGCGGCCTCCGCCAACGACCGGCGGGAAGAGCGGTGCGCGGAGCGGCGGGCGCCCGGGCGGGGAAGAGGTCGCCTCGCGCAGGCTCTGCGGCGCGAACGACGCCTCCCCCCGCGCTCTCCCGCCCTGTCACCTCCGCACCCGCCAAACGCCTCGGAAGCCTCGAAACCCCGAACCCGAGAGCGAGCGAACGGACGCGAAGGCTCGCCGGATGTCCCGCCCCTCACGATGCGCACGCACGCAAGCGCCCCGCCCTCACGGCTTCATTGGCTCAGGGGCCGCCGCCGCCGCGCTCCGCAGACCTATGGGTTTCGTAGCTGCCGCCGCCCTCCCCTCCTCAGACGAAGGCCCGCCCCCCTCTGCGGCGGACGAGAGCCTAGAGGCTCCGTCAGGCGCTCCGGGAAGTGGAGTTCCGCGGCTCCAACGGTGGGGCGGGGTCTCGCCTGCTCTTAAAGGGGATCGGTCCAGGTTTCTTGGAGCGCAGTCCGGGGTCACAGAATGGCCAGCGACCTGTTACTTCATATGCTGAGGAGCTCGGGAAGTTCCCAGAGGCTACACAGCCGAAGGGACACCCACATCACGACAGCACGTCCACTCGTAGCCGTCCACGACCTTGTCGCTTTTCAAGTACAGACCGAATCTGGAGTCCGTTCTAACGAGGACGAGAAAGCAAAGGCTTCGGACGGAGCCGTGGGGGGGACATGGGGGAGGAATGATGGGGCACCGAAGTAGGCAGAAAGGGTGAAGCTGTGCCTCGGATTCCCAGAAGAACATCTCTGCCGCCTGCTCAGTCAGGGTTGTGTTTGAACAGTGAGTAGCATTTCTTCAACTACTACTGCTCCATACCTGAGGTGTTTGTCGGTTCCTGTAAGAATCTGGTATCTACCCGAAAGGAACAGTGACTCCACACATCCATCTCCCGCCAGGATGGTGTGTGCTCCTCTCATAGTTGGGGCACCAGTAAAAAGGGAGCATCCTGTTCTTCAGGCAAAGGGGAGGAATCCGCTCTCTCATTTCCTTGCTGGGAAGAGATTTATCAGTTCACTGAAATTCTAGCAACAGTGTCACCACAGGGAGTAGAAACTACCTGAGAAAAACACTTGTGAAGTGGAAATTACTGAAGTGATCAGTTATTTATATTTTTATATTTTAAAGATGTATTTGTTTATTTATTTTAGCGAGAGAGAGCAGGGGGAGGAGCAGAGAGAGGGACAAGCCGACTCCGTGCTGAATATGGAGCCTGATGTGGGGCTTGACTGCAGGACCCTGACATCAAGACTTGAGCCAAAATTAAGAGTCAGGTCAGTTATTTAGACAGATTAGCAGAAATACTTCTAGGGAAACATACCTGTAATACATTTTAAAAAACCACACACACACACGCAAAACTAAACACATGGGGCGCCTGGATGGCTCAGTCAGTTAAGTGTCTGCCTTCGGCTCAGGTCATGATCCCAGGGTCCTGGGATTGAGGCCCACATCAGGTTCCTTGCTCAGCGGGGAGTCCACTTCTCCCTCTGCCCCTCCCCCTGCTCATGTTCTCCTGCAAATGAATAAATAAAATCTTTAAAAAAAAAAACATTAAGAAAAGTTAAGATCTCAGTGAAGTTTGAGAGACAGTGAGATCTGAAAAGCAAGAGGATGAAGCCAAGCCTGTGGCTGTGCATGAATCTTGGCCACAATCAGGTTTTTTGCTCCAAAATAAGATTCTTTTTTATACTTGACAATGTGGCTATTAACTGCTTGGAAGGGATAGAGACGATATTTTTAAAGAGTTACCTCAGAGGTGAAAATGAACAACCATCTGTGCTGTGGTATTTACTGATCTTAGAAACGTACGGTGCATACCTACTGGATTTCAGGCACAATGGTGGGTGCACAGGACACACTGGGGATAGGGTTGCCAGCTGCTCTCTGTAATCAGGATTGTTCTGTGTTTTCTGTAGTTGTTTATTTAGCATTCATTTATCTGAAGGCCAAACTAATAGTCAAAGATGTATACTTCTCTCTTGCAAGTCAGCTTCACAGACTTGCAAAACTGCTATTATAAACACAAGAACAAACCCTAATCTGTTTTTACTTCCTGCCTAATAAGGCACTTCAGTCTTAAAGGCATACTCTCAGTTCCTCCTCCCGCCCCCTCCTTCCTGCATGTCACATGGTTTCATGGGGCCCTCCATGGTGTGCCGTGTCTCTTATTTCCAGGGTGTTGAGAATTTAGCTAAGTTACTTCATGGTGTCACTGTCTCAGCATCCATTTTGTTTGGCCAAGCCGCCTGCAGGGACACTGACATTCACCCCCTCATGGAAGCACATGCCCTACATGACAGCCCAAAGAGCCACAAGCAAATAAAAGTTCCTGATAGGACTTCCGAAGACCCTTGTAATTAACCATCCCTAGCCTCCCAGCACCTGTATGCCTTATGTTCACCCTTAGATAAGACCTTCTTGGAGCTTACCAAAACCCAGCTCTTTTTGGTTTTAACTGAACACCTGGGTGACTCGGTCAGTTAAGCCTCTGCCTCTTGATTTCAGCTCAGGTCTTGATCTCAGGGTCATGAGTTCAAACTCCGTGTTGAGCTCCACGCCCACTGTGAAGCCTACGTTAAAAAAAATTTTTTTTGACAAATCTGGGCTTAACTGGGAAACCTGGAAACACTAAACCCATGGACCCTAGTAAAGGCATGTACCCCAGGTCATGCCTTTCTTTCTGCCTGCACTCTGCCTTGATGTCCCTGTGTGGACCCTGGAAGTGTGCCATGTAATTCCTCCAGGACCTGTGAGTGTAAACTTCTCTTTTTCAATTTCTCTTATGGTCTGTCACTGAACCACAACCTGACCCACCATCCAGCACCCCGTGCTATACTTAGCAAATGTTAATTTACCTGTCATAACACAGGAAACTGTTGAGTAGCGCAACTTTCCTTTCAATGGCATTGACCCCTCCATGTTGCACTCAGTCACCTTTATAAATCAAGACTCTGTCACAATTCAAGGACATGTCCTGTGTTTAATGATTTGGTCCTGATTCCTACATTGACTTTGTCAGGACACCATAAGTATCCGAATCACAGCTTTTTACAGTATGTTACAGAAAAGTCATGCAGATGACATGATACTCTATGTGGAAAACCCAAGAGACTATACCCCCAAATTGCTAGAACTCATACGGGAATTCAGCAAAGTGGCAGGATAGAAAATCAATGCACAGAAATCAGTTGCATTCCTATACACTAACAATGAGATAGAAGAAAGAAAAATTAAGGAGTCAATCCCATTTACAATTGCACCCAAAACCATAAGATACCTAGGAATGAATCTAACCAAAGAGGCAAAGGATCTGCACTCAGAAAACTATACAACACTCATGAAGGAAATTGAGGAAGACACAAAGAAATGGAAAAATGTTCCATGCTCATGGATTGGAAGAACAAATATTGTTAAGATGTCTATGCTACCTAGAGCAATCTATACATTCAGTTCAATTCCTATCAAAATACCATCAACTTTTTTCACAGAGAGAGAACAAATAATCCTAGAATTTGTATGGAACCAGAAAAGACCCCGCATAGCCAGAGGAATGTTGAAAAAGAAAAGCAAAGCTGGCAGCATCACAATTCCGGACTTCCAGCTCTATTACAAAGCTGTCATCATCAAGACAGTATGGTACGGGCACAAAAACAGACACATAGATCAATGGAACAGAATAGAGAGCCCAGAAATGGACCCTCAACTCTATGGTCAACTAATCTTTGACAAAGCAGGAAAGAATATCCAATGAAAAAAAGACAGTCTCTTCATTGGACAGCCGCACGCAGAAGAATGAAACTGGACCATATCCTTACACCATACCCCCAAAATAGACTCAAATTGGATGAAAGACCTAATTGTGAGACAGGAATCCATCAAAATCCTAGAGGAGAACACAAGTAGCAACCTCTTTGACCTTGGTCACAGCAACCTCTTGTTAGACACGTCTCCAAAGGCAAGGGAAACAAAGGCAAGAATGAACTACTGGGACTTCATCAAGATAAAAAGCTTTGGCACAGCAAAGGAAACAGTCACAAAACCAAAGACAACTGACAGAATGGGAGAAGATAGTTGCAAATGACATATCAGATGAAGGGCTAATATCCAGAATCTATAAAGAACTTATCAAACTTGGGATGCCTGGGTGGCTCAGTCAGTTAAATGTCTGCTTTTGGCTCAGGTCATGATTCCAGGGTCCTGGGATTGAGCACTGCATCGGGCTCCTTGCTCGGCAGGCAGCCTGCTTCTCCCTCTGCCTGCCACTCCCCCGCTTGTGTGCTGACAAATAAATAAATAAAATCTTAAAAAAAAAAAACTTATCAAACTCAACACCCAAAGAACAGAAATTTCCTCAAAGACATACAAATGGCCAACA